ATGAAAAATATTGTTCGTAACTCGTGAAAAAATGTTATTTAACTCGTGGGATTATATCACTCGCCTTCGGCTCGTGATATAAACTTCCCACTTGCCAAAAAACACTTTTTTGCACTCGTTACGAAATATACTATTTCCTTCATATTTCGTGGCATTTTATCCTTCCCCTGATGTGTACCACTTGAAAATGATGTAAAGACATAATCCCCTGAGTTGGCGTTGAAAGTTGTCCCTATAAAAGTCATCAATTATACGATTGGAAATAAATCGAAGGCAGATGGGGACATGCGAGAGTGCCTCCGGGGGCACGACGGGTGATCGTCAACGAAAAACTTCTCTCCTGCCCCTCAAAAGCCCAACAATGCTGTTTCTCAACAAATACAAAACGATACACGCGTGCATTAATATCCCCATACTTCTCTCGACTCTCATGCCCTTGGGGAATCCCCCATTCATCGAAATTTCATTCTGAAAATTTTCGCGAGAGCGACGATTATTTATCGATAAATCCCCGAGTGGCTGCCATTGTTCACGTCCCTCCAACATATTTACTCCAAACATGTCGTTTATTTTGACACTAATGAGTTCACACTGATACCGCGATATCGCTCAGGAAGTTACGATAAAATGAGCAGAATAAAAATAGGAGGAAACTTCGATAAATTGAATTTCAGGCGGGGATCGAGGCCGCAGCGTCTCGTGGGAAGCTTCTAGACGTTCCTGTCCGTTACCGAGAGCAAGTATAAGGCTTCTTGTAAGAATTCCTCCGCGTACGGGGCCCTATCGCCTTACCTGATGACCTGACATGCCTCATCAGTGTTATAAAAACAAGAGTGGGAGTAGTATAATCCCGAGTGAATCATTGGCAAGTTGGGGAAATGCGGTACAACAATGATGCACCGCGGTGACGGACACGTATGAAAAAAGTTGATAGAAAAATCTAGTGAATTCGTTAGATCATTTTATTCGATTTCTGTTAAATTTTCTATTAGTTTTTGGCTAATTCTATTGAAATGTTTCATGAAAAAAATTTCACAAATCAAATGTTCCATCAAAAATATTGAAATTCTATTGAATGTTCCATCGGAAATATTTTATAGAAAAAGTCAAAAGAATTAGATTTTTCTGTACAATATCACGTTTAAATGTCACGTTTAAAGAAGTTGTCAGAAAGCTCATTTTCCGGGAAATTCATGAAAAATTCGAAATTTTCAACAATTATCATAAAACTTAAATAAACCAGTATTAATGACAGTAAAACAAACATTTTAAGCTATGATTGAATTCACCTGAAGCATGAGATTCAAAGATATCCCAGGAATTCTGATTTTCAAAAAAAAAAAAAATTTTACAAATTTTCAAATCAATCGAAATAACGATTGTTGCTATTGCCTTCATCTTCGAACTCGATCAAAAGGACGTACAAACAGTTTTTTTAAGCCATCATTCAATCAATACAGAACATTTTTTTTAGTTATCGTGGGGCAACCGATTTTCGAAAAAATTCGAAAATTAAAAAAACTAATCTATGAATTGAATTTTAATTAACGGCGATTGATCGGGCCCGAGAATACCTACATTTGAAAAATAAAGATTCAATTGAAGAAAAACTTTGTTGCACACACACACGTGCGGACGAGATCTATAAATTGCATTTTCTGACTTTTTGGATCGTACTAGGTCGATATAACACAAAAAATCCAAAACTTGAATTTGAACGAATACAAAGCTTCCTTTCAGAAGCAAAAAGAGCACAGTGACGGCCAGGGAAAAATTCCAGTGCCGGCAAACTTTATTGAGTAGCACAATTGTCAATTGAAAATTAGTTTTCAAAATTGAAATTAAATGATTAACATTGAATTTTCAAAAAACAAATTATTGTCATTAAATTGTTATAAGATTATTGATTTGTTTACAATTGTTAATTGAGAGAAAAAATCGTCTTTATATCACTTTAATTATTCATGTTCCAGTCAAGTTGTTAAATTCAGTGGGATTACGTTGTTCATTAAAAAAAGAAAAACAAAAAATGAAAACTTAAAAATTTTGACGAATTGTTGAAAATGCAATAATTTCAATGAAATCAGTTGATATGTCATAATTAAAACATCATAGTTAACAATTCGTGCTACCGTAACGAAGCCAAATTCCCACTTATTATCCCTAAAATAACTCATTCCCAAAATCATTCAGCAGCAAAAACTAAACTATCAAATCTCATTACCGAATTAATTCAAAATCCCGTGAATCCGTCCATCAATTCCCCCCCAATCCCCGCAACTATTTCCCGAAGATCGCCTAAAACAATAAAGGGGACCCAATAAAAGGGAAGCAAAAAAATGAAAACTGAAAATTTTTGACGAATTGTTGAAAATGCAATAATTTCAATGAAATCAGTTGATATGTCATAATTAAAACATCATAGTTAACAATTCGTGCTACCGTAACGAAACCAAATTCCCACTTATTATTCCTAAAATAACTCATTCCCAAAATCATTCAGCAGCAAAAACTAAACTATCAAGTCTCACTACCAAATTAATTCAAAATCCCGTAAATCCGTCCATAAATTCCTCCCCAATCCCCGCAATTATTTCCCGAAGATTGCCTAAAACAATAAAGGGGACCCAAAAAAAGGGAAACAAAAAAATGAAAACTGAAAAATTTTGACGAATTGTTGAAAATTCAATAATTTCAATAAAATCAGTTGATATGTCATAATTAAAACATCATAGTTAACAATTCGTGCTACCGCAACGAAACCAAATTCCCACTTATTATCCCTAAAATAACTCATTCCCAAAATCATTCAGCAGCAAAAACTAAACTATCAAATCATACTACCGAATTAATTCAAAATCCCGTAAATCCGTCCATAAATTCCTCCCCAATCCCCGCAATTATTTCCCGAAGATCTCCTAAAACAATAAAGGGGACTCTAAGTCTCAAAATGGGGGATCCAAATGCTAATACCAGATTTCCACGGTTGAACACCCCGCAGCGTTTCCATCAGCTCTCCCCTCCGACCCCGAGTAAACACACGCACGCGCGTTAAAATCACCCAGTCCATTCCAATTGATACCAGAAATATTTTTCGAATACATGGAAATAACGATGTTGTTATTATGCTGTAGATATTCACGTTTGTCACAACACATAAGTCACCGTGCGCCTCTCTCACCCTCGACGAAGCGTATATTGTCGTCAATGGATGGGATTCCTCGTATTTTCTGAAGCAACTTACCCTCTCCCGCCTCGCGGAGGCAGTTAAAAGGATCCTCCATGATTAATGACTTCACTTTTCCACTTTTATTCCGTTAATACTCGACTTGCTCCATTCAAGTTCAACACGTTGTAATTTCCACTCCCATTTTCGGTGATTTCTTCAGGTGAGAATGAGCTGTTTGTTCCCTTCGAATCCATCCATTTTCGACAATGGAAAAGAACCAGAAGTGAAAAGAAATAGAAATTTCCAGGACTACTAGGAAAAAAGGACGAGAAATCCCCCAGGAATCAACACAATATTCTCATGTAGTTATTCAGAAATTATATTTAATTGATAAACTCTTTACAAATATTTACAATACATAACAAAAATCGTGGAACGCAGTAATCGTTCAACCCATTGATGACAAAGTATACAGTACTCACAGATTTATAAAAAATATGGACAGAGTTGAATGACAATTATACATAGAAAGAGTGAGTCATCCGGATACAGGGAATCGTCTGATTCATGCGACGCATCGTGTGTGCCGATGTCCGTCGGGTCTTCTGCGAGACCTTATTTACCGTGCGGGAATGAACCGTAAAACGGGGATTTCCCCTGTTTACTCGGCCTCCCATCTCTAGTTGATAATCATTGCAGGAGGAAAGTTGTAAATGTATTGAGTCAATTTTAACATTTTTGTTAATTATCCATTCAAGTTGAGGATAAGTTATTTAATGAGGAAATTTGAAAAGACATTGCTGCAGGGCAAATTATGTCATTCAACATTTTCCCTTAAAATAAAGCATCATCGAAGAATTCATTAATCGATTTATCACATGTCCATTGATTTTCGCATTGAGTGATTTCGAGAAAAAATGTCCGACATCTCGTGTATAGCTAAGAAAATTTCCCAGGCAATTCCGTAGCGAAGCGGTGAAACCGTTCAAGTCGACTATTTCGACTTTTGACTAATTTTCAATGAATATCTCTGAATCTAAGGGAGACAGCAAAATTTTCGTTAAAATATGTTTTGTAGCCTTCAACTCCCTCTCCAAAAAAGGTAATTACGAAAATTTCGTTATCTCTCTTCGATTCGAAGATAATTTACTTTTCTTCGCAACTGAATTCTCTCCTGACATTTTCCTGTAGAATTACTCATACCAGGATGGCTCAATATTCAACAAGATATCCAAAACTGACTCACATCCACCTCATTCACAAAGCACGAACGAGACAAAACAATAGGGTTTTCCCCTGTATTACTCGGCCTTTTCTCTCCCATTCACGGTTATTTCGATAGTAAAATCATGAACGGAATAAGTCAATCTGTATATTTTTGTTAATTGTCAAGTTAAAGGGTCACGAGTGTCAAGTGATTTTAGGAGACAATGTGAGAGCTTTTTGCATCTAAATACCATCTGACATCTCCAAAAATCACGCATTATCAAAACGATTCGCTATTCAACAATTGCCGGAATCATTTGTTGATTTATCACATGTCCATTTATCTTTGCAACGAGTGATTTTGAGAGGAAATATCAGAGGACCCCTTGTACCTGTAAAAGTTCATCACAGAATTCCCTCTGGCATTAAGCCTATTTACACCGAGCACTTGCGCTCGACTACACATAATGTTATATGATGTGCAATCAATTTTTTACATGAGAATGATGTCTAGCGCTGCGTTCCCCCATCAAAAAATATATTTAAAAAATACATAATATGGGCCAATTCCATATTTTTCCGATTTATAAAGAATATATTAAAAAATATATAAAGCATATATTTTATATATTTTTTTAATATAAATTAAGAGAGTTTAAGATATTTTTTAATATATTTTTCGAAATATAAATTTTGCCTTGTGGGTTTTCATCGAAGAGTTACTCCAACTCTAGTCTAACTCAAGTGCTCCATGTAAACAGTCTTATGTTCGCCTAAGATCCTTCATATCACAACGGTTTAATATTCTTAAAAATGTCAAATTTGACAAATTCATTCACCACTTGACTCCTACCTGTCACCTCCAGCACTTCGACTCGAAAATTATACAAATCATAAAAGAAGAACTATACAACAAATTTATACCCTAAGTTCGCGTGAGTAATCTCGATTTATGACACATCTACCATGTTTCTAATGACGTTATGCAATCGATGATATTATTCATATTTTCGTTTTTGGTTAATAAGTCGTTTATTGTTTGTCATGTTTAGTAAGCGCGAAGTCTGACCTCCATTTCTGGATCCTGTCGATGAGCGAGATGCGGCTCGACGCCACCGGTTACAGTACCACTGCCGGTTACGTGGTGGCCGAGATGGTGATGATGGGAGAGATGGTGGTTGTGATGCGGTGGCTGAGCTGCGGCATTTCTGTAAGCCCGTTGTTTCTCCTCAAATTGACGAAGTCGCTCGTTGTAGCGGGTCAACTGGTTGCGAAGTTGAGCGTCCTCTTGAGCGGCAGCTTCTTCATCGAACTCGAGACAACCCACGCCGTCCAGACGCTCCAGGTCGATCCAGCCGCGCCACCTCACGCAGACGCCGTTCATTATCAGACTTGATCTTATGTGCACCTGGAAAATTGATGGATTGGGTCTTCATTGATTTGTGTTGTTATCTCGTTATATTATAAAAATCAAAATCGCCTTCTCGTGGAAAAATTTGGTACTTGAAATTGAGGCGCCAAAATTAAGGGTCACAAGGGTCAAATAAGGGTCACAGGACTCAAAATAATGATCATGAGGGACGGAATATGGGTCATAAGGATCAGAATAGGGGTTATGAGAGTCAAAGTAAGGCTCGTAAGGGTCACGAGGGTCACGTTAAAGGTCATAAAGGTTAGATAAGGGTCACAAAGGTCGGATTAAAGGGTCAAATAAGGGTAACAAACGTCAGATTAAGGGTCTAAATAAGGGTTACAAAAATCAGATTAAGGGTCAGATTAAGGATCACAAAGGTCAGATTAAGGGTCCAAATGAGGATCATGGGGATCAGAAACTAAGGGTTACAAAGGTCAAAATCACAACTAAGGGTGACAAGGGTCAGAATCACAATAACTGTCCCTATCGAGAAGTTAATAAGGGTAATGAAGGTCAGATTAAGGGTTCAAATAAAGTTAACAAGGTCAGATGAAGGTCTAAATAAGGGTCACAAAGGTCAAAATAAGGGTCTCTATCTCTCTATATTATAGAAATCTAAATCGATTAATTGGGTCAGAAATGAAGTGTCAAAATAAAGGTCACAATGGTCAGAATAAAGATCATGAGGGTCAGATTAAAGGTCATAAAGGTACGAATAAGGGTCATGACGGTCAGAATTACAATAACTGTCCCTAACGCGAAGTTAATAAGGGTAATGAAGGTCAGAATAAGGGTCACAAGGGTCGTATGGATCAGATTAAGGGTTCAAATAAGGGTAACAAGGTCAGATTAAAGCTCTAAATAAGGGCCACAAGGGTTAAAATAAGAGTCTCTATCTCTCAATATTATAAAAATCCAAATCGATTTCTGATGATGAAAATTATGTACTCGAAATTAAGACTCCAAAATTAAGGGTCAGAAATGAAGGATCAAAATAAGGGTCACAACGGTCTAAATAAGGATCATGAGGGTGATATGGAGATCATAGGATGGGGATCAAAGAATAATCCTCTCTGACATAATCAAATTCCTTCTCTCAACACAGCAATAAAAAAATAAATCCTGACAAAAATAATATGAATATTTTGGACAGTGCAATTTTCTCGTGGCCGCAGGCGGTGGTATATACCTTCCAATCTCGGTAATCGCCTGCTGGAAATGAGGAACACTTAGCCGTGTAGCAACGGGACGAATTAGGATGAGAAGAACGGAGAAGGATTCTATGATGAGATTGAAACGCTACGTAAATTGGATCATTACGACATCGTGTAAGTTTAATGGATTTTTTATCTTCCCTTCAAACTTCCTGAAAATAACAATTTTCGGATATTGAATTGTTTCCTGCAGATATACTACACTTTGACAATCGTAGGAAAAGTGTTCTTTGACTGTTGGGAGGGTGGCATTCGATTTAAAATAGTGATGCCGTCGAGACTACACGATAAATTCTTTGGATAGATCATCACTGTCTGAAAAAATATCAAAAGTTTTGGAATCGTTGCAATCTCGAAAGACATTGGATGGGAGGACTTATCTTGCCTGGGTCTCGACTTTTTCGGTTTGTCTGTTTTTATATCGCCGATATATCATTAAATTTCATTTTTCAAAAATCGTTTTCTCAACAAAATGTTCGGAAACCGAGGGTGACTTTGCGCCTAATAACTCCTCTTGCACGGAGAGAAATATCCAGCAAAAATTACGGAACAATTCACGTAATCCACAATGGGAAATCGTTTTCCGGCAATTTTTATAGGAATGGAAGAGAAGAAATCTGAAACGATCAGTGAATTTTGAGGTTCATCACCGAACAAAGTACGAAATTGTCACGTAATTTTTCCCGAAGAAGTAAAATCTTACAGTAACTTCCCGACTTCTCATGCCTCCAGAATCAAAAATTCTTGAACGTTCAACAATTGCTATGAAGCTGGTGAGTTATTCCTACGTTCCGTTCCGTCAAATTTTTCAATCGTTGGGGACAAGTTACGGACCGACTTGTCCCCACAGCAGTGAGTCGTCAGACGGGTGGTTAATTTTTACGGAACAAATCGTAGAAATTACGTGGCGATTCGTACAATTTCAGTTCCGACTCACTTTTTATTGAACAAGATCTATGCGCGCGCTCTCGCGCGCGCTGATCTATTCATTTGTTGCAATGAAGAAATGGAATTCATTGAATTTCATTTTCTCATGAATACCTTATCAATTCTGATAATGAATCAAAGAGAATTCGACTAATGATTGAAGTGAATAGCGAAGTAAAGTAAAAGAATCTATAAAGAATTTTTCATTTTCAATTAATTATCTTCAATTTTTTTCAATAATCGGTCTCCATAAAAGGACAGAATTTATTAATTTCACCGATGATATATATACATGTGAAATATATATATTACATGACGTGAAAAAAAAATTTACCACTGAAGAATTTGAAATTATGTCACTGAAGAATTTGAAAATGCCGCGTGTTTTTTTTTTGTGAATAACTTCGTGTCACATATTGACCAATCAGAATTAAGGATTAGCGGTCAGGCAGTTTCGAGATATTTCGATGTAAAACAACTTCACCTTTCTTTCATCTTTAGTAAAATAGGATTTTAATTCGCGCGCGGATTACGTTTCGAAACGTAATTTTTGCCTTTTTTGCTGGTAGTTTTTATGGATTTTTTCTCTCCGTGTATGAACTGAAAAGGATTTTCCTCAGAAAAAATTGTCCGAGCCACTTGGATATCCTTAACAATACACGAATTGAAAAATTCAGAGACACAGATTCGAGTCCAAGCAGTTGTCAGACTTGATTTTACTCGGAATCGTCGGAAATACGAGTTCCCGAGAACTGGGTGTCGCCCGTCGGGAATTATATCCCTCCAGGACCTATATTTTCAGCGAGTGTGTATTTCCGGTGTTCCTAACAGTCGAGGTGGCCCGAAAAAATCAGAGCCGAGACATTAACAGACAAAAGACGAAATATTGTTACGAAAATCTGAAAAAAAAAATTGTAAAAAGCATCGCGGGGCGTTTAATCGTTATTTCGCAGTACCTTGCCTGCAGTTCGCTGACAGCTGGGTACTAGATTTTTTCAGCCCCAACGGGACGTTCATTTGGGGGATAATTGCGCCGACGGGGTGGCATCTCAGTAGGTGGTAACAGAGGACATACAAATCTCTAGACTCAATCAAAGATACACAAGGTCAGTCACAAGTGTGGAAGTATGTGCGTCACGCTCTGGGAAATACCTGCTCATTTGTGTTGCTAAGTTCTTTCCTTTTGAGACTGGTAAGGTCAGTGATGAAACATCTTCCAGGAAAGAGATCAAGGAAATTGAATCAATTGTTTTTCAACTGGACTAGTAAGACAATTCCACAGGAAATGGGTAATTCAGGGCGAAATGACATTTCCAAATCTTAATTTTTTCCACAAATCGAATTCAACGTCACGTTTATAAAAAATACAGAATTTCCGTCGAAATTTCCGCTACACTTTCTGGAAATTTTCATCGAATTTAATTTAATGATGAAATTTCAAGGAATTTTATCATTGAAAATTCAGAATTTCGAGGGAAAATCAAAGAGAACTATAAATTTCAGTTCCATTTTTCCCTGAAAATGAATAGAAAACCGTAAAATTCGGGTAAATATATTCTTGAATTTTCAGAATAGTGACACTGAATGCGATTTTTAGGGAGAAAAATTCATGAAATTTCAGATTACACTGAAAATTCAATGTAAATTGACACTGAACATTCATATTAGATTGAAAATTCGAATAAATTAAGGAATCCTCGTCTTTATGCCGCTCAAAATTCTGGAATTTTACTGAATTTTCAATGAAACCTGAAATTTCATGATTTTTTCCCCCTAAATCACATTTAGTATCACTGTCCTCAAAATTGGTAGTCAACTGTCCATGAAATTTAATTTTTTTTCTAACGGTGTACATAAAAAAAAAAAGATTTAATTCTATCCACTCATTACCGAACAATTGAAGAAAAACTGTGTTACATACGTACACACGCGTACGGACGAGGTCTAAAAATTGCATTTTCCGACTTTTCAGATCACACCCGCTGGACATATCGCAGAAAATCCAAAACATAAATTTAAACGATTACAAAGCTTCCACACTGAAGCAAAAAAAATCCCGAAGATCGAACAACTGTCTCATTTTTATTTATTTAATTACAACCTCATCTCCAATTAGTCAAAGTTTTCACGCTCCGTAAAATGCGATTAATAACTCAAGGGTTACATTCGTGTATTTAACCCTTTCCTCGTTCTCACGCGAGTAAAAACAACAGGGAAAGAAATAAAAAAAAGGGAAATAAAAAGTATAGAGGTCTGGGCGCTTGGGCGTGACCCATTACCGTGGCATAATACCCAACGATATTTAAACTGTAACTCGTTCCGCTCAACCCTTTGACATTCTCATTTGCATGAGGCCCAAAGTGACATTGAAAGAAAGGAATGAGAGGGAAAAAAATGGAAAGAGTTAAATCTGGTGAAAGGGTGCCACTGGGTGGCAGTACGTTATCAAGTGTGGCCCAGCGTATCTCCACTGATTTTTTCAAACGTCGTATTTATCTCGACAAGACGGACACACAGGAGCCAGACGGCTTTGTTTCAAGTGGGCGTCACCCGGCGCCTTTTTTCACCAGGTCCGGTATGTGGGACAAAAGATGGGGACATTCGTCATCATTTCTAGCTTCCCTCTTTCTATACCTATCATAAAAGGGAATACCATACGGTCAGCGTGAGCGTTTCTTTCTGCACTTCCCCTGTTTTTTAAATTTCCAACAATATTTTCTATGAACGTAAAAATATTTATTTGTTGGTAGGGCTTAAATGGAAGAAGTTCAAGGTAAATTGTGGCTCTGAGGAGAAGATAATTGTCTGAGAAGAAAACGGAGGGAAGAGCGATTCTCAAATTGAGAATATTGTTCTGGAAATTGAAAGTGATTATTTTTGTTTGAGAACTTGACGAGATTGGAGACAAGACGGGAATGTATTGGAAGGACAGACGTTTCATGCTGCATGGGAATAAGGACAATTGATTTGAACAGTTCAATTCGATTCTGTAGCGAAGCGGTAAAACGGTTGAAGTCGATGTTGACTATTGGACAGTCTGCAATGAATATCTCGGAATCTAAGGGAGATAGCAAAGATTTTGGCATAACCTTTTTTATAGCCCTCAATTCGCTCTACGATAAAGGTAATTACGAAATTTTCGGTATCTTTCTTAGATTCGGAGATATTCCTGAAAACTCAACTACACTGTTAACAATTTTCGTCTGAATTTGTCGTGCCAAATTCTGGAAATTTTTATCGTGTTCAACTTCCACTGAAATTTTCGGAAATCTTGTCATTGAAAAATCAAATATTCCATTGATTTTCTGTTCAAATGATCTGGAAGTCAATAAAAACTGATTTTTCAGTTCAATTATTCTGTGAAAATTCAGAAAAATCAGGAAAATTGAAAATCGCGGTTTTCCGCCCCTAGAGGCATAAAACGATCCTCGCTTGCGGATTACGTGAAATGTTCCGTAATTTTTCTTGAATATTTCTCTCCGTGTGAAAATTCAATCAAGTGTGTGGAAAGTGGAATTTTACGCACGAGTGATGAAAAATTATGAATTGCCAATGATCACTGATCAATCTGTCGAGTAATTTGCATAGACAGTGGAGGGACGACGACGAAGTGATATTATTCGAGGATTCCGGTAGATAAAAAGTGACAGTATTACGAGAGTCGAAGCAATTCCGTTCCATTCGAAGAAATCCAAAGGTGAGTAGTGAGAGTGAAAAAAAAAATTCCATCCACGCATTCATTCTCTCATTCATTTACGCATTCATTGAATGCAAAATGTCACCACAGGGATATCAGGGGGTCCCGTAATTCTCCTTTCAATCGCGCTCGTTAATTATCGTCGATAAGAAATTCGCGATAACAGATGTGAAAAGGTAGAAAAAGGGGGGCCTGTTGTTATCCAAGCGTCGATCTGACTTAATTGCTCGCGCCACAGGGCACCGTGACAATGCCCAGCACGTGTCGCTTCTCTTTATCTACCCGTGTACCTTTGAAACAATGCACCGACTCGTCTCGTGCCGTGAGCGCGATTGAAACGTCCTCAAGTGTGCCCCGGAGGGCCACGCTTCGGCTTTCAAGGGTTTTCCGCTTTTCAGAGGTCTTTGGGCTCTGACCCCGAGGCACAGAACGATGTCCTGCGACAGGGCCTGTGGACCTTCGGTTCGGAAGATTTATGGCGGCTGCGAGTTTCTGACTGGGTGGAACAGTTGGTGAGTGCTAATTGTCTGTGATGTCTTTCAAAAACTGTCAGGAAAATTGGAAAGATCAAAATAGAGAATTTTTTGGTCTCGTGGAGGACATGTGATTCGGTTTTATTTTCGCGATTTTCTACAATTTTTTTTCTCAGTTGTAATTTTCCCGAGGGGCTACTCACTCTCTGATCAAGTGCCACCACATAATTTTTAAATGAAGTCGACTTCACGTGATTTCGGAGGTGATTTCAGTGATTTCGAGAAGAAAAGAAATCGATAAATTCAAGTGGATCGCGATAAAATTTCGTGACTGTAATTGACTTCGAATGATTCCATAGATTCGAAATCAGTGATTTCAGAAGAAAAATTTTTATCTTTAAAAATTTTTAGCTTCCTGTTATATGAAATTTTATCATAAATTTGTAGAAGTTGTAATTTAATGGCACTAAAATTTGAGATTTTTTGCAGTACACACTATTAAATTTTTTTATCATGTTTAACCCTATTGTGGTCACCTGACGGGAAAATGCGACTTTAGTCACCTTCGCGGGAGAGTGCCGCCGTGTTATTTAGGCTCCAGCGTTGCCGAATCCACTCTACACTTCCCGGGCGCGTTTAGCGAGTTCCCAGCAACGTCGCTCAACAGGCAATTTCATTTAACACGGGAAAAAATTGTTCACCTGTTGGAAATAATTTTTTTTCTCCCAGAATTAAGAATACACTATTGAAAAAAACGTACTAGAATTTTCCAGATACTTCAATTGACGAATTCAATTTTTCTCAAATTTTTCCGGTCAACCAGTCGATGGCAAGGTGAATAAAAGGTGTTGCGGCAATTCCCTCGCATAGTGACCAGTTTAGGGTTAATTTCCACTGAAACTTCAGGAAATCTCGTGATTGAAAAATCAAATATTCCATAGATTTTCAGTTTGAATTATCATAAAATCAGGAGAATTCTTGATTTTTCCGTTCAATTATTCCCAATTCAAAATTGAAAATTCATAACATTTTGGCTCTGAATATTCATGTTTCAATGCAAATTCTACCAAGCTTTGAAATTTCCGTCTAACTTCTACTGAAAACTCATTAATTTCGTTGAATTTTAAGTAAAACTTGAAATTATATCGCCATTCAGAATCACCGTCACATTCATGAGAATTACCATCAGATTTGCCCTGAAATTTCAAAAAATTGCTAACAGTGAAGCACTAGAGTTTTTCTAAAGAATTTGTTTCCGCACTGTTAGAAAAAAAAAATTTCACGGACAGTTGACCACTCATTTTCAGGACAGTGACACTGATTGCGATTTAGGGGAAAAAAATCATGAAATTTCAGGTTTCACTAAAAATTCAGTAAAATTCCAAAATTGTAAGCAGCATAAAGACGAGAATCCCTTAATTTATTTGATTTTCCAGTCTAATATGAATATTCAGTGCCCAATTACATTGAATTTGCAGATAAAAATCTGAAATTTCATGATTTTTTTCTCCCTAAATCGCATTCAGTGTCACTATCCTGAAAATTCAAGAATATATTTACCGGAAATTTCTGGTTTTCTATTCATTTTCAGGGAAAAATGGAACTGAAATTGACAGTTCTCTTTGATTTTCCCTCGAAATTCTGAATTTTCACTGACAAAATTCGTTGAAATTTCAGTGGTAATCGAATTCGATAAAAATTTCCAAAAAGTGTACCAGAAATTTCAGACAAAAATTTCTAAAAGCGCGTGTAGAACAATTCAGCTGTCGTCGCCCTGTCCAATTCAGTCCGTCTCAGCTCGAAAAATTCGCCTCGAGAATATCCTTTTCAATCTCGCCAGGACAATTTCAACATCAAATATGCGGAAGCAATAAACATTTCCCTTCGAAGCAAGATCAACATAATCTTCAACGCAACAATGCCCTTTTTGCAAATTCCTCTGAAATTCTCTGTGACATCTCCCAAGAGAGATTTCTCCTCCGGAAGATTCGCAAATTCGCGCAAAATGGCGGTCTACGGACGACAGTATCGATCGCAATGGCGTCCGAGGCGACGGCGACCTCTGGACCGACGCCGGCGCGGTAACGAGAAGACCGGAAGCCCCCGTAAAAAAGGCGTCAAAGGAAGAGGAGATAAAATTTGGGAAATACCAGGACCCGGTTATTTATTCTCGGCACTTTTTTTTCATCCAGTTCTACAAAGCGGTTTATGACCAAAGGAAACAACCGAGAGGAAGACGTTCTCAGAAGCTCTCGGGGAATTTTCAGTCAGGGGGTCAGTTTTATTTCATTTGACGAAAAATTGGCGTCGGACAGAGCCACTGGACTCCCGCAGTGAGGGGCTGTTGTATACGTCATACGGGGGCGGCAAAAGGGAACTCGGGGGTTCGAACGGGAAGTCATCAGTGACTGGTGCAGGATCCTTCCATTGTTGATTTATACGGAGCTACGGATTTTACGGGGAATCGAGTTGTACAAACACGGGAGGCAAACGTCACGTATAGTTCGACTTTATTGTCATCGAATTTGTAGTAATTGACGGGGATTTATTTCCAGTTTCAGGGAAGTGGAAAGTGACGAATAAATAAACACCCTCTGCGCCAATTATCATGTTGTTTAAGAGGATTTTCGAGCAATTGCGGAATTTAGTTTACATTTTTTTACCTTTTACTTGGGAGGTCATGTACACTGTTAAAAATTTTCTACTGAAATGGAAATTTCTGACAAGAAACATGTCCACTGAAATTTCAATCAATTTCGCCATTGAAAACTTATAATTTCATGGAAAAATCCGTGGGAACTGTAAATTTCAGGTCAATTATTCCGGGAAATTAATGAAAATGCAGGAAAATTGAAAAATTCATGGAATTTCAAAGAAATTCCCTGAAAATTCAAGGGTCTTTTTGCAATGAATATTCATTTTCACTTGAAAATTGATGTAAATGGTGGAATTCTTGTCTTCGTGCCAGTAAAAAAGTGGGACTTTACTTGAAATTTGAAATTCCATGATTTCCCCCAAGTTCCAATTTTTTTTCCAACACCGTTTCAAATGATTTTCTCCCGATGCCATTTCTAATGTCTTATTTACGAATGAGTGTTTTCAAATTACCTTGCCATGCTCCTTGTCAAAGTCGCATTGTCCCGGCTCGGAGAAGGTTCCAGCGGCGGGACCGAACGTCAATTGTAGATTAGTTCCCATTGCAGCGAATGCAATTTCAGTGTGACCCTCGCGACACGCATTTTGGAAACGACCCTGACGCTCCTCCAAGGGTCTATCCCTGAAGCCCGTGTATCTCACCTGCAAACAAGCAATAAAATATTGCATGTAAATAGGGAAATATCCTCGATCTCTTCAACATCTACACTGAGAAAGAAATTTTCTAATATCTGAAACATATTTTCTTGAGACAAGTAAATTTTCTTCAATTGCTTAATTCTCTCAGGCATCTCAACTCACATGACCCGAGAAAGGCCTCACGCTTTAAAATATTCTTGTACTCAAGTATGGTTTTGTCGCAAATGAACTTACTTAAATCGCGTAGAAGAATGGGCAATCTTCTAGTCTCTACTGTTTTCATGATTTTTTCGTTATGCACTTCCAATATTGCAATATGTAAAATATTCATAACGTAACGCGGAACGATAGTGATGAATGAAAATTTATCCGAGTTCCATGAAGTGCACACATTCTGAGATTTAAGCCATTGAAAATAATTCACTCCTCTCAAGAAAATATGTTTCAGATATTAGAAATTTTTTTTCTCAGTGTACACACGAAACAAATACTTCAAAGAAAAATTACACGGAGAGAAATATTTATTAAAAATTACGTATCTTTTCCGTAATTCCGAAGCGAAATGTAGGTGTAGGAAATTTTACGGAACTGTCACGGAATTTTTTTTTTAAATTCGCCTCTGACATGGCTAAATTGACTTTTTGTATTGTTTTTCACAAACAGTGACTTTTTTTACATGGAAGAAAGCGAAATCAGTTGTGTAGGAGTCGAATTCCAAAAAACTGGCTCGTAATTGTTGTTCCACACATTTTTCCGGAAATTTTGAAAAAAAAAATTCTTCGTAAAAAATTAGAGGCTCTGGACTGTTCTTAACATTTTAAGCGTTTTCGGGCAAACGAACAATAAAAACAAGTCTCACTCCAATAACCCACGACTTTTAAAACTCATAATAGGCTTCCCCTTAAGGGTTCCATCACTGAGTCCCTGACGGTATGTACTAGAAAATTTTACAAAAAATTCACCGTATTCAGCCGTTTTCTCATAAGATGGAAAAATCGATTTTGGGGGGATTTATGATCCCGGTTTGATAGCCTATTCCTCGCATATTACAAGCCCGCATTTCATTATTCATTATCTCCTAAACTGTGTAGCATAGCTAGTTAACATTTTTTTCAATAGCTGGGGACTATTATAAACATTATCTACAAAAACCATGACCAGAATCGTAAGAAAAACCTATTTTCAATATAATAATAATAACATAATAATGGAATAACATAATTCAATTGCGAAATTTCCGCGAGTAATTGGCGTGAAACCTCAACTAAATTTTCACACCCGCAAAAAAGTTGGTAGCGATTATATGGATTAACACTAAGATAACGATTCCATTAAACAATTCAACTGAAACAAAAATTTCTTCACAAATAAAAACTTCAAAGTCCACTATGTTGAGAGAAAAACAGGAGAGTTCTGAAGCGAGTCTTACTCGTGCCAAAAAATTGTTTGTTAAAAATGATCAAAGAGGTGCGCAGAGAATGAAAATTTTTATTACAAAAATAGATTTAGTCCTTTCAAAAAAAATTATTCTCCGTGCAAGCAAGAAATGTCATTTCTAGCCCTATTTCTTCGTTATTTGATGCTCCCATATCTATTTTTCTCCCGACAAATGCTCGTTTCATATGAAACAAGGGATTGCAGTTTGTCATTTCGGCTATTTAATAATCACAGAAAACAAATGAATTCTTAAATGAAATAATGATAATGATATGAGAGCAATCTTGTAACTTGGGAACAAAATTTTTGGCTCGTGGCGCAATAAGCTGCGAGCTGGTGATGAGAAGACTGAAAGCAACAGATAGAGACTGGTGGACAGGCTGGAGAGGAAAGACAAATCAAAGAAGCTGGAGGAAGAAGTTAATAAATGCCCTAGCCGGAGAAGTAAATGCACCGTTGTGTGTGGGACTAGCTAAGATAGAAAAAGTGCTGAGAGATTATAGCGAAAAGAAATTTTGAGAAACTAGAAATTGCGAAAGTGCTCAAACTGTGATACTGTGATATTACCATCATTTGTTGCACCCTAAAGACATTATTGACAAAAACAATTTATTGGAGTGTTATGGAGATATTTGTTGACTGGCTTGTGTAGATGTAAAACTGTAACAGTAGCATCACGGAAATAAAGTACTATTAATACTAATTTTGGCTCGAACAGTGTAGCTTCTCTCGGATACCCGTACCCCTGCTTGTTCTCCTAATCTATCGATACGAAACTTCCCACCGGATTAGGAATCGGCTCCGGAACTGTTTGGCATTCCGATCCCGCGCGTGAGACGACCCGACCGGATTAAAATTCGCAGTATTTTGATTTCTGGGAATAATTACCTCGCACTCGCGGCTCAAACGGCGGAACAGCTCGTCGCTCTCAAACTTGGCCTTCTGGTCGGGTACGACCCGGGGCATCTTGAAGACGAATCTGGGCCTGGGCTGTTCGTAGAGGCCCATGCCATCGAAGGGGAGAACACCGACACCCAGACCGGGGCCCCCGGCATGTTCGCTCATCGCGTGCATCATCTCAAGACGATTTTCCGCTCTTACTCTCGGCAATGTTGAATGTTGTTATTCCACTCGGCCCCACAAACTCAACGGTTCTCACAATTTTCTGTCAGTCCCTTCCGCTTTTCACAGTTTTTCCGGTTCACTTCAACTGGTTGATTAATTCAACGAAATCGTGAAGACATCTTACGACACTTGCGCAGATGGGATACGATGGATTATCGGTATTTGACAGATTGTCACTCTGACACACGACCGCACAGTGCGACGTCTCAGTGGAGACTAAAGTGTGCTGAGGGTCTCGGTTCCAGGGTTTATGCTGCATTGCCACGCCTACGAGGTAGGACCGCCCCTGAAAAATATCCCCCCGCCACTGGTTTCATGCTCGAGCGCACTGGGAAAGGGAAACAAGTCGATTTTGTGCCGACCTGCCCCCGTCGATGGTGAGAAACATCTGGAATATTTTGTGTTACTAGATCTGTGCGCGCGCTTATCTTTTTGTGGTGAAAATGAAGAAATCGAATTTATTAAACTTCATATACTCATAGATGTTTTGTAAATATTGATAATGACTTCAAGAGAATTAAGAGAATGAAGAGAATGAAGAGTGAAGCATCAATGAATAATTTTTAATCTTCGATTATTTCTTTTTTTTTTACTTTTTAAAATAATCTGATTAAAATCTGTAATTGTTGAAAAATCAGGGGAGGGTTATGAATTGATTTCCTAGAAAACTGAAAAAATTTCTTGAATTCTTCGGAAAATTTCACAGTTTTCCAGATAACCGTAGATCACAGATTTTTCTCAAATTATTTGGGAAATTGAAGAATTTTCGTGAATTTTGTAGAGTTTAGAATTTATGGATGAACATCTGAAAAGCAAAAATTGATCATTTTGGCGTGTGATAAATATGAAAAATGAAAAATATGACGCAGAACAAATTTTTGGCATTTGAAGTATTTGAAAATACCGTGGTTTTTTTTTCAGCGACTACTTCACGTGACTCATTGACCAATCAGAATTGAGGATTAGCTGTCAGGCAGTTTCGAGATTACTTCGATCGTGGATTACGTTTCGAAACGTAATTTTTACTTTTTTTCTGGCAATTGTTATTGAATTTTTCTCTCCGTGTGAAGGGATATCGGTACTCCTTATTCCTGTGGCTCAATTTCAATTCAGTAGCGAAGTGGTAAAACCGTTCAAGTCGACTTATCCCCCAGTTGAGTTTTTGAGGAATATTTCGGACTCTAAGGGAGATAGCAAAATTTTCGCAATTACATTTATTGCAGCTCTCAATCGGCTCTGCAAAAAAGGTTATAATAAAAATTCTGCTATCTCCCTTAGATTCCGAGATATTTGAAAACTGGTCAATAGTCAAAATTGACTTGTACCGTTTTACCACTTCGCTACTGAATTATTATTATAAAAAGAAAATGAAAAAAGAATCATAAAGGAATAATCGGCTAGAAATTGGATTTTTTTTCTTCTTTTACGTCAACGGGAACTTCGAATCACTTTTTTCCTTCAAGTATTAGACGAATATCAATATTTCAGCGAAAAAAATTCAAAAATGCGAAAAACAAAAGGCCGCAAGAACTAAAAAAATTAATTTTTCCTGAAAGTTTTAAAATCGATATATTTTTTCGAATAATAGAATAATACTCAATTTCAATTTCTACACAGCAAAAACGAACGTCTGAATTTCACACACCTTTTGTAGACATTTTTCAGGCACTAAAGAGCATCTGAATAAAATGAAAATGTGTCTGAATTTCAGACGAACGAATGCCTAAACATAATTCATGTTTGAAAGTGAAAATTGAAGTGAAAATTTTCACTTCATTCAGACGATTTTTGATGTCTGAAAATAGTCTACAAAAGGTGTGAAATTCAGAAAGTCGTTTTTGCTGTATATCCTTATTTTTTGATAGAATGAACAGAATAAATAATAAAAATTGAGAATTGAAAACTAAAAATTTTATCGGATTATTATTATATATAATAATAATGTAACTGTGAAATTTCCGTGGAGCTGCCACTCGCTAAAATTCCGCCAAAATTACGGTAAATTCCACACGAAGAGAAATTTTTTAGAAAAATTCTAGTCTACACGGAGAGAAATTTTTGATAAAAATTATCCTACCGTTCTATAAAAGTGTATCATGAGTCATCGTTTCCTCATTTCTATCCCGAAATTTAGTAAAAATTAATGTATGATGATCAAATTTAATTCTACGTTAGAGAAATTTTATCCTGATAAAAATAACCGTGCCGGTAGAGTAAAAATTACTGTACTGGTAGAGTAAAATTTACCAACCGTTCTAAAATTTTCGTTGTTATTTACATAAAAATTATTGGACTAGAAGGGTAAAATGTATTATGCGTCAGGATAAAATTTCTCTAACCTAGAATGAAATTTGATCATCATATATTAATTTTTATTAAATTTTGGGGTAGAAATGAGGAAACGGTGACTCATGATACACTTTTATAGAACAGTAGGATAATTTTTATAAAAAATTTCTCTCCGTGTAGCACGGAAAAAAGGCGCAAAGTGACGGCCAGGAAGAAATTCCAGTACCGGCACTTGAAATTTTATCGGGGAAAGCGTGAATTTTTCCCTGAATTTTGTGAAAATTTCACAGAAATTCCACGAAATTTTACCAGAAATACCAAGAAATTTTCCTTTAACAGCACTAGAATTTTTCACAGCCGGTGGATTGTGATTTTTTCCAGTACTCGTACTAGAATTTTTCTAGAAAATTTCTCTCCGTGCAGTCAAAAATTTCCAATAGTGAATTATTATTCCAAAATATTACCCCTCATCAATGAACAAATATAAGAAAGCCCCAGTCCCACCCCGAAATGAGCATAAATTCAGTGTTTTGATGTCCTTCGATTGGATGAGGGATCCGAGTGCTCGAAAACGTCAAACCCTCCCCCTTCTCGAGCACATATACGCTGAGAAGAGCATTAAGTGTGTCGATTCCCCGGGGGAAAAATATGCCGCTCTTCGAGTGGCTCATCCATTCAAGAGGATCATTGTCAAGCCCGGCGATTAAGATCGCGGGCTCTTTTTGGACACTGCCAAATGGATACCCATTTATCCATCTCCCTTTTTAGTGCCTCTGTCGCCATTGCAGGGAGGAGAATGATGCTCCATACAGCAGTGTGCATGAATGGCCCGTTGGCTATGAGTTTATGAAGGTACATTTTTATTGGGGATTAGAGACGTTAAACAATCAAAACAATTGTGAAAAGGTCTCTCCGCCGGATGTGCCTGATTCAGAATTTCAGGGGAATCAATTTTACGGAGGGACTTTTACGGGTCATACCTGGCCCCACTGTTGACCTGGCAACTTGCCAAACGCATCTCTGCACCGCCATAAAACAATAAAAGTGTTGAAACTCGAAAAGTTTTCAGGAGTGGTTTTTCTTCGGTTGCACCATAAATTAAGTTAAATGATGCAGTCGAGAGAACAGAAAGTCTTGCTTTCAGGGGCTTTTTTAAAGGGGAGACTACTGTGAGTTTTAAAAGTCATGGGTTATTGGAGTGAGACTTTTTATATAGATCTGAAAATGAATAATTAGTGCAAAAAAATTTTTTTTCATTGTTCGTTCGTCCCAAAACGCTTAAAATGCTAAAAACAGTCCAGGGTCTCCAATTTTTGAGCAACAAAAGATTTTTTTTCTTCAAAATTTTCGGAAAAATGTGTGGAACAACAATTACGAGCCAGTTTTTTGGAATTCGACTCCTACACAGCTGATTTCGTTTTTTTTCATATAAGAAAATTCACTATTTGTGTAAAAAAATACAAAAAAGAAAATTTTGCCATGTAAGAGACGAATTGAAAAAAAAATAGCTCTTAATTGTTGTTCCACATATTTTTCCGAAAATTTTGAAAAAAAATCCTTCGTAGCTCAAAAATTGGAGGCCCTGGACTGTTTTGGCATTTTAAGCGTTTTCGGGCAAACGAACAATAAAAAAAATTTTTTTTTGCACTAATTATTCGTTGTCAGATCTATATAATTAATCTTCAACGTATGAAAAGTCTCTCTCCAATAACCCACGACTTTTAGAACTCATAGTAGTCTCCCCTTAAAGGGAAACGGAACCCCTGTGTCTATATGAACTTTTAGAATTGTGTTTTCTCCTGCAATTATTACTTTCTATTTATGGAACTACTTCATTGATTCAACAATGCAATGATTAAGTCAAGTATAAAGTAATTTCACAGATATGAAGTAATAATTGTCGGACAAAACACAATTCTAAAAATTCATATAGACACAGGGGTTCCGTTTCCCCTTAAAAAGAGTTTTTCAAAGCTGTTGATTTTTGGGAATAGGGAAGGAGAGAACTGTCTGGAGATTTTATTTGGAGAATTTAAAATATTTGAATGGAGAAAACCATTTTTCAGGCGCCATACGATGCGCGGCTTCGCGCACGGAGAGAAATATTCAATAAAAATTAGCTATCTTTTTCGTAATTCCGGAGCGAAATGTGGTTGTAAGAAATTTTACGGGACTGCCACGGAGTTTTTCCAGAGCGTTCCGTAATTTTGATCTGAATCTCCTGTATAAAATTGCGATACCGTCACTTTTGAAAATTGACAATCACCAACAAAGTTATAATTTTTTAAATTAATAGTATTAGACAGATGATGAACATCGGTGACAATTTCAAAATTTTAGAACTTATGGATATCGAGAAATTAAATGAACAAAATCAGTCTTATACACGGCCTCTTATGGAGTTTTGATTAAATTGAACGTTTCAACCCCCTAGGAACTCAAGAAAAATTTGAAAAAATTTGAAGATATGGGGAATGATGTGTTCAATGTGATGGCGACAAAAAACAATGGGGTACCGGGGTGAATAAGAGAGATATTTCAACCCGCCGTACCCATTTGATCCCATGCTTTCTCGAGGTTCGTCACGCGAAATAGAGGATTTTCCGCATTTATTTTCTCGATGTCTAGTTCCGGTTGCGGGTTTGAAATTTCGTCGGATGGATGAATACATATTTCTCCAATGATGGAGGGAAAGAAAAAATTTGTTTTGAATCTTTTTTCAAATTCACTTGGCACCCTTAATTCTCTGAGTCGATTCTGTTATCGGTGAGCGAATTGTGAGTTCCGTAATTTTTACTGAACATTTCTCTCCATGCGGTTTATGAGAGAATTCTTTGATTGGGAATCAAAGTAAAGAAATGAGTGATTTTATAACACTCTGAAGAAGTATAGTTGAAATTAAAACAAAGTTATCAGCAGTGTTGAGATGCGCATTATTTCCAGTGCATTCAACATGAAACTTCACTTCTATATTTAACTTCGTTCTTTCCAAAATATATATCCAACAAAAAAGCACCCGATATTCTCTTCTCCTCTGTTATTTTATTTGTCCTCATTCATCGTTCAGATTCAATCTCGAATTCTCATTCTCTGAATAATGGAGATTGCCAGGCCATTCCCTTGTTCCATCTCTCCATAAACAGTAACGATCGACATGAAAAGGATTTCGTTGCATCTCCCAACGTCGCGGATTAAATTTTCCTCCCCAGATTTTCCCAGAGCTATAAAAGCCCCGAAAAAGAGTGCAGAGTGCGATACCACGATCCCACCAACGTAGAAGCACTTCCATTGGTCCAGTCAACCCGCCAATCACAGTTTAGTAACGTTTGTTCCTATCTCTCTCTGAACGTTAAAATTATTCGCATGTGTCGGAGAGTGCGAGGCACTCATGCATATGCACACGAGCCGGTCTATGCCAATTGTACCATGAAAATTCGGCTCCATAAATTTCCGAAGGGATGAAACATCTCATTTAGGTATGCCCCAAGGCAATACCACCCAAAAGTTGGTCCCTATGGATTTTCGGAAAAAATTCTAAATGACTTAATTTAATGCATATTCATTTATCCAACTTTCACTCTCATCTGTCCCCATGTCCTCCACATCGGAGACAGAAAAAAATACCCTACCATTTGGAAAATTTAACTGCACATGGAACAGCAATTTTTGCAACCAGAGATGTGTATTGTTTACTGAACGAATCGTAAAATATTCAATATAATCGCAAAAAGTATTTTTTATTGAATTACAATTTCCCTCCACGATTACCTTTCGAATAGTAAAATTAGCCACGATTTCCCAGATAATTTTCCTTCAGCTTTTCTCTCTGTACAGTTCAGCCAGAATTATCATCACAATCTTTGAGAATTTAATTCTCCTCGATTCAGTCATATACAGAGGAAATTGTAGACGCTTCTAGAGGCACTCGACGATCGATAGAACCCGTTGCCAGAGACTCGGACTATATTTTGTAAACAGACGAGAACAATCTATTCGTCCCTTCAACTTTATTTGGTCATTTTCGCTGGTCTCAATCCCATTGTATTTCTCTGCTTGAAAATTTTCAATTTCCCTGACTTTCATGACTGGGTAATTGTTGAAAATAGCAGCGCTGAGAATAGATAATTGTTGGAAACACTATCATTGAGACGAATGAGCGCAAATTCAAATAGCCGTAGAGCGGGTAGTCATGGTAACGTGGTAACTAGAGACTGCAGAGTTCATATATCGAGTAAACCAGTTGTGCTCGTGTGTAGCTGATTCGATCGAGTTACTGTGGCTCTTCAACTCTCGCAGTGACAGAAGTGGTTTTTATTCTATTTTGATAGGTAAGTATTAGCCTGATACGTTGGGAAAATCTATCTAGAATGTGCAAGCGAAACGCGCGTCAAACTGACACGAATTTCTCATTTTGCAGAAATTTTCGGTCATAATCATGTCCGCAAGAGCTACATCGGCGGATTCAATCGCTTGGCAGAAACGAGCGTTCGAGAGGCATCGCAAACGCGTGAGTTTTCACTCGTGCGTTCAATAATTCAACATTAATTTCATTATCAGTCACTAAACATCAAATTCATAATCATCGAGAAATCAATAATTTAATGTCGATTGATTTCATCTTCAATTACTAAAATCAGTCGAAGCGTTGAAATAATAGATGTCATCATTGAGAGAAAAGTTGAAAACGATTGTTGAAAATTTAGAATTTTTATAATGTTTCAAATTCATTTCAGTAGCGAAGTGGTAAACCGGTATAAGTCGATTTTGACTATTGGCCAGTTTTCAATAAATATCTCGGAATCTAAGGGAGATGGCAAAATTGTTGTTATTACCTTTTTTGTAGAGCCGATTAAGAGCTACAACAAACGTAATTATGAAAATTTCGCTATCTCCCTTAGATTCGGAAATATTCCTCAAAAACTCAACTGATTTTATCGAAGGGCTGAGGGGAGAGATAGAACTATAAAAAGATAATCGGTTGTATAGAAATCTTATTTAATTGAATGAAATAAAATAAACAATGAATTATATGTGATAGACGGAAATGATGCGCAATATAATCGTTCGGAAGCATTTTGCTAATTTATTAGCAAAAATAACTATACTATATGCAATACAAGAGCCATTTCGAACTTGTTTAGGGTCAATTTGATAGGATTTAGAAAGGCATAAGCTCGTATATGCTCATGTAAACACATGTAATTATCAAAACGAAGGAAAATATGAAATTGGGTAAACGACTTTTTCGCTTTAAGGGGAAACGGAACCACATGAACGTCCACATGAACTTTAGACTTCTGTTTTCTCCTACAATTATTAATTTTTATCTATGAAACTATTCTATCGACTTCGTCATTCCATTGTTGAGTTAATGAAGTAGTTTCATAAATAAAAAATAATAATTGCAGGAGACAATACAATTCTACACGGAGAGAAATATTCAATAAAAATTACCAGAAAAAAGGCGTAAAAATTACGTTTCGAAACGTAATCTGGGAGCGAAGTAAAATTCAATAAAAAGTGTCAATCGTCACGTAAATTCTACGATCTGTTCCGTAAAAATTATTCATCCGTCCGACACCTCACGGCTAGCCATGAGTCACCGTGAGGGGGGGATTTTAACAACACCTTCCGTAATTTTTCCGGAACTTTTCGTAAAAATTCTTAAACATCCAAGAATTTTCATGTTCTGAGGCATAATAAGTCTTGAAGTTTCTGTTAGATTTTACAACTTCCAGAAAAATTACGTGACTTTTTCTTTTTTTTTCGGTGATAGACCCGAAAATTTACTGAACGTTTCAGATTTATTCTCTTATATTCCTATAGAAATTCACTGAAAACGATTCTCGCTTGCGGATTACGTGAAATGTTCCGTAATTTTTCTTGAATAATTCTCTCCGTGTAAAAGTTCCGAGGCGAAGCCGAGGAATGCAATCACACGAGTTTGTGAAAAGTTGTTTTCGGCCGTGTGACAAAAATGATCATCCCTAACGTGGCGGTCTAACTCTCGATTATTCATTCTAATTCGAAGGTGAAGACTGCTGTGCCCACGGTGGACATGAACCCCCCGTGTACTCGCCCCCACGTCCTCCGAGATGCTAAAAGACTGCAATTACAACGAGAACGACAGGCTGAAATAATGAGGGACAATTTTATTCTCTTGAGAAATTTGGAGGATATTATGCATGGACGGAAGAAAAAGAGGGCTTATCGATTGGACGAGAAAACAGCCGCCTGCATAAAGACACGCTAGATGTTCTACCGTTCCATTTTTGTATTTTTATATTTTTACAATTGTGTATGCGTTAGTGAATAAATTATCTGAGACTAGAGTATTTTTCGCTTCTTCCTTAGTTCACTCGACGTGTCCTTGAAATTTATATTCTCTTCTTTTGGCTTCACATTTATGGGTGTTTTATCTCCATTGAAATAAGTAAATAAGGGAGGTTGGGGTAAAACGGACACTTTTGACTTTTTTTTAAATGTTAATGAGGGGTTGAAATGTAGATAAAATTTAATAATTTTTTTTCCAGTTACAAAGAACATTCTTTCCCTTTGTGACGAGCCTAAACTGAGCTCAATTGGTCAATTTGTTTCTGAGTTATGAATAATTAAAAAAAAAGTCTAAAGTGTCCATTTTACCCCACCCTCCCCTATATCATCACTTTTTGTTTCTCAAATGTGGGTATTGTTGAGCTCTATCCATTGACATTACTTGAAATTTAATTCATACGTTAATTTTTTTAGAGTTCCGAATTTTTTCAGAAATCGGTTGTCTCATAATGACTAAAAAAAATTCTGAATTCATTGAATAATGACTGAGAAAAATGGTTTTGATGGCCTTTTAAAGTAGCTCTAGCCTTCGGCCGGGCTACGCTGTACTTTTGGATGTGTTCAGTTTTTTAATTTTTCAACTAAATTACTTGTTTATATATTCTTTATAAATTTGAAAAATATATGGAATTGGCTGATATTATACATTTTTTGATGGGACTTGATTCAAACAGTTATTGTTGCCTTCATCAACAACAAAAAACTCAATAAATTATGAGAATGCAATAAAAAGGCATTTGAAAATCTTACGTCATCTTTAAGTCATTTTAAATTCTGTCCGGAAGCCCATAGGGACTAACTTTTGGGTGTTATTGTCTTGGGATGCACCTTAAGACAAAATAAATTCCCACTTGCTTTATAGAGGATACAGCCATCTCCATTCGAACTCGAGAACAAGCGCAAAGCCAGCAGATGGAGCTAGCGTACAGTTCCGTATTACCGATCGGGCAAATCGGAAGGGAAAAACAACAAAAATTCGCCCGGCCGGCAATCGTTGATCAGTCTCACACTCGCTGCCGGATTCTAAACTTCTTCGGGAATCTTAAAGAGAAAAATAATTACCCCGTGCATTTATTTTCGTAAGAGATAAAATGACTGGAAAACCCAATTACAAAGTCGGTAAGTTGATCTTTATTGTCCCCAGTTATTTTCGTCTAATCATCAATTCTGAAAATAATATCAGAAATAGAAAGATGTTCGATTCCTCCGAACACGTGGTGTCAGCAGTCTTGATGATTGGGAATCTAGGGGAGGTTGGGGTAAAACGGACACTTGACTTTTTTAAAAATATTAATGAGGGGTTGAAATGTTGATAAAATTTAATAATTTGTTTTTCAATTACAAAGAACAATTCTTTCCCTTTGTGACGAGCCTAAACTGAGTTCAATTGGTCAATTTGTTTCTGAGTTATGAATAATTTTGAAAAAGTCTAAAGTGTCCGTTTTGCCCCACCCTGCGTGGATAACCAGGGAATCGTCGAAAAGAATTCGGATCTCATTAGTTGTGACTGGAAAGAATGACAAAAATGTAAATTAATCTAAAACAAATTATGTAAATGGTGGATTTAGATAATAGATAAAATAAATTATGATACACACTGGAAACGTGTAATTTTTACACGCATATGGTGCGTAACAGCTACATACTTCATATGAGTTGCATATGTACACATTTTAAAACGTGTAAGAAGTGTCTACATGATTTTACACACTTAAGGCCCGGCTGGATTATCTTTCGAACGTCATCTCGATTGTTTTTCCATCTTCATAATGTAACATATATCACAATTTCCATTCACGGACGAAAAAATGTAATAGAAAAACCTATCGCATTCTTTGGAAAATTCTATTGAAATGTTCAATAGAAAATATTCAGTAGAAAAGTCAATAGAATTCAATTTTTCTATAGGGGAGGGTGGGGTAAAATGGACACTTTTGACTTTTTTTGAAATGTTCATGCCGTGTTGAATTGTTCATTAAATGGAATAATTTCATTTTTTAATAGAAAGAACAATGATTCCTCTTTGTGATGAGCTTAGACTGAGCTCAATTGATAAATCTGTTCCTGAGCTACGAATATTTAAAAAAAAGTCAAAAGTGTCCATTTTACCCCATCCTCCCCTACAACTTATTCTGCTGAGATATTTTCTATAGAATTTCCTCGGCTCAAATTTTCTAAGGTTTTTCGTTTCATTTTCTTGATGAGAAGAAAAGAAAAACAAATGAAAAAAAATTGGAAAATTTGAGTCGAGCAAATTCTATAGAAAATATATGAAAAGAATAAGTTATATAGAAAAATCGAATTCTGTTGACTTTTTCTATTAAATGTTTTCTACTGAACATGTCAATCAGCCAAAAACTAATAGAAAGTTATTGATAGAAATTCAATAGAATTTTCTAACGAATTCGATAGGTTTTTCTATTAAATTTTTTCGTGCGTGTTGGATTTTGCATCACACAAATCCCCGTCCTGAAGATGTCCTGTTTACCCTACATCATTCACGAACAAGATAATTGATGAGAGATTGGTGATTTTCCAGCCGATATTACCCTGGCCGAATTCGGCCGGAAGGAAATCACTCTCGCTGAGAATGAGATGCCAGGGCTGATGGCCATTCGCAAGAAGTATGGACCCCAGAAGATTCTCAAGGGTGCGAGAATCGCCGGCTGTCTCCACATGACCGTGCAGACTGCTGTTCTCATCGAGACCCTCACGGAGCTAGGGGCAGAGGTGAGTTAAAAATGTCCTCGTCAGATAAGCATGCATAATTCGGTGAATATTGTCCATTTCTCCTGAAGGAGTGCAAATGTGTCACTTTTTTTATTGTTATTTAAAGTGCTGGAATCCTAATTCAGTAGCGAAGTGGAAAAGGGAGATAAGTCAATTTTGACTATTGACCAGTTTTCAATCAATATCTCGGAATCTAAGGGAGATAGCAAAATTGTTGTTATAACCTTTTTTGTGGAGTCGATTGAGTGCTACAACAAATGTAATTGTGAAAATTTCGCTATCTCCCTTGGATTCGGAAATATTCCTCAAAAACTCAACTGGGAAACAAGTCGACTTATCTCCGTTTACCACTTCACTACTGAATTATAGATTATTCACACCGTCGTTGCTGTTTTATATTTCTCAATTTGTCAGACTTATTACAGTTGGTTTCCTTTTTATCACGCATGAAAAAAATTAATAGAACACCTAGCGAATTCGCAAGAAAATTCTATTGGACTTCTATGGGGTTTCTATAAGATTTCTATTAGAATTCTATTGGAAAATTCAATGAAATTCTATTGAAAAATTATATCTTCAATTTTCCAAGTTTTTTCCACTCGGATTCTGTAATGCAAAAGAAAAGAAAATCCAGTGGAAAAAAATTGGAAAATTTGTGCCCAATAATTTTGTTCTGTGTTTGTTAGGGAGGAAAAGGGCAAATACGCAACAATAGGTTCTCCCACTAGTCTGCAAAATAACGGAATTTTCCTCAAACATTTTCCTCAAAAAATCGCTTTTCGGAAAATGGATAAACATTCTCAACACTTGAAAATCGACAAATATCCCAGCTTTATATTGTAAAAAATGGATACATTTAATAAATAAATGGCAGTTTATTAAAGATTTTGAGACAAAATAAATGCAAAAAGAGATATAAAAAAAATGACCCGTCCGCGGAATAGGAATCAAGATAAAAGAATAACGAGAAAGAAAAGAGACGATCGTACACGAAGGTATTTGTTAGGGAGGAAAAGGGGAAATACGCAACAATAGGTTCTCCCACTAGTCTGCAAAATAACGGAATTTTCCTCAAAAATTCGCTTTTCGGAAAGTGGATAAACATTCTCAACACTTGAAAATTGATAAATACCCCAGCTTTATATTGTAAAGAATGGGCACATTTAATAAATAAATAACAATTTATTAAAGATTTTGGGATGAAATAAATGCAAAAAGAGATATAAAAAGAAATGACACATCCGCGGAATAGGAATCAAGATAAAAGAATAACGAGAAAAAGAATAACGGAATTTTCCTCAAACATTTTCCTCAAAAAATCGCTTTTCGGAAAGTGGATAACCATCCTCAACACTGGAAAATTGACAAATATCCCAAAATTGCATGAAAATATTATTTTTTCAGGTACAATGGTCCTCCTGCAACATTTTCAGTACCCAAGACCACGCAGCGGCAGCAATCGCGAAGACGGGAGTCCCCGTTTACGCCTGGAAGGGTGAAACCGACGAGGAGTACACCTGGTGCATCGAGCAAACTCTAGTCTTCAAGGACGGAAAGCCCCTGAACCTTATCCTGGACGATGGAGGTGACCTCACCAACCTCGTCAACACTAAATACCCAGAATACCTGAAGGAGTGTCGCGGCATCTCCGAGGAGACAACCACTGGTGTCCACAATCTCTACAAAATGCTCCGGGAGAATAAACTCAAAGTCCCAGCGATCAACGTCAACGATTCTGTTACAAAGGTTTGTCATTGCGTCAGATTAAATCCGTTGATCACACGAAACTGTTTACTTGCCTCGGGAAAATATTTCTTATCTAGTTTCTTTCTAATCTTATCTTTTATTTCACAATTGACTTGGGAACGTGTGGGTATTTATGAATGGAATTCGTCGGAATTCATTATTTCGAAATTATCAGAAATGCACACTCAGAAAAATTATTTATGGTACCGTGATGGCACCAGTTTTCGAAGGGTTAAGAAGCAACGGAACCCCTGTGTCTAGTAGCGAAATGGTAAAACGGTACAAGTCATTTTTGATTATTGGCCAGTTTTCAATGAGTATCTCGGAATCTAAGGGAGATAGCAAAATTGTTGTTATAACTTTCTTTGTAGAGCCGTTTGAGTACTACAAAAATTTCACCATCTCCCTTAGATTCAGGAATATTCTTCAAAAACTCAACTGGGACATAAGTCAACTTAAACGGTTTTACTGCTTCGCTACTGATATGAAGTTTTAGAATTGTGTTTTCTCCGACAATTATTAATTTTTATCTATGAAACTACTTTATCGGGTCGGCCATTGCATTGTTGAGTCAATGAAGTAGTTTTATCAATAAAAAATGATAACTGCAGAAGAAAACACAATTCTAAGAGTTCATATGGACACAAGGGTTCCGTTTCTCCTTAAGGGGAGACATTTTTTATTATTGGCCAGCTTTCAATGAGTATCTCGGAATCTAAGGGAGATAGCAAAATTGTTGTTATAACTTTCTTTGTAGAGCCGTTTGAGTACTACAAAAATTTCACCATCTCCCTTAGATTCGGGAATATTCCTCAAAAACTCAACTGGGAGATAAGTCAACTTAAACGGTTTTACTGCTTCGCTACTGATATGAAGTTTTAGAATTGTGTTTTCTCCGACAATTATTAATTTTTATCTATGAAACTACTTTATCGGGTCGGCCATTGCATTGTTGAGTCAATGAAGTAGTTTTATCAATAAAAAATGATAATAGCAGAAGAAAACACAATTCTAAGAGTTCATATGGACACAAGGGTTGCGTTTCTCCTTAAGGGGAGACATTTTTTATTATTGGCCAGCTTTCAACGAGTATCTCGGAATCTAAGGGAGATAGCAAAATTGTTGTTATAACTTTCTTTGTAGAGCCGTTTGAGTACTACAAAAATTTCACCATCTCCCTTAGATTCGGGAATATTCCTCAAAAACTCAACTGGGAGATAAGTCAACTTAAACGGTTCTACTGCTTCGCTACTGATATGAAGTTTTAGAATTGTGTTTTCTCCGACAATTATTAATTTTTATCTATGAAACTACTTTATCGGGTCGGCCATTGCATTGTTGAGTCAATGAAGTAGTTTTATCAATAAAAAATGATAATTGCAGAAGAAAACAATTCTAAGAGTTCATATAGACACAAGGGTTCCGTTTCTCCTTAAGGGGAGACTACTATGAGTTTTAAAAGTCGTGGGTTATTGGAGTGAAACTTTTCATACGTTGAAGATCGATTATATAGATCTGAAAACGAATAACTAATGCAAAAAAAATTATTTATTGTTCGTTTGCCTGAAAACGCTTAAAATGCTAAAAACAGTCCAGGGCCTCCAATTTTTGAGCTACAAAAGATTTTTTTGTCATTCCGGCCGTAAGGTCGGAGGCTACGCTTCGCTCGGCGTCCGTGAATCCCTGCCTACGGCCGTCATGACAAAATAGTATATTTCGTCACTAGAAAGTTTTTTTTGGCCATATGACGAACAGTATTTTTTGTCATGACGGCCGTAGGCAGAGATTCACGGACGCTGAGCGGAATTATCAGACATTCGAAAAACTCGTGCATTGAGAAGCGCATCATATCTCCAACCTAACACTGATATCCTATTACAGAGTAAATTCGACAATCTTTATGGATGCCGAGAGTCCCTGATCGATGGAATAAAGCGAGCAACGGATGTGATGATCGCTGGGAAAGTCTGCGTCGTTGCAGGATACGGAGACGTGGGCAAGGGTTGCGCCCAGAGCCTCCGAGCCTTCGGTGGTCGCGTCGTCATCACGGAAATCGACCCCATAAACGCTCTCCAGGCTGCCATGGAGGGATACGAAGTCACAACTATGGAGGAAGCTGCTGCAAAGGCCCAGATCTTCGTCACAACGACTGGATGCAAGGACATCATCACTGGGGCACACTTTGAATCCATGCCCGATGACGCGATCGTTTGTAATATCGGACACTTTGACTGCGAGATTCAGGTGTCGTGGCTGGAGAAGAATGCCGTTGAGAAGGTCAACATCAAGCCACAAGTGGACAGGTTCAGGCTTAGCAATGGGAGACACGTCATTCTTCTTGCTGAGGGACGACTGGTCAATCTGGGATGCGCCACTGGGCATTCCAGCTTCGTCATGAGCAACTCGTTCACTAATCAGGTGCTGGCGCAGATCGAACTGTGGACCAAGCCTGGCGAGTACAAGATCGGCGTTCACATGCTGCCCAAGAAGGTGGGGAATCCTTCCTTTTCTTTTGACGTTCAGTTGTGAAGTAGTGAAATAGGATGAGTCAATCTTCCTCTCGTAGAATTGAAAATTAGTTACCATACACTGAGAGAAAAACAAACACGTCAAACAAGTGTTGTTTGGGCCAACAAAGTGACTAGTTGAAAATTGCAACAAAAGAATTTGTTTGGTTCGAATTTGAAAGTCTCAAACATGAATAATTGTTCTGCTTTCGACAGCAATGAAATGTTTGGCTCAAGAGGCGGGTAATTCACACCAGACAGTGCCTTTTCAGGATGAAAATATCTCATATGGAGGAAAATTTGGAAACAAATATTTTATCCCCAAGTTACAAGATTGATATCATATCCTTGTTATTGTTTCATTTAAAGGTTCATTTCTTGTCTGTGATTATTAGACAGCCGAAACGAAAAACTACCATCCCTTGTTTCGCATAAAACAAAGATTTTTCGGGAGCAAAATACGTATGGGAGTATCGAATAGCGAAGGAGTAGTGCTAAAAATGACATTTCTTGCGTGTGCAGAGAGTGCAATTTTTTTTAAACTACTAAATCTATTTTTGCGACAAAAACTTTTGATTCCGGCGCACTCTCTGCATTTTTGGCACAAAAAAAATCTTTTTTGATCATTTTCAAAAAACTATTTTCTTGGCACAAGTAAGACTTGTTTGAGAACGTTTTCGTTTTTCTCTCAGTGTAAAATTAGAAAATTGAAGTAGAAAGTCTTGATATTTTATGTAAACGTTAAATTTAGATAATATTCCTGTGGATTTTGTTCTGGATAAATGAGTTCAGTAGCGAAGTAGTAAAATGGTTCAAGTCAACTTAGCTCTCAGCTGAGTTTTCGAGGAATATCTCCGAATCTAAGGGAAATAATGAAATTTTTGTAATAACTTTTTTTGTAGAGCGAATTGAGGGCTATAAAAAAGTTTATGTCAACAATTTTACTATCTCCCCTAGGTTTCGAGTTATGCATGGGAAACTGTCCAATAGTCAAAATCGACTGAAGGATATTCAAGATAGGATAGGATATTTAACCATTTTCAATCAGCAAATTTGTCAATTAAATTATGTGAGAAAAATTTGAAAAAAATCACGTGAAAATCAAATCAGTAATCATAAAATGACATTTTGCCCAGAATAATAATTTTTTTAAACATTTTTTGTTGATAAATAATTGAAATTGTTCAAACTTTCAGAAATCTTATTTTTTCAGGCCTGATTTTTATGGTGGAAAATTGATTGTTTATAAATTATTTCTCAAAAATGCTCGTAATTTTCAAAAATTGGTATTTTTTAATTATTTCATCAATCTTCCTTCAAAAGTAAACTTTCTAATTTTTCTTCAGAGATTCAAATTCAGACCTGCAAAGTGTTAATAATAAAATCATTGTGAAATGTCCGGAAACTTGGAATAGCCAAAGTACTTGAATATCCTTAAGTTGAATTAGCCCTTAGCTGAGTTTTCGTGGAATATCTCCGAATCTAAAGGAGTTAACGAAATTTGCATAATGACCTTTTTTGTAGCCCTCAAATCACTCTGCAAAAAAGATTTCGACAAAAATTTCGCTATCTCCCCTAGATTTCGAGATATTCATTAAAAATTGGCCAATAGTCAAAATCGACTTGAACCATTTTACCGCTTCGCTACTGAAATCTATTGTTTAGAAACAAGAAACTCATTCTTTTCTCAATTTTCAGCTCGATGAAGAAGTTGCTGCTCTCCACCTGGACAAATTAGGCGTCAAACTCACGAAATTGACCCCAGAACAAGCGAAATACCTGGACATTCCTGTGAATGGGCCCTTCAAGCCTGACCACTACAGATACTAAATGAATTCTAAAAACAGAAGAAAATCATTTGCGGATTAACGTATAGGGCTTATGGTTTCTACCCTGTTCTATTCTGTTTTAAGGTCGTCCAACATCGAGGTTGTACGGGCCGAAGTGTATGGTTTTACTAAGAGATAGTGGTGTGAAGTGAGCATTTGCATTGATAAAGAAAATTTTTTGTACGTTCTAGTGTTATTTGTTTTACTCAATTTCACTTGTCATTTTCGTTTCTCATTTATTTGCATCTATTGAAGTGATAATCAGTGAAGCAACTAGCGATAGGGAATTCATACAAAGTATATCGGGACTAATGGAATGGGAAAAAAAAGTCAAACGAGTTGGTCCTCCTGTCAACGTTCATCCGGGTATCAAGGTAAGTATGAAAATAGTCAATCAATGTAATTCATTCATACAAGTTCTAAGGATGTTTATCCTCAATTTTTTTTAACTAATGGAACATACGAGACTAGCCTTTTTGATGGTTCAAATAAACAAATTTTTTTTTCTTATACACGGACTCTTGGGATTTTTTCGTGAAATAATAATTCATCTAGTGGTAGACACCAAGGAAAAATATGAAAGTAGATAATGTGAAAAAATATATTAAATCGAGTGAAGCCAAGAAAAAACCTGGGGTATTTAAGCAAATCATGCAGACATTTAGAATTTAAACTCCATATAAACTCATGCTGACACTTACAGTCGGTGCAGGGATGGCCATCAATCTCCCGATTCTTCAATATTAAGGCCTGGGTGTACCATCTTTTGAATGTTATCTGGATTTTTTTAATCTTTCGTAATCCAAAATTGTCAATTGAGTGGTACATCATGTAGAAATTCCCAAAAATTATGATAGAATGATAAAAAAAATAGAAAAAAATTCTGAACTTTTTCAAAACGCGTCTTTAATTGAGATTCAGAATGAGTTGAAAAAAGTGGAAATTACAAATATCTGATTCGCTGTGGCAAATTATCTATTAGCTGTCATTTTCCATGGTGAATCACAAAACACTAACTCCCCATGGGAAGTGACAGCTAGGTATCTCAATTTTCAAAACAGTGGTATGTAGCCATCTGGCATTTTTATGTGATAAAAGTGAGATTAAAAAATTTTCCAAAATATTACAACTTTTTTCAAAGAGTCTTTTCCGTAATAAATGTCTCTGTCCAGTGTGGGAAGATTTACGAAATCAGTCTTCTTCTCTTCTCACCTAAATCATTAATTAATAAAATAGTTCAAAATTTGAATATTTAAATTGATGATTACTTGAATAATTAAAAGTTTAAGAGTGATGTTAACTAATTGGCGGCTTCAAAATTTAACGGTAATTGTGATTCATGGATATGAATATCCCTGCTCAAGATTTTAGATAAACATCCTTATAATCATTCAATATTTGAAGAAAAACAGAAAAATGAATTTTTGGGTGAAATTAAGTTGGCAAGATGGGTTTTCCTAACAACTGGCATAATTTACGGTGCAACAAAACACGTGAAATACTCTGCTATGGAGAGACAACGTCAGATAGATAAAGAAGGAACGCAAGTTACAAAAGACCAGTTCATTGAAGAAGAAAAATCAAGAATTCTGGAGGGAGAATCGCAATTCCGAGACGAATTTCTTGACGAAGGAAATTCCATGATTTCAGACGAACCACCAGAGGAGCCTGATCACGAATGAGTGAAGGGACCGAACTTTCCAAGATATTCAGTATGAAAAATGTATTTTACAGAATGTACATGAGATACATGGAGTCTAATAGTTAACGTAACTAATTTACAGTCTTTTTCATTTATATTACACAAATTTACATTTTAAGTAGTGAAGTACTTTCCTGCAGACAGGAACAGCCACAGCCAGTTGGACAAACACTTTCTTTGGTGAACCATGCGGCTAGATGCTGTGTGTGACCTCCGTGACCACAGACGGTGCAAAAATTGCTTGGACCTAGAAAACGAGCCAGGAAATTTTCAGAATATTTTGAAGTCTAATAAGGGAGAGACGAATTATAAGCTCATTTCATTGAAAGAACAGTTTATGCAAAATATGTCAAAATCAGTGAGATAGTGAATTTTTTTGGAGAAAAAGTCCCTATAAATTTAACTAAATAAATAAATTTAACTAAAAACTCTGGAATACTTTTGGAAAACATTTAAATAGCTACGCTGAGAGAAAAAATTTGAGCTGCCCAAGTATTATATATTTCGCGAACGAGATTCTTCGTCGTGTTTAATGAATTTAGTTGTAGATAATGAAGAAAGTTTTCACCAAAATATAATTTTTGGGCAATAATTGTGTTCGTAAAAAAATTGTCTTTCGCTGTCAAGAAATTTTGGTCGTAATTTCCAGCAACTTCTGAAAATTTTTCATTAATTGACAGTTCCATTAAAATTTCAAGGGATTTCGTCATTGAAAACTCACAATTTGATAAACAAAATCACAGGAAACTCGAAATTTCAGATGAATTATTCCATAAAAAACGATGAAAATGAGGAAAATTCAGGTCAAAATATTCTTAAATTTCCAATCAAAAATTTGAATAATTTAAGGTATTCTCGTCTTCCTGCTGCTAAAAAAATAGAAATTCCATAATTTTCCCCCAAAAATCAATTCACTGTAACTCTTCTGAAAATTTCTACCGTGAAGGACTCAGTTTTCGAAAATTTAAAATCGATTTCCGAACACACACAAAAAAATACACAACTTTACTTCCATTGAGAATAAAATAGTTTCAAGATTTTTGTTTGCTATCTCTGAATGATTCAAACAATTTCTTATCGAATAATTAATGACGCAATTGAATCATGCCACAGTAATTCCAGAAATGTCCGATAACTAGGTCCTCGACGGTATTAACCCGTCATGAACGGCGCAAAAATTGAAATAAAATGCATTGGCTGTATTGAACTTTGAGAGAACCTCCTAGAGAATTTCAGTCCCCCCCAAATCTGCCATAATTTTTTCCAACAATACCTCTAACAGAAATGTGGCAAATAACACATTGAAACGTCAATCTCTTGCAATGAGAGCACTGGGGTCCCCTGCTGGTCTTCGTGCACAGATGGCATTCGCTCTGAAACTCGACATCCTTATTCGTATCTATATGCGACAAGCTAACGTGCTTGAGAACTTGTGCCCTGGCATCCAAAAGCCTCCACCTGTGCAGCACCTCAGCATAAGCCTTCTTGTAACAATCATACAAAAGAGTGTTCTTTTCATCCAGAAGTTTGAGACTCCTCTCAGTCTCGCCAAAAGTGTCTTGAGTCAGTTTCAAATCATCCAGTGACTCAGACCAAGAGTTCGAACGATTTTGCTTGAGGTTTTGAAAATTCCAGCCCTCGAGGCTCGTGTCTGCTGGGTGAATGGTGTGATAGGGCGATCCCCCTGGCTGAAATATTCAATAGAAAAATTATTTTTGAAGTGCAGAGTCCCCACGACTTCGCCTTTGGCCTCTACCGAGCATTCACACACACTCCAGATGTACAAAAATGAATAAAATAAACTCGACGAAGAACCCGAGAACCAGCCTTACCTTCAACCACCATTTTCCAGTGAATAGCCTCTATAACAAAACATAGAATAAAACGTAAGTTGTCATGGAAAATTAAATTGTACTGTCACATTTTCTATCACCGGTGCTGACGAAATCATAAACATGATAGTAACCAGTAAAAGTTGAAATAATAGATTGTGTTGTGGTTCTCGAGGCACTCAGTCGTACCCGAAGAAGTCCAAAAAAATGATGATGCTATTATTGTCATGTGCCACATGCATTCAGGTAATTGATTATTAATTTCGTAGGCGAGGTACTTACGCTGATGTTGACTGATTTACTTGGGAGTGTTTGACTGTTGTCGTGGTTTTCAGAACGATAACTGACAGCACAACTCAGCATTGCAGCCATTTGAACGTCGGATTGATTGGCGTAATGTTGAATTCTGTGAATAGTTGAAAATAGAATTCGAGTTTTCCAGTCGGGAAGTAGGGAAATTCTGGTTTCTTATATTGATCTGTCATCAGTAATTTTGGACTTAATGTTCGAGGGGAAGAATACTAAATCGAACTTTGTGAATTTAATTATGAAATTAAAGACATCCAGAGGAATGATGCATTTGAATAAAATGAAACTCTTTATTTGAAATTTTTCTATCAATTTAAAAAATATTCTTGATGGAAATTAATAAAGTAATATGTACATTTTAATGAAGATGCTTTAATGAAATGAAAAATTATTTCTTCCAAATAAATCCTCAATAGAATCAGATGAACGATTCATTTGATCTAAATGGAGGATAATCACAGGTTAATAAACTAGTTCTCTTTGCAGAGTAAACAATTATTTCATTTCTGATCAATGAAGTCTTTATTTGAGTCAAAGAAATATTTATTCACATTGAAGAAAACTATTCGTTTGCTGTGAATAAAAATTCAAATAAAAATCAAGTTTACGTTTGAATAAAATTGTTATAATTCAGGAGCGAAGTGGTAACTCGCGGTTTAACTCGACTTATCTCCCAATTGAGTTTTTGAGGAATATTTCCGAATCTAATGAAGATAGCGAAATTTCCGTAATTACATTTGTTGTAGCTCTCAATCGGCTCTACAAAAAAGGTTATAACAAAAATTTTGCTATCTCCCTTAGATTCCGAGATATTTATTGAAAACTGGTCAATAGTCAAAATTGGCTTATACCGTTTTACCACTTCACTACTGAATTATGTATTTTTATTCAAATAACGTTTATTTCATTCAAATAAACTATTTCTCTGGGTGCATGAAAACGTTTCCATCTAACGATTTTTTGTTAAAACTTTTCTCAACTCCAAAAAGGTCTTTTTTTTTAATGATCCAATTTCGAAATAAATCCGTAATTAAACAAAAAAACTCAAATTTGATTTGAATTATCGAATTATAGATTGGTTCTCCTTCAATCAATTAGTCCCCATTTTAATTGCCCACTCTATTTTGATACAAACAACTTATACTCACAAAGAATGGATTAAATTTTGCCCAAAGGGATGCAACGGCCAGGGAGGCACGATATCCATATAACAAGAACTTTGTGAATTGTTCGACAGGGGTGAGGATATCACCAAAGAAGCTAAGTACCACGCCTGCACCAGGTCCGGTCGCTCTAGAGAAGCTGCCACATTGGCATTGTGCTGGCACATACCAGGAATATCCGTAATATTGATGATGTACTTCTCAGCGAGTTCCTTGTTCACGAAGAAGAGAGACGATGCGTCGTAGACTGTTGCTATCGAATAGAAATTCTTGTAGCAATTCCTGCTTTGTGCTCTACTCGAACCGTGTGCAGTTCTCCTAATAGTTTTTTGCTGGAAGATCATTAGGAAATAAATTGTAAATTACATTTCGATATTTCCAGTTTACTTGAGATACAACTGATTGAATCGATCACCGGAGACTCATTCCCCGGAATAATGTTCCCCATATTTCCCAGACTTTATTTTTATTATTCCTTTCTACTCGATTTTACCATTCGTTCATTTCGTACGCCGAAAGAAAACCGAAAATTTAGTGAATATTCCGTATACGGTAATATAAACTTAAAAAATAAAAAAGTAAAAAAAATATTTAAAAAAATAAAAAAATAAACAAATACGAAACTTTTGGATTTTTTATTATCATAGAATCTATAAAGTTCAATGATAGTAAAACAGTCGTATAAAATTTTTCATTGGATAAATGATTTCGTCAATCTTCCCTTTGAAGGCCCAAACAGGCTATCATTTACTAAAATTTGAAAAGTTCTGGGGGCCGAATTTTAAAGTAACACGATAACATAATGAATATCGCGAATGTGAAACTAATTAGAGGGGGTAAAAATTGACTGATTCTAGATGGAAAGTGACCGTCAAGATCTTTTTTTGTCATTCTTTGTGGCGGTTAAGTGCGGGTAGTGAAATAAAGACTCGGGGTTGAAACAAGGAAGGCGTCTGTATTTAGCACGTAATATGTACTTACAATCGCGACTCAAATTGGGCTGAATATTTTGGTCGGGAGCGTGAGAGTTTGAATACCTTTAATTATGCTAGATTCGAGAATTGTCCAGAAATTTCGTGAGGGACGATAGCTTGTTGTTTGCCTCGACCGTAACAGAATACAGAATATTCGAGACGCGTCATATGAATTTCGGAATAATAATTGATTGTGGCTCGCGCCACAAGTACGATTGCAAACACATGTTACGTGCTAAATACAAAGCCCTTTCTTATTTCAACCACGAGTCTTTATTTTCTCTACCGGCACTAGACCGCTGCATTTTTGTGACACAAAATTCCGTCACTTTTTTTCTGACCACAAATGGTCAGTAATTGGCTTTCGGCCAGTGACGTGTAATGTACGTGTAAAATGCCGGTAAAATGACCGGTCAGCTTTGTCCATTACCTCCCTGCTGGGTCGATATAACACAAAAAATCCAAAACTCAAATTCGATGGATTACAAAGTTTTCACTGAGAAGCAAAAATGTCTCAAAAAAGTTTGTCAACCCACCCTGTCCTGAAAATAGAAAGAACTGATGGACATGGTGTCCGCAGACTGTCCAAACGACCCCGAATACATATTCATGAAGGGTCCATTTCCGATCGCTGCCAGAGCAGAGAGTGCCCTGGGAGTGATTCCATCAGGCTTAACCGACGTTCTCCTGCTGTAAGTCGACCTTCCAAAGCAGACTAGCACCCCCACACCACAAAACTTGGCCCCAGATGTTCTCGGAAAAGGAATGTACGTGTCCTGGTAATTCGACAGAATATTCGATGAGGCCAAGAAGTCCGTAGGCGCCTGAATATAACCCAGATGATTGACCTCGCTCTCATTAGTGGCACAAGTCTGCTCCAACGTAGTTATCAATTGTCTGAGACACGGCTCCAAGCAAGATCTATTCTTCCTCACTCTCTGCTGCGCCGTTTGCTTCAAAACCCTGAGCAATTTAGCCATCGTGGTATTGTCAACAGTCGTTCCAGGGCAGAATTGGAAAGTGGGCTGCGCAGCGCAAGGATAATTCCCTGGAAAATTGACTTTCAAAATCACATTGTAATTCTTATTCCTCGCAGTAACCGTGCAGCTCCTCTCCACAGCGTCCATAGCATTAAGTTCAATATTGGGAATATTCATATTGATCAACGAAAATTCCTGCTGAAGAGTCTTCGGTTGAGTTGGCGAAGGCACCTCCTTCTCATTCTCCACCGTCACAATTTCGCTCTGAATGACAGGTCCATCAGACTTGGACGCGAATTTCATCTCAGGCTCACTCTGGGGATCTTGAAGAGCTATCTGTTGAGGAGATCTCAGAGCCCTCAAGTTGGTGTCTTCTGAATACTGCGTGTAGACTGAGGTAGTGTCGTCCATGTCATGACCACAAAGTTTCTTCAAGAAGGGATCGATCTTGAATATCCTGAGGCACTGGTCCTTCGACCAAGTGATCAATTCGTAGTCATTATTATCTGCTTTTTGATTTCTCCATTGGAACTCGAGGACCACATCAGTGTGGCCAACGAAAGTGTAGATTGGAGCGCTGAAATTAGAAGTGTTCCATAGCAGAAGACTGTTCTCTCCCCTTCGGAGCTGAGGAACAACGATTGTCACTAGACCCTCGCCAAAGGGTGTGTACCTAGCCCTCCAGACGGGGGAGTTCGTCGTTAGGATGCCCTCGGCTCTTCTGGGGTTCGTTATATCGAAGATTTTAACTGTGCAGTCTTGGCTGGACGTCGCCAGCTGGTTCTGCTGGAAGGGACACCAGTCGAGGCCATGAATTTTCGTTAAGTGAGCCGCTATGTACTGCACCGGGCTGTTTCCCTTCCTTTGATCCCAGATTTTGACGTCTCCGTCGTGGGCTGTGGCCAGGGTGTGGGGGGAGAGGGGGTTCCATCGCACTTGGGAGGATCCTGCGACTGCTGAGAGGGACAGGGAGGGCCTACGCTGGTCTCGGAGGTCCCAGATGTGGATGAACGTGTCTATGCTGCAGGAAGCGAGGATGTCCGGCTCCTTTGGGTGCCAGTTCAAGTCACTGACGACTCGAGTGTGGGCTCGGAGACTGTGGGTTGTCTGCAGGTCTTGTCCACCTCCACCAGCGAAGCTCAGAACCTCCACTCGAGTGTTGCTCTGGGAGGGAGAATGGAATTTTTATGATATGCGTCTTAGTAGTCATTATAGACTATTGATGCATCATCCAAAAACATGAAAACTATTTGCAAAAATTTCAGTTAAATATTAAGAGCTAGGGATTTATAAGAAAAATAGGCACTGGTTATTTTATCTGTCTATATCATAAAAATTCAAATCGACTTCTGGTGATGAAAAGTTGGTACTCGAAATTAAGACGAAATTAGGGTCACAAGGGTCGTGAGGGTCAGAATCACCGTCACGAGGGTCAGAAAAGGGTCATGAGGGTCAAAATAAGGGTTACAAGGGTCAGATTAAGAGTCATGAGGGTCCCAATAACAGTCCAAATAAGGATTACAAGAGAGTCAGATTGAGGGTCATATGAGTCAGATTAAGAGTCAGAAGGGTCAAATTAAGGGTCCAAATAAGGGTAAGAAGGGTCGGATTATGGGTCTAAATAAAGGTCACAAGGATCACATTAAGGGTCACAGTAAGGGCCAAATGAGGGTGATGGAGGTCAGAAACTAAGGGTCACAAGGGTCCAAATAAGGATCATGAAGGTCATATCGGGATCACAGGTGGATTATATGGGGGTTAGTGACCGGAGCGAGCAAGTGTCGAAGCCCCCCATTTTTTTAATAAACTAAACTGAGATTGCTAGCTCAAGACGTGATTAATCGAAAAAATACAGAAGACAAAAAATGTAGAAATCATTGAAAGCATTTCCTCGCAATTCGCAAAAAAGGTCTTGAAATGTAAAAAACCATTAGGAACGTTTGATCTACATGTCAATATCTATCGATTAAAAAAAATTAGCTGTCAAAAGTGGCTTTATGAACGCTAATCGGGCCTGTTCGCAGCTCTGAAAAGTGATGGCGGTGAAAGCAATAGGGTATCCGAGTGAACAAGAGAATAAGAGAGATATTTCAACTCCTAGCCCCCATTTTCAGATGGATCAATGTGTTTTTCTCAACTAGTGAAGGGAAAGAAATGTTTTGTTTAATTTCTCAATGAAACACGATTGACACCCACTTAACTACTTTGTTATTTATTTACATCTTTTCATATTCAAATTTCTCTCACCGAAATTGCACACAAATGGCAGTTCGGTAACGTGGGGTTCCACTCTGCAGATCCAACTTCATATTTACTTTGTCTCGTAAATTTTTTAAGATTATCTGACCCCTCGCCCAACTGTTTCACAGCGAAACACCTTCGTCTGCAAAACCGAGAAAAAATTCATCACACTGTTCAACATTTTTGTCCAGTACTAGTTTCACTGAAATTTCAAGGAATTCCGTCATAAAAAATTCACGATTCGTTATTAATGTGTTAATATTAATTAATTTAATGTAGAAGCATTAATAAAAACTACATTTCAGTTGAAATTCGTTGAATTATATATTTGAAGTTCTTATCAAGTGACAGTTCCACTGAAAATATCAATGCAAACTGCACATTTGAGTTCAAATAATCTGATGTATATATTCTTGAACTACTAATGAACTGAAAACTCAGCGTAATTTGATACTGAATATTCAAGTTTCAAATGATAATTTCTTTGATGGTTATTCCGACAAATCAGAGTGCAGCATTCGGGATCACGTGAAACCCTCACGTCAGTTTTATTTTGATTATTTTTGGTAATCGGATCTGGCTTTCCTGGGCCAATCAGAGTTCAGTATTCAATAATATGAAGTACTTCCCAATTAAAATTACAGCGGTTATTTCCCCCTAGCTTTGGATAATTTCCCTGTAGCTTTTCATAATTTCCTTCTAGCTCTCCAATTGTTCCTCTAACCAAATAACTGTCAAATATTATCCTGTGGAGTGAAAGAAAGTCATGAAGAAAGTCAAAATGAGTCGGTTTGGGAAGGATCCGATTACCAAAAATAATCCGTCGAATACCACTCGACCTCCAAAATTAATCGGACATTTCCCTCATGTTTTCCTGCATATCAACGGTCGGAATAAGTTTTGCACAAAAATTTTAATCTGCAAATCTTCTCCCTCTCGTTGCTACACAACAAAACAATCGGCAAATATCCGATAATTTTGGAGGTCTCGTGATATTATTACTGATTATTTTTCCAACCCAAATATCGGGCAATATAATTGGCCCATTCGACGTCACGTGGTACAAGCTACAAGGTTTTCAACTGACAATTTTTTGATAATTTTCTCTGGTAGTTGCTATATAAAAAACAAAACGTCATGCAGTCGAATTAACCCCTCGTCAAACTGACCGATTGAATTCAGTTGTGGTAATCCGAGGATTTTTATTCAAAATGAGTGTTAATTATAGAATTTTCTTTTCTCAATTGTGAGTTTCGTCTCATGGTCCNTAACAGTTCAGCTGTTGATACGCTTTTAATTGAATAAATTAATTTTCTTTGATTACTGAGTCCGTAATATTTCTTCTAAACAATTACTGCAACAAGAGAATGCTGTTGTGTTAATTATACAATTTTCGTTTCTCAATTGTGAGTTTCGTCTCATGGTCCAATTATATTGCCCGACATTTGGATTGGAAAAATAATCCCCCGAATACCACACGAGCTTCAAAATTAATCGGGCATTTTCCTCAAGGTTTCCTGCATATAAACGAAGTTGTCAAGTTTTTCAGGAAAAATCACTCGTGCTTCGCATTCGTGGTTTTTTAACCTGAAAAACTTGATTCCTTCGTTTGTTTGCAACGAACCTATCGGAAAATAGCCGATAATTTTGAAGCTCTTGGGGTATTACAAGTGATAATTCACCGGTGTATGGATTAATTATCAGACTGAGAATTCCACAGTAGCCTATCAATTGTTTTTCCTTCTTTTGGCAGTTATCTCCCACATTTTAGTGAAATGTCACGTACCCCGAATACCGCACTCTGTTCGTCCAAAATCAGAATTGAGGAAATTATCCTCCGAATACTCTTCCACCTTCAAAATCCACCGAATATTTCCCTAAAGCTTTCCTACAAATAAATGAGCGTGTCAAGTTTTCCACAAAAATCAGATTTTTATTCTGCAAAACTTAACACCGATAGCCAATATCCGATAGTTCTGAAAATCCCAGGGTATTACAACAGAAAATTCATTTAAATTGAGGGGAGACTACTGTGAGTTTTAAAAGTCGTGGGTTATTGGAGTGAAACTTTTCATACGTTGAAGATCGATTATATAGATCTGAAAACGAATAATTAGTGCAAAAAAAAATTGTTCAATAGTGCGTTTGCCCGAAAACGCTTAAAGTGCGAAAAACAGTCCAGGGCCTCCAATTTTTGAGCTACGAAAGATTTTTTTTTTCAAGATTTTCGGAAAAAATATGTGGAATAACAATTACGAGCTATTTTTTTTAATTCACCTCTTACATGGCTAAATTCGCTTTTTTGTATTTTTTTACACAAATAGTTAATTTTTTTATATAAAAAAAAATCGAAATCAGCTGTGTAGGAGTCGAATTCCAAAAAACTGGCGCGTAATTGTTGTTCCACACATTTTTCCGAAAGTTTTGAAAAAAAAAAAATCTTTTGTCGCTCAAAAATTGGAGGCCCTCGACTGTTTTTCGCATTTTAAGCGTTTTCGGGCAAACGAACAATAGAAAAAAATTTTTTTGCACTAATTATTCGTTTTTAAATCTATATAATCGACTTTTAAAACTCACAGTATCTCCCCTTGAGGAAATCTTGTGCTGACAAGAACCAAAGAATCGCTACTCTGTGGCTCTGATGACTAATATTCTCTTTATTCTTCATTCCATCTTTTGTTTCAATTACTTGAAATCGCCCTTTATCAAATAAACATTTGATACAGACCAAACTCAGGCTAAACAGGTCATGTTATAGAGAATAATTTTTGGATAAGATTTCGTTCTTTGAAATCCAACACGTACTTCTCGAAAATTTGAAATTTCATCATTTTTCCATTGAGGATATCTAAGTATCTTTTACAGTTTGATAAGGAAGGGTGGGGTAAAATGGACACTTTAGACTTTTTTAAAATTACTCATAACTCAGAAACAAATTTATCAATGGAGCTCAGTTTAGGCTCATCACAAAGGGCAAGAATTGTTCTTTGCTTTGAAAAAAAATTATCATTAATATTTTTAAAAAAGTTAAGTGTCCATTTTACCCCAACCTCCCCTACAGACTACACTATAGATTCAACTATTTTCAATCATAAAATTTGTAAATTGAATGGCGTGAAAAAAATTTTTAAAAAATCATGAATATTCAGCGTTATTAAAATAACATTTTGTCCAGAAAATTATTATTCTTTTACACATTGATTTATAAACATTGTTTCTAAATAAATAATTAAAATTATTTACGCGTTCAGAAACCTTGTTTTTTAGGCATGAAATTGATTTCTAGTAAAATTCTGAATATAAATAAATTTGTTACGATTTCAAACAAATGATTTTTATGGTAGAAAGCTGATTGTTTATAAATTAGTTATAGAAAATGTTCGTAATTTTCAAAAATTTCAATTTTTAAATTATTCTATCAATCTTTCCCTAAAAGTAAACTTTCTAATTTTCTTTCAGATTAAAAAAAATGTTTTCTAACGGTTCAATATAGAGATTCCAATTCAGACGTGTAAAGTTTAAATAATAGAATCATGGCAAAATGTCATTGCAAAAGTAGAAAAGCATTTCACTGGAGAAGAATAGCCAAAATTATTAAGTTCTCGGATATCCTTAAGGAGTTCTTGGTTTCCTACTGTTTCATAGTTTGGAATTCCACTGAATTTCCAATGAAATTTGGAATTCCATTGAAAATTCAGACATCAATCCAACAACAAACATTCAAAATTTGTTTCTCCTTTGTCCTTCAAGGATATCCAAATATCTTTTACAGTTTGATACAGACTACACTATAGATTCAATCATTTTCATAAAATTCATCATCAAATTTGTAAATTGAATAGCGCGAAAAAAATTGAAAAAATCATTAATATTCAGCGTTATTAAAATAACATTTTGCCCAGAAAATGATTATTCTTTTACACATTGATTTATAAACATTGTTTATAAATAAATAATTAAAATTATTTAAACGTTCAGAAACCTTGTTTTTTAGGCATGAAATTGATTTCTAGTAAAATTCTGAATATAAATAAATTTGTTACGATTTCAAACAAATGATTTTTATGGTAGAAAGCTGATTGTTTATAAATTAGTTATAGAAAATGTTCGTAATTTTCAAAAATTTCAATTTTTAAATTATTCTATCAATCTTTCCCTAAAAGTAAACTTTCTAATTTTCTTTCAGATTAAAAAAAATGTTTTCTAACGGTTCAATATAGAGATTCCAATTCAGACGTGTAAAGTTTAAATAATAGAATCATGGCAAAATGTCATTGCAAAAGTAGAAAAGCATTTCACTGGAGAAGAATAGCCAAAATTATTAAGTTCTCGGATATCCTTAAGGAGTTCTTGGTTTCCTACTGTTTCATAGTTTGGAATTCCACTGAATTTCCAATGAAATTTGGAATTCCATTGAAAATTCAGACATCAATCCAACAACAAACATTCAAAATTTGTTTCTCCTTTGTCCTTCAAGGATATCCAAATATCTTTTACAGTTTGATACAGACTACACTATAGATTCAATCATTTTCATAAAATTCATCATCAAATTTGTAAATTGAATAGCGCGAAAAAAATTGAAAAAATCATTAATATTCAGCGTTATTAAAATAACATTTTGCCCAGAAAATGATTATTCTTTTACACATTGATTTATAAACATTGTTTATAAATAAATAATTAAAATTATTTAAACGTTCGGAAACCTTGTTTTTTAGGCATGAAATTGATTTCTAGTAAAATTCTGAATATAAATAAATTTGTTACGATTTCAAACAAATGATTTTTATGGTAGAAAGCTGATTGTTTATAAATTAGTTATAGAAAATGTTCGTAATTTTCAAAAATTGCAATTTTAAAATTATTTTATCAATCTTCCCCTAAAAGTAAACTTTCTAATTTTTATTTCAAATTTAAAAAATATTTTCTAATCCCATTTGACTCAGGGTCAGGCGAGGCTCAGCGAAAGCTCTGACGTTCGCCTACAAAAGTAGAAAACATTTCACTAAAGAAAAAAATATCCAAACCACTAGGATACCCTCAATATAATAAACTCCTCTCCCAAAAATGACTCCCAACGATCCTACAAAATTCCATTTTCGACCAGTGCAAGCCTTCTTCACAGACCCCCCGAGCCCCAAAAACAAGTAAACAATGCTCTTACCCAGCCAGCAGAAGATAGCTACCGGTGGCATCCACCGCCATGGTATTCGCCTGAAAAACCCCCAAAAAACCATTAAAATCCCCAGCTATTCTCACCCAAGCATTACAAAACATTTGGCACAAACCCCCAAATAATCACCTGCAGATCCCGATGTTCCGTGACAACATAGTCACTGCCCCAGCGTTTTGACATTTTACCAAATACCCGTCACCATTTTCCGAGGTTAAAAACACTGTCCCCCGCTCCCGCCGCCCCCTCTCATCTCAAGAGCCAATTCCGTGAAGAAATCAAGAATCCATGCAAAGACGCTTGTCTTCGAAAAAACAACACTCGACGTTCCTCTCCCTACGCCAATGTCTTGCGCAGTGACCACCGAAATCGCGCCGCAATGCGCAGTTGCTACGGCGGATATGAATCCAAGCGAGAGGGAGAAAGGCCCCCTTGATGCCACACATCAAGCCAATAACAGACCAGCTGACATTAACGAATTTACCCTTGAGACCCCCACGAAAAACCGCTCCAAATAATTCTCCCAATTTTTTACCACTCGATTCACTCCACTCACTACAGTCTCCTCGCTGCACAGCCGCTCGCGTCAACGGGAAAATTAGCAAAATATATTCGACGACGACCCGACGGAACCGTAAAACTTCACTCTTGTCAGAAGCGAGAGAGAGGCCGCATGTCGCGGGGCCGGAGGGGGCAAAAAGAGAGCCGTAAGGACGCCTTTGTGCTATTTCTGTCACGTAGACCCCCCCAGTATATGCAATTCCACTACACATAAAATTCACAAGTCAAATCTCGGTTCATCGTCACACATCTAGGAAAATTGTGCGTCTGCAATCGTCAATCTGAGAGAGAACACATCCCTGGTGTTGACAGAACCAGTGTTTTTCGCAGTGTTTACCGTGGAATTTTTGGAGTTCAGAGTGGAAAAAATGATCGCGATCATGGATTGTTTTCGGCACTAGCGGAGTGATTACCGAGTGACAGATAGTAAAGTTTTTTCGTGAGAAGTTGGGAAAAGGAATACCGAGGGGTTTCGGATTTTGAGAGTAATTTCATCGAGGTGTCACGGTAATTCACTTTTCGGAGCGAATTCTCCTGTGTTTTGAGTGCGCGTTATCTCTTTGTGTGTCGCTCGTTGGCGTCACGTCAGTGCCCGCTGTTTCTGGAAAAAAAATAGATAGTGATTGTAATATAAGGGCCTTTGGCGGCTCAATTGTTTGGGGACAGTGAAGTGAGTCCACGCGAAAATAGTGCGACGGTCGTTGGGGATTTGACTCTGGCAAGTGGTGATCGGGGACTCTGTATTTTTTTCATTATATTCGTCGAATAACAAAGGGATTCACCACTGTGATGTACCGAAAGTGTAGCACTGAGGAATACTCCGTTACATCGACCATCAAGTTACTGCACTCGAAGAGGAAAGGAATCTTCATAAAAAAAATGATCAAGGACACGATAAGTCTCAGAAGTCCCCAAAGTTTCCTAGCTTTTCGTTTGTACTGAGGGGATTAGCCGGTGTACAGGTGACAGTTCAATTGGAGAGATTTATTTCTGTTCTTGTTTTTGGTGAAATTTGAAGAGAAATATTTCTTTCGATCCTTTGGTTTGCCGAGGAGCTGATTACTCCGGCAATAATGGCCTGTTGAGAGCCAGGGATTTGGGGATCTTTGATTGTTTGGTTGGTTGATCGGGGAAAGCTGCGAGAGTCACGGGGAGCTCGAGGATACTTTGAGGACAGCGGTTTTGGGGGGAATAATTAGCAGTCATGAAGCTGTTGGAGAGCACTCGTTTCGAGGCCATCAATAATGCCTTGTGCATCAAGACTGGGGACAGCAAAATCATTGGAAGGTATGAGAAATGGTGTCGAAAATTTTTGGAGTTGTTGATCTTTGAGGAATTCAATAGTGGGTTTTACTTCGGTCTCCCAATTTAAGAGATAAACAGTAGGGGAGGGTAGGGTAAAATGGACACTTTTGACTTTTTTAAAATATTCATAAGTCAGAAACAGATTTATCAATTGAGCTCTGTCCAAGCTCATCACAAAGAGAAATCATTGGTTTTCAATTGAAAAATAAAATTATTCCATTTCATGAACAATTCAACACGTCATAAATATTTCAAAAAAAGTCAAAAGTGTCCATTTTACCCTACCCTCCCCTACTGGAGACTGATAGCAGGATTTAGGTGCTGTTAGGATATCCAAGTATTTTTTATGGCTTGGTACAGACCACACTAGCGGAGGTTGGGGTAAAACGGACACTTTTGACTTTTTTAAAAATGTTAATGAGGGGCTGAAATGTTGATAAAATTTAATAATTTTTTTTTCAATACATAGAACAACTCTTTCCCTTTGTGACGAGCCTAAGCTGAGCTCAATTGATAAATTTGTTTCTAAGTTATGATTAATTTTTAAAAAGTCTGAAGTGTCCATTTTACCTCACCCTCCCCTATAGATTCAATCATTTTCAATCACCAAATTTGTCAATGACATTTCGTTAGAAAATTTTGAAAAATCAGGAGAGTTCAACGTCATTGACATTACATTTTGCACAAAATTATTATTCTTTTATGAATTGGTGGATGATGGTTTGTTTATGAGTAAATAATTGGAATTGTTCAAACTATTATTTTCAAAAATTGCACTTTTTTAATTATTTCATCTTCCTCCACAAGTAAACGTTCAAATATTTTTTTAGATTTTTCAAATGTTTTCTAACGGTTCAATATCGAGATTCAAATTCAGACCTGCAAAGTTTAAATCATAAAATCATTGTAAAATGTCCGGAAATTTAGTGTTGAATGAGGCTCAAATGAAAGCTCGAGTGTTCAAATTACAAAAGTATGACAACATTTCATCGAAGAAAAAATAGGCAAAGTACTTGGATGTTTTTAAGGAGTTCTCGTCTTCCTACTGCTCCAAAATTGGTAATTCCACTGATTTTTCAGTGAAATTTAGAATTTCACCATTTTCCCCTTAAGGATATCCAAGTATCTTCTACAATTTAGTACAGACCACACTATAGATTCAACAATTTTCAATCATCAAATTTGTGAATTAAATGGTGTGAGAAAATTTTGGAAAAAATCATGAATGTTCTACGTCATTCAAAGTACATTTTGCACAGAATTGTTATGTTTTAACCGGTCATTATTTACAAATAAATAATTGAAATTGTTCAAACGTCCGGAAACCTCATTTTTAGGCATGAAATCGATTTCTGGTAAAATTCTGAATACGAATAAATTTGTTACGATTCCGAACAAATGATTTTTATGGTGGAAAATTAATTGTTTACAAATTATTTATAGAAACAACACGTAATTTTCAAAAATTTTAATTTTTCAATTATTTAATAATTTTTTTAAGTTTTTAAAAATGCTTTCTAACGATTCAATATCGAAATTCAAATTCAGACCTGCAAAGTTTAAATAATAAAATCATTGTAAAATGTCCGAAAATTCGTTTTCTTTCTCTTAGATTCAAAGATATTTCGAAAACTCAGCTAAGAGTTAAGTCGACTTGAATCGCATTACCCCTCTGCTACTGATGTGAAAAAAATTAAAGTGTCTATTTTGTCCTCCCGTATCTCAATTATATTGCGTAGAACAAATATTTGTTTAATAATACAAAACATAAAGTCCTGCGTGGCTCGTCTGCATTTATTGATTTATCTTTTATTTTCTTGTGACTCCAAATGGATTTTGCCCTGGAGTATTTTTATTTATTTGTTTTCTCAGTAAATAGAGATAGATAGAATTGCATTAATCTGTAGTTCACCACGAAATTAATCCCAATTTTTTTAAGGATTGAGAGTTACTCCTGCAAAATGGCTGGCAATGATAAACAACTGTACAAGAGGTTCAACGCTGAGCAGGGAGTTACTCCGCATGACCTTCAGGCATTATCACCACCACAAACATCCCTTGGCACATCACCAGCTCAAAGTTACTTCAGGTATTTTTGACTGTCCCCCACTTGCTCACTTTGCATATCGAAGAAGAAGCTCCTGAGGAAACAAACTAAAAATACAACGTCAACAAAAAATCTGAATTTAATGGATGCATTTTCCAGTCGCAGTATTTCGGGTGATGAGGACGGACCACTTTGTGATACAATAAGCCGCAAGACCCTGTTCTATCTCATAGCGACGCTGAACTCAGCATTTCATCCGGATTATGATTTCTCAGACGCCAAGAGCCATGAGTTTAGCAAAGAGCCCAGTCTACAGTGGGTTATGAATTCGGTTGACAGTAATCTCAGTGCTACTGCTGGGGATCACTATCGCACCCTGAGATCAACACTCTGGGCTGCGGTTGAGGATGAGATATCCTTGAATGAATGTGATATTTACAGGTTTGATATTTTTATGAATTCTGTAACTCTATACAATCAGTTAGTAATAATGTTGAAGTAGTATAAACATAGCTTGATTGTTGAAGATTGAAATCTGAAATGAACTCTACAGGAAAGTTAATATGAATAAAAACATTGTGCTTGAGTTTGTAGTCAATCGACAGTCTGGTATTATTGATAATAATTAATCTAGAAGTACAAAAATAACGCAGTTTTATCAGAAAATGAACTTTTTGAAGTTAGCGAGAAGATTAAAATCTAGAAAAAATCTCGACAAGCGAGAAGAAATGAATAATAATAATTTATTTGTTCCACTGTATGGCTTTACGCCTTTTACAGATGAGAGGAAATGAATAAAAACTTGAAAGTTATGAAAGTTATCGTCAGTGCCAAACTTTTGTAATAAAATGATTCGTGTTTCTGCCTGTCCGAAATGGCGTGTTATCTCGAACCCCTCTAGTCAAACGAGAGACTATTGTTTAAAAAAATAATTAAAAAAAGAATTTGACGGATTAATTTTTTACACTCATCAGTTCGAATTCATGGGAAAAATTATCAATGATAAATAATCTTTTTTTTGGTTTTTTCAATTTATTTTTCCCCGTTACACTTAACGACTCAACTGGAGTTTATTCATACCACTTTAAGAAATTATTAATGAAATTTCGAGGAATTTCGTCATTAAAAATTGACTGTTTCACATTCTCATGCTTGACTTCAAATTTTTTCCATTGAACATTAATTCTTTTTAACCATTAAAATTCAAATTGAGAAATGTGTTAATAACGCCCGATAGAACCTAATTTGAATTGAACATGATTTAATATTCCATTGATTAGCGCCATTAGTTGAACGATGCCATTAATTTGTCATTAATTTAACAATGTGTAAAATGACTCTTTCAGCTATAATCCAGACCTAGCATCAGATCCATTCGGCGAGGATGGCTGCCTCTGGTCATTCAATTACTTCTTCTACAATAAAAAACTCAAGAGAATCGTTTTCTTCACTTGCAGAGCTATAAAGTGAGCACAATCATGTTACTATCATGTTATATGAACCCGCAGTCCCTGTATTCACGCTGTCTCAACGAATGGTATTTCTTTGCAGTCCCCTTTACGGCTTAGACTCTGGTGTCGGTTCTGATTTCGCAATGGACGAGGATGAAGACGACAGTTACTAGATAACGACGAATAACTCAATTATACTTAGTCTCTGTTCTTGGTTCCCTCCACAGGTAGACGAACGTCGAATCCCCGCGATATTTTTGTTATCAAGTTTGATTCAATATTTCCTGTCTGATATATTCTCATGTAACTCTCCTCTTTGCTCAGAGATAAAGGAAAAATCGTTTAAGAAGTGGTGAACGATAATTAGTAAAAATCTACATTTTTTTAATCATCATTATTTCGAAAATGAGGGATTCCAGGAAAAGATATCAATTAACTTTGAAAATTTTCGTGTAAAGCACCTCATGATTAAAATGACGTGATATATAATTCCACTTTATTTAGGGAACAAGTAATTCTATAAGAATTTATCAGAGAATTTCCAACAGAAAATATTTTTTGATATGTTTCCCCTGGAAACCCTCATCAGCAAGAAATTAGAGAAAATTAGAGATGTAATTTTTATTAATCTGCAAAAGAAACAAATAATTCTGAAAGAAAATTTCAGAGACTTTTCCTTCTTCAGTTGTTTAAATTTCTAAAAAAAGGTTTCTGCAAAAAAAAAGGAAATTCTACAAGAATTTATCAAAGAATTTTCAACAAAAAATATTTTTCAACATTTTTCCCCTGGAATCAACTCGATAAAATAAAAAATGTAATTTTTATTCATCTAAAAAAAAATAATAATTCTGAAAGAAAATGTCAGACCTTTTTTTCTTCAGTTGTTTAAATTTCTTAAAAAAAGGTTTTTGACATTTCCTCTTAGAACGACTCATTATGAAGGAAATGTGATGTCTATCCGGGGGAACAGAAATGAAATTGTTACGTTTTACCACTTCACAACTGAAAAGATCATTATTTTTTCTGCAACCAGGTCGAGTGTCCTCACATATCACGGCACAGTGTATTATCTAATCGTCTTTTGACATTTCGATCTCAATTTTATTAAATTCTTACTTTTGTCTGATAATCAATTAATCATTGTGTATTATTTATCCAAATTTTGTCTCGATAATTAACCTGTTCCCCAAACTGAACAGTTGTATCCACTATTGCGTACTTCTGCAGCTTTCGATGAGTTGACACGAGTCAAAAAGCAAACATGTGAAGATAAAAATGAACAAGATCGAGAAATTGAAATGAATTATGAGTTTAATTGATAAATTTCATCATGAAAATGCTACTCTCGTTACAATTATTTCTATTTTCTCGATGTGATTGAAGGTAAACGAGCCAGAATTGTTGGTATGGGCACAAATAATGACTGATATGACTCATGTACTTCACACCGTACAAGGAATTCACATGGTTTTACGCACTGAATAGTATTGAACGCAATTGTTTATTCTTTTCTTCGCTCTAGATTGTCTTAACGTTAAACTCTTTAAATAGTATCATATGACCCGATTGTAGATAGTGTTAGGCAACGTGTGCCGAGAATCAAATGAGAAACACCTTACCAAGTAGTTTAAGAAGATTTTACAATTACAATAAAAGTCTATCAATTATAAATGTTATTCTTGGTAATAGAAATTAAGGAGTTGAGTTTAATCGATGGGAGAGAGAGAGAGAGAGAGACGACTGTGCAATTATTCTTTAGCATGGGAATACGTGATGTATGATGATCAAATAAATAGAGGCAGAGATGATGAATGAGAAGTAAGAATCAGGGAGACAAAATGTGACAGGAAATAACGAAATTTTAGTTGAATCAACAAAACATGATTTTGTCATTACGCATTATTTTTAATTCAAATACGATAACACCACTACACGAGTGTAAAATAAAAATGATAAATAAAAAATCTCGATGCGAATTATCCATTCATACTGAACAAAAAATTAGGAAAAAATTACGTAGAAATGTAAACACTATTGAAATTAATCCAAACAGTCCTGCAGTGTTTTGCCTTTTTTGTGGTAATTATTCTTAGGCTTATTATGCACTTGCCTCACCTACGTTAGTTACTTGTACATCATTACGTCTGGGGATTGATACATGCACATGTATCCATCGCAGAGGAGTCTTTTCGCGTGCTCGGGGAGCTGTCGATCGTCTGTCAGTTCTGTTAGGTAGTTGGAACCTTCTTCGCTGAGCCAGTAGGGGAAGTCTGGACAGGGCACCATTTCGGGGATGTTGTAGCCGTTTTGTTCCCCTGGGGGAGATGGAAGAACACATAATTATTGGCACAGATATTGGGTCAAACCCGAGTTGATGCTGATATTCTGAATTATTGTAGTGACGATTCAAGTGAGGGGAAAGTAGAGGAACAAATACCGAGAGATGAGTCTTGCAGTTTATGAAATTTAAATAAAAAGGTTCTCTATTTTACCCCAAAATGATTCATTATTCCCCATTCAATCTTTAAATTTGTCAATTAAATTGGGTGAGAAAGTTTTTTAAAAATATTGGTTGTTTATAAACAAATAATTTAAATTGTTTAAACTTTCAGAAACCTTTTTGCTTCCGAATGGAAGCTTTGCAATCGGTCGATTTTTCGATACAGAATTCTGGGAATTTTTTTATAGTTTTTCACAGAAAAAGGACTAAAGTGAAAGATAACAATCTGAAATTTTTGCTCATAATTGGTATTGTTTGGGAGCACATCTGAACAAAATTTCAGCTCAGTCGGTCCAGTATTTTTTGAGATACACCCATTTCTAAAAAAAATTATTTTCTCAATATCTCGAAAACTACTGCATCAAATGAACTTTTTGACGTGGAAATATTCTTTACAATAATATCTATCGAATCGGGCGATAATATGCCTAGGTAACTGTTGCGAGTCGCCCTCTAATTGATATTTTTCATTTTTGTGATAAAATTGATCTGAACACGATAACGCTTGAGAACATTTAGATAGGAAGTTGAAATTTGGTAGGATTCTAGCTCTTACTATATTACAGGCTGGGATTTCAGATGAGCGGGATCGAAGGAGTAATTTTAAAGCTATTCATTGTTTTCATAAAACTATATTGTTCAATATCTCAAAAACTATTCATCCGATTGTATTTTTGTTTTCAAAATATTCGTCTTGATGTCTCCTATTCAGTTATTTTAAAACATATCTACCCGTTCCTACAAAGTTTACAAGATATTGGCGTTTTTATATTTTTCTTGTCTGAAAGTTGCTTTGACGTTCCATTACATGAGTGAAGGATGTGGGAAAGTTCTAAAATGTTGAGGACCAGTTAGTATCATCGAGTTGCACTCCTGTGTAAAATTTCAGATTGATCGATTCAATATTTTTTGAAATAGAGCAGTTGATGTAAAAAACGTTTTTCGTAGAAAATGACATATTGTTGTTCTATCATTGATTTTCACATGGAAACATTTTTTAAAAATGGGGTCGTCTAGATATGCCTATTCCACTGGATAAAATCGAAATTTAATTCTCAATTTTAGAAGGTTAAACATTTCGGGGAAACGTTTCTAATGAAAATTGCCACTTTTCAAATAAAAAATGCAATTTTTACGGATCCATTCGAACGTTTGCTACCAATGGAATTGGTAGAAATGAAAAATGAAAAAGACAACGCGTCAAGTAGCGGTGACATGCCTTCTGGCAGAAAGACTCGACCCCCTGCTTGTTTTAGTCATGAAATTAATTTGTGGTGAAATTCTGGATATGAATAAATTTGATATGCGATGATACTAAAATTCCATGAATAATTTCAATCACCAAAAAAGCAAAATCCCATGATGTTTTATGATTTTTCTACCAAATCAGCAGCGAAACGGTAAAACAGTTCAAGTCGATTTAGGCCCCAGCTGAGTTTTCGCGGAATATCTCCGAATCTAAGAGTGATAACGAAATTTCCGTCATGACCTTTTTCGTAGAGCGAATTAAGGGCTACGAAAAAGGTCTTATCAAAATCTTTGCTATCCCCCTTAGATTCCGAGGTATTCATCGAAAACTGGCCACTAGTCAAAATCGACTTGAACCATTTTACCACTTCGCTGCCGAAAACTCCATAGAATTCAATAAAAAAATGTAAAAAATACCTTTTCGATCAGCCATAGAGTCAAAGAAGCACCAGGGCGCCTCAGACCCCGATCCACACTTGACAAACGAGACATAGTGTGAAGTTTCAATGCAAACAACAGCAGAAAGTTCGAGATACAGCCTCGGCACGGGGCAGTGTTCCTGAAGAATCTGAAATTCCGTGGGAACACTCAGCTTCTTGGGCTCATGATTGGTCCTCCTCTCGTGTCTATGAGCCTTATCCAGACAGGGTAAACAAAAAGCTATGCTCTCCAGTCCCACTCCACACTGCCCATAGCACTCCTTGCACTCGAACTCAGCCAATTTCCCACAAACCGTGCATTGCCTGGGGGAATCCTCGATAATATCAGTGACATCGAGCAGAAGAGTGGGCTGAATCTTCGGATACATTTTAAACGACTTCCCAAATCTTGGCATCTGGATGATGAGGCACGAAGGCACCTCCTTCAGTCTGATGTTACTCGTCAGAAAGCTCTGCTCCAGGAGTTGCTGGACTGTTGGTAGATTCAGCTGATCGTCCTTCTCGACAAACAGTTGATAGTGATAGGCGTCCTGGCCAGAGCTGAGTTTCAAGAAAGGCTCTGCATTGAGAATTTGAGCGACTAGTGACGTGAGAAATTCCTCGGGGTCTTTTTCCTCACTAGTGAGGCCAGAAATCGAGGACAATTTTTCCAGCAATGTTCGCAGCTTCATGACCCTGTTCGCCTGGACGAACATGTTCTTCCTCAGAGGATTGACGATCTCCTCTCTAAGCACTCGCTGCACCTCTTCGTACTGAGGACGATCTTTCTCATTGGGAGGCCTGAATAGAAGATTGTCGAAGACACTGGTGAATGCAAACATGCTGAAGAGCGTTGCATCGAGGTAGCAGGAGTTGTGGTGGCCCTGGATTCCTCTGTACTTTCCGCAAATTGTTTTCAAATCCCCTTTCACACAGATCGGCCTCACCATACCCGTTATCACGCTGTTTTCAGTCTTATCCAGGTCCTCACCGTTCATCTTCACTATCTGATCATCTGCCTTTTGCGGAAGCATTCGGTTATTAGTGGGGGGAGTGCGGGGGAGGGGGGAGAGTTTTGAGCGTTTGTACTCACAGATATCATGTTGTACTGCTGACACTGCCTGATGTCTGTGAATATCGCTCTCTTTGGTCTACAGTGGAAGTATCTGACGTCGTTGTATGTACCATCTGTGCCCTGCGGATGTTGTCCATCCTCCTGTGGATGGAATTTATCCATCTTATTGGGTTGGCGAGAATTTCATGTTCTGTGTTTTTGAGGGAGTCCAGTTTCTAGGTTTTACGGACCGTTATCCCTTTTAATCGGGATGTTTCGATTATTAGAGGGGATAATATAGAAAAATACTGGCCTTGTCCCTCTTAATTAGGATTTTTTCTTTAATAGTGGGAGTCGATTTTAAAGATTGTAAAATTAGAGAGAGTCACTCTGCTCTCGACAATCACGGACGAAAAAATTTAATAGAAAAACTGTTCTATTAGTTTTTGGCCGATTCTATTGAAATGGTCAATAGAAAATATTCAGTAGAAAAAGTCAATAGAATTCAATTTTTCTATATAACTTATTCTATTGAAATATTTTCTATAGAATTTCCTCGGCTCAATTTTTCCAAGTTTTTTCGTTTGATTTTCTTGATGAGAAGAAAAGAAAAATAGAATGAAAAAAACTTAGAAAATTTGAGTCGAGCAAATTCTATAGAAAATATATGAAAAGAATAAGTTATATTAGCAAAAATAACTATACTATGTGCAATGCAAGAGCGATTTCCCACTTGTTTTGGTAATTTTCAACTAACGATTTTGTTGTCCAAAACAAGACTTAGTCGATTTTAAAGATTGTAAAATTAGAGAGAGTCACTCTGCTCTCGACAATCACGGACGACAAAATTTAATAGAAAAACTGTTCTATTAGTTTTTGGCCGATTCTATTGAAATGGTCAATAGAAAATATTCAGTAGAAAAAGTCAATAGAATTCATTTTTTCTATATAACTTATTCTATTGAAATATTTTCTATAGAATTTCCTCGGCTCAATTTTTCCAAGTTTTTTCGTTTGATTTTCTTGATGAGAAGAAAAGAAAAATAGAATGAAAAAAACTTAGAAAATTTGAGTCGAGCAAATTCTATAGAAAATATATGAAAAGAATAAGTTATATTAGCAAAAATAACTATACTATGTGCAATGCAAGAGCGATTTCCCACTTGTTTTGGTAATTTTCAACTAACGATTTTGTTGTCCAAAACAAGACTTAGTCGATTTTAAAGATTGTAAAATTAGAGAGAGTCACTCTGCTCTCGACAATCACGGACGACAAAATTTAATAGAAAAACTGTTCTATTAGTTTTTGGCCGATTCTATTGAAATGGTCAATAGAAAATATTCAGTAGAAAAAGTCAATAGAATTCATTTTTTCTATATAACTTATTCTATTGAAATATTTTCTATAGAATTTCCTCGGCTCAATTTTTCCAAGTTTTTTCGTTTGATTTTCTTGATGAGAAGAAAAGAAAAATAGAATGAAAAAAACTTAGAAAATTTGAGTCGAGCAAATTCTATAGAAAATATATGAAAAGAATAAGTTATATTAGCAAAAATAACTATACTATGTGCAATGCAAGAGCGATTTCCCACTTGTTTTGTTAATTTTCAACTAACGATTTTGTTGCGATAAGTCTTTTATTTGAGAACTTGCTGGTGCGTGCGATTCTCTAATGAATAATGTACGAAACAATCCTCAACTCACCAACTCAATAGCTGCCATGACCTTACCCGGCGTTAACCCCGGTAAATTTCCGATCCAACGTATCACCCCATACCGATTCTCACCCCCTAAGCCAACCTCAACTGCCATACCCACGTGTAGTTTCTCTCCATTCTCCTTTCGTACGACTTTACTGCTCTCGTCCTTATCCAAAAGTTCCTCTGAAAAAAGCCAGAAAATTAAAATTCCCCCAATACATACAACAAAAGATCAACAAAAATAGAACGAGTTCATCCAATCATCGATTAGTGAATGAAAAAATAAGTCTAGCTTACTTCGTGAGTCTAAATTCAACAGACCAAAGTTATCTTCCACATCACTGTACACATTGGACTCAATGTCACTACTCCACTTATGCTCAAGTACAAAAATCGGAATGTTTTGTAATGTCGCTGCCATGATAATTCTTCAACTAACGACAATAATCGAATAGTTGGATATTTGAATGAAGCGAGCGTGATTGAATCGTCCGAGGCACGCCACCAGTCTATTTTCGAAGCTAGGAAGTTTATTATTAGGTAACATCCACAACTCCTCTTTGCACCACAGCTTTACCAGCTCGTGATGTTGTTAGCAACTAATGAGAGGGTCTAATGAGCTATCGAGAGGACGTTTACTCACCGAGTGGAAAAAAATCATACGTCGGGAGATTCTTGCTCAAACTTGTGGCGTCGTTGGAGAGAATTTTCGACTTTGTCGATTGATGAACAATCTTTGGGACTAGAGCTTCGTTGAGACGTACAATGGCATCGCCGTTGTTGTTGTTACTATCGTCGAATTTTGTGAGGTGTTCTTTGTTTATCAAATTTGAGTCGGTGGTTATTCTCTTTCCGTTCGTGTGATTCGAATGGTTGTTCGAGTGATTCGTTGTGCTGTTTAGAAAACCATCGATTTGCTTCGAGAGCGATGCCTCTATGTCCTGTCGAGGGGGTTTCGGCTCGTTAGGCTCTTGGGGATCGGACTTTATTGGGGTGATGTGGTTCAGGGTTGTGAAGAGGCCGGTTCCTGATGCTCCAGCAAAGTACTTCTTCACTAGGAGCGATGTTGATAAACCGTCGCAATGATCCTGAAAGAGAAATAATTGATTTTAGGATGATAACGTGTATGAATCCCAGGAGATTGAGCAGATACTATGGCAATGTCCCCTTCCACGCACGAAAAAATTTAATAGAAAAACCTATAGAATTCGTTAGAAAATTCTATTGAATTTCTATTAAACTTTTTTGATTCTATTGACATTTTCAATAGAAAATATTCAACAGAAAAAGTCAACAGAATTCGATTTTTCTATATAACTTACTCTTTTCATATATTTCTGTAGAATTTGCTTGACTCGAATTTTCTAATTTTTTTAAATTCTACTTCTCTTTTCTTCTCATCAAGAAAATCAAACGAAAAAACTTAGATAAATTGAGCCGAGGAAATTCTAAAGAAAATCCTTCAATAGAATAAGTTGTGTAGAAAAATCGATTGGAATTTTTATTGAACCTGTCACACTACTGGAGACCGCCTACGACAAATAACTAACATCAATTTACAAAATGATTTATAACTTTTGACTTTTTCTGAAGAATACTTTCTATTGAAGATTTCAATACAATAAGCCAAAAGCTAATAGAGTTAAATAAAAATTCAAGAATTGTTTTTGCTAGGTTTTTCTATTAAATTTTTTCGAACTGATGATAGTACTATGACATGAAAAAATAGAAGAAGAGAATAGTGGAATAAGAATTTCAAAAAAAGAACCCATTCAAAAGCAAATTGCTAATTTATTAGCAACAATTCAGTAGTAGGGGAGGTTGGGGTAAAACGGACACTTTTGACTGTTTTTAAAATGTTAATAAGGGGTTGAAATGTTGATAATTTAATAGTTGTTTTTCAATACAAAGAACAATTCTTTCCCTTTATGACGAAGCTAAACTGAGCTCAATTGATTAATTTATTTCTGAGTTATGAATAATTAAACAAAAGTCTAAAGTGTCCGTTTTACCCCACCCTCCCCTAAGTGGTCAATCGGATTAAGTCAGCGTAGTTCCTAGTTGAGTTTTTATTGAGTAACGTGTAATAGTCTTCACTTTTCTTTGCAAAAAAGATTTTTAAAAAAATCTTGCTAGCCCCTTCAGAATTTCAGATATTCATCGAGAACTGGCGCTAGACTGGAATTGACTTAAACCGTTGGACCACTTCACTACTGAATTACTGTACTCATTTAAAAAAAAATGCAATCATCCACTTGTTTAACCACAAAATGCTGAATTTCCTCACCAACAATTCAAGGCCGAAATAAAACCCAGGACCCATTTCCGTGACTTGTCCAATGTACTTGATCACAGCTTTGAACTTGGCATCAGGATTTGACGGAGGATGATAATAAACCTTTCCATTTTCCTTCAATTTCTTGGCCTCCTCACAAAACTGAGTATCACTAGCAAGTCGTACCCTGTCCTGAGGTACCGTAACAGCTGCCAAAAAGTGCCAGACGAGATAGGGCACAGGTATGAGATCAAATCTGTGACAGAGCCACTCTGTCTTCTTCCAGACCTCTTCATTATTCAAATCATTGACTTTAATCCTGAGCGAGCCATCAGGCAACAATTCGTTAGCTTCAACTAGCATTCCAAGCTTGAGGCAGCTCACGTTGACATCACAAGCACCTGATCTCCTGCTCATAATCGTGTTCTTCATCGCCACGTAGTGACAGGGGAGGGCTGAGCCCTTCCTCTCGTCATTCTGCCACTTCTCCATATTCCTGGGAATTCTGAAGTATTTTTTTTATCTCCTTGAGAGTCTTTTGAGCTCCATAACTCCACTTTTCGTCATTTTACACTGCAGTGTCACTCCACGCCTTCCGGTCGAGCAGTTCGATTCGATAATCATAACATTATGCATTGGAATAAAGATTTTACGGGATTAATTAGAGTTTGGGCACTCAGTGGTCGATCTTGGGGATGATAATCACGCTCGAATGACACTCGTTTGACAGGCGAAACTACTCGTGCTGTATTTTGGTTTCTTTTTACGGACATACTGGCATATATGCGAAAATAGTAGTGGGCTCATCGGTAAGGGGGAGATCTGCGGTGCCTTCTGCTTTTGTCTGAAAGGTAACAAGTGGATAATTAAATTTTCATCACGCTGTGACGAAAAGTGGACTTTTAGGCACGCCACATTGTGATGAAAAATATTGTTCGTAACTCGTGAAAAAATGTTTTTTAGCTCGTGGGATTATATCACTCGCCTCGGCTCGTCATATAAACCTTCCACTCGCTAAAAAACACTTTTTTGCACTCGTTACGAAATATACTATTTTTAAATAATTTGGTGTAGTTGTTGTTATTAATAAATTAGCAATTTTCTTCCGAATGGGTTTTTTTTTGAAATTGTTATTTCACTATTCTCTTCATCTATTTTTTCATAGATTTTTCCGCGCGCGAATGTCCTACTCCGTGGGACCTAATGCTACACTACATTTATCTGTTTTTATTCCTTCAATGGTGTATACAAATTGAATTGAATGAAATATTAGCACGTAATTGAATATTACACTATGTTTAACGTTGTAGCTGAGAAAACTTTGATGGATTATTTTGTCAACGTGTTAGCCATCACGCAAGAAAAAATTTAATAGAAAAAGTCAACAGAATTCGATTTTTCTATATAACTCATTCTTTTCATATATTTTCTTTATTAATCTTATTTTTTCAGGTTCAAGGAAAATTCTATAATTTTTTTGGCTGATAGCAGAATGAAGCTAACTTCTTTGATGTTGAAAAAAATTAAGGGTGCCAAGTGAATTTGAAAAAAGATTCAAAAAAAATTTTTTCTTTCCCTCCATCATTGGAGAAATGTATTCATCCATCCGACGAAATTTCAAACCCGCAACCGGAACTAGACATCGAGAAAATAAATGCGGAAAATCCTCTATTTCGCGTGACGAACCTCGAGAAAGCATGGGATCAAATGGGTACGGCGGGTTGAAATATCTCGCTTATTCACCCCGGTACCCCATTGTTTTTTGTCGCCATCACATTGAACACATCATTCCCCATATCTTCAAATTTTTTCAAATTTTTCTTGAGTCCCTAGGGGGTTGAAACGTCCAATTTAATTAAAACTCCATAAGAAGCCGTGTATAACACTGATTTTGTTTATTTAATTTCTCGATATCCATAAGTTCTAAAATTTTAAAATTGTCACCGATGTTCACCATCTGTCTAATACTATTAATTTAAAAAATTATGACTTTGTTGGCGAATGTCAATTTTCAAGGGCATCGCCAAATTCACTTGGCACCCTTAATCGCAATAGTCTCGCCAGAAATGAATAAACAAATTTTTCTTTACACACGGGCTCTTATGGGATTTATGTTGAAATTTATAATTCACCTACTAGGAGACTCTAAAAATAGAAATAAAAAAAGAAGGTAATGTGCAAAACTATACTGAATCGAATGGCCAGAGAAAAATTCGGGGTACCCGGGCAAAAAGAGTAAATATTTGAAAGATTTCCCATATAAGCACATGTTAGCGCATGCGTTTTTATCGCATTTTGTCCACTCTACTTCTACATAATAAACGTGGGTTGGTGGATTTAAATTTTTCTCAAGATGAAGTGAATAACTTCATCTCTCAGTAGAAAAAAAATCAATTTTTTTTTGAATACTTGTGATTTTGGTTGAACATCCTTAAAAAGCGGCGCCACAGAAACCGCAATTCTCCCCGGGAAATACCACTGTCGGTAACATGATTCGCACATCGTTTTATAGTTACGTCGCTGACAGATCTCAAGCATTTTTTTTCATTTAACAATTAATTCTGACAGAAGGTCGAGAATAGGCCAGTTTTCTCAATATTCTGTTTTTGACACGAATCGGAAGCTCGATCATCGGCGTTATCTGCTTATCTGCGTTTAGATAGGGATTAGATCTGAGTCTATACTTCTTTCGAATGCCCGATGATTCTCGAACAATCGTCGATCCCCGGTGGGCAGCAGTAGCACCAATGAGAGCAGGCCAACTGTTGAACTTTCGCTCGGGATTCGTCCATTTTTGGAAGAATCTAACAGCATTACCGAGAGAGCCACCAGTGGCTGTGTGGGCGTCAAGTGCCATTGATTCTCCCTTCTGCGTGGACCAATCCGAGAGATCCACGAAAAAGCCACCGTAGTCTGGAGACGAAACGACTGCCAGGCAACTGTTTTCGTATAACCGGGCATAAATAAGTCGCGTGTGCACTTGTCAGTTCCCTACAAACGATTTTGCGAAGTCTTTGTGTGATAAGCTACTGCCAGCGCAGCAGAAACCATGAAAGCCCTTCTCGGTGAGTTACTCCAAGCTTTGCACAATTTGTTTACAAAGAATTAGCCGGCTCCGCCGGTGCTTTTTCCCATTTCAGGGAAAATGTTGTGTTCGTTTGGTGGAGTTTCACGAGTGGTTTTGTTGCAGGTATTTTGTTGCTCACCGTTGGAGCAAATTGTTTGTATTCATCGAATTCAGATGTTGTACAGTTGAACCCCAGTAATTTTGATAAACTTGTCACGAACAGCGACAATGTGTGGATTGTCGAGTTTTTTGCACCTTGGTGTGGACACTGCCAGGCACTTACTCCGGAGTATGATAAAGCTGCTACTGCATTGAAGGTATTATTCCGGAAGTTGAGTGGTTAAGGGATAACAGGGTTCACAATCACGGACGAAAAAATTTAATAGAAAAACCCATCGAATTCGTTAGAAAATTCTATCGAATTTCTGTTGAACTGTTCTATTAGTTCCATCTGTTTTATTTTATCATTTACATCTTAAACATAATAAATTACATAGATTAGGTTAGTTTGATATAATGAATTGCATAATTTAGGATCCCCAATCGGCTTATTATTGCATGTAGGTACTAATAAACTATGCACTGTAGCATAGATCGGCATCAATCATTGCTTTAGCAATATTATGAGAAGTTGCACCTCACAGTAATTTAGATTTATTTGTCGTAATTGAAATTTGAAACATAATATAATAATTGGTAATTTAATTTCTCAATTATTGGTTGATAAAATAATTCGGAATTTGAAAATTTAAATTGATGGTTATTTTTAAAATAAAAAAATTGGTGAGCAATATTAACAATTGACATATTCTAAATTTAACTGTAATTCAAAATTTCGATTATGCCGATGTTTGCACTGTAGAAATTTATTGAAAATTTAAGAATATTCTAGAATTTTCTAGAAAATTCTCAGATATCTTACGCTAAAAACTAATTCGTAAGTGTTATTGTACACATTTTTTCAAAAAATTGTGAAAAAAAACCTCTGTAGCTCAAAAATTGGAGGCCATGGACTATTTCCAACATTTGAAGTGTCTGCGGGGCGAATGAACAATAAACAATTAATTTTTTTGCACTAATTATTCATTTTTAGACATATATAATCGATCTTCAATGCATGAGAAATCTCACTCAATCACCTGCGAACTTTAAAACTCAAAGTAGTCTCCCCTTGATTGAAAATAAAAATAATACATTCAACTGATCACTTGTTTCTCTTCCAGGGAGTCGTCAAGCTTGGAGCAGTAGATGCTGACGAGCACAAATCTCTCGGCTCCAGGTTTGGAGTTCAAGGTTTTCCGACAGTAAAAATTTTCGGAGCTAACAAGAACAAGCCCGAGGACTACAACGGCGCCAGGACAGCATCAGGTCTCGTCGATGCAGCATTGAGCGCTGCCAAAAACAAGGTCAAATCAGCTCTGAATGGCAAAAAGAGCGGCAGCAGTGGAGGCTCGTCAGACTCGAAGAAATCAAAGAGTTCCGACGATGTTATCGAACTCACAGACGAGAACTTCGATAAATTGGTCTTGGAGTCCGATGACACGTGGCTTGTGGAATTCTTTGCACCCTGGTGTGGACACTGCAAGAATTTGGCTCCAGAATGGGCCTCAGCGGCTACTGAATTGAAGGGAAAAGTCAAGTTGGGAGCACTGGATGCTACTGTTCATCAGGAGAAAGCTCGTGAATACGGAATCAAGGGATATCCCACGATCAAGTACTTTGCACGCGGTGCCAAGGACTCTGATTCAGCTGCTGAATACGATGGTGGTAGAACAGCAGGGGACATTGTCAGCTGGGCACTTGAGAAGTGGTCTGCGAGCATACCACCACCGGAGGTTATTCAACTCGTTGGAAAGGACTCGTGGAAAGATTCTTGTGAAGGAAAACAACTCTGCGTTGTCTCTGTGTTGCCACATATTCTGGATTGCCAGTCTGATTGTAGAAATGGCTATATCAGTACTTTGCAAAAACTTGCGGACAAGTTCAAGCAGAAAGACTGGGGGTAAGAATTCAGTTGAACAAGTTATGATTTTGCACATTTTGGTGGGTATTTAGTTATTTTGGGAAATTGTCAAGACTCTTTGTAAGAGAATCAAGGGGGACATTGCTTTCTTCATGACGAAGGCAATGTATTTTGACAGATTGCCAATTTGCTTCCGAATGGAATTTATATTAATTATATTTATATATAATTGAATTATTCAATTGAATAATTGAATTCAATTTAAAATACATTCAAAATTCATTTATTCATTTTTTCTTTCCATTAATAGTGGTTTCAAAATAAAATAGAAGTTGGTCAAGATGGCATTGGGAAGAATATTTTAAGGATATTCAAGTATATGAGTTTACAGTGTGGTACAGGCCAAATCGTTTTATCTATTTTCAATCGAATTACGTGAGATAACTTTGACAAAAATTATGAATATTCAGTGTCATTATAATTACATTTTGCACAGAATTATTATGTTCTAAACGTTTATTGTTTATGAGACCTTATTTTTTTAGGCATGAAATCGATTTGAGTAAAATTCTGAATATGATTTTTACAAGAAATTACGATTACGAACAAATATTTTTTATGGTGGAAAATAGATTGTTTGTAAATTATTTATCGAATATGCTCGTAATTTTCAAAAATTGCAATTTTTTAATTATTTCAATAATCTTTTTCTGAAAGTAACCTTTTCAATTTTTCTCAGATTTTAAAAATGTTTTTCAAGTAGTAAGACGATTCTAGTGAACTCAATTTTAGATAAATATCTTTCAATCTCAGAGCAGTCGGACATTTTCCAAGCGAAATTTCTCTGCGAAAATGCAAGGAATTTCTCGTTTTTTTTTTCAGAAACAATTCTACCTTCCAATTTTGCTATCTTCAAAAACAAATTGTCAACTTGCAAAATTGATTTGCAAAGATTTGCAAAATTGACCTGTCTTGTTCCTTCACTTTCCTTCGAATTTATTTTATAATTTTCTGATTTTTAACGTCTCTGTTATGGCTAATTGCAGATGGCTGTGGGCTGAAGCCGGAGCTCAACCAGAAGTAGAGGAAGCCCTGGAGATAGGAGGTTTTGGTTACCCAGCACTGGCTGTCGTCAACGCAAAGAAACTCAAATACTCTCTTCTGAGAGGTAGTTTCTCATACGACGGAATCAACGAATTCCTGAGGGACCTCAGCTACGGCAGAGGTGGCACAGCACCAGTCAAGGGTGCTGATCTTCCAAAGGTCCGTGAAACAGAAGCATGGGACGGCAAGGACGGTGAACCCCCACAGGAGGAGGACATTGATCTCAGTGATGTTGACTTGGACGAGAAAGACGAACTTTAGAGGAGTAACATTTGTGATGAGAGTTTCAAAGAATGAGTCATTTACCACATTGTCAATTCTCTTCCAACGCATTTGTAAATCATACCCGTTTTCTTTGTCAAACGTCATTCCACATCAATTGTTTATATGGAGAAAGGGGGAGAATTGAAGCTCACCTGATTTTTATTTTTTGAAACATTTTTAATCATAAATAATTATGATGAGAGTGTGAACGGACTGTGTAATTTTACTATAAGTCATAGAGTATGAAATCACACGACACTGAAAAATCAGGTTGATATATTATTATGAAAATAAATACAATAATTTTTACATTATTGCATGTTCATTTTTATGATTTTTATGGTTTCGTAAAGTCAGAGATGGGGTCAAACGTACGGAAAAATTGCATAGAAAAACCTAATGCATTTGAACTTTTATTGATTATTCGCTCCAACTGAATTGCCACCCAATAGAAATTCAGTATTTGAGATTTTGGGGTGAAGTGGGAGTAGGATTATTGCGATAATTTTCGATAATTCCCAATTTAGATGGGGGGAATAATCCAGCAGCATCCCCCTCGTGCTTCAAAATTTTCGACAATTTAGAAGCACTCGGGACATTACGACTAAAAATTCTACTAATTTTTCACCGATTCTATTGATAGTTTTCGTAGCGATCAGAAACGTTTCATAGGGAATATTTTGCAGAAAAAAATTGATTTTGGAATTTGAAAATAAATCATTCTATTGAGGTATTTTGTATAGAAATTCTTCAGTATAAATTTCCCAAGTTTTTTGTGTTTTTTTCTGATTGAAAAATTGGAACACAACAACTCTAAAAATTTAAGCCGAAGCGTTTGTATAGAAAATATCCCCGTATAGTAAGATGTGTAAAAAGTGCAAAGTTTGCTGCATTTTTTGAAATAAAATATATTCTATTGAGTGTTTTTAATAGAATCGAAAAAATAAAAAGCTCAAAAATAAAATGATTTACCATTGATCATTTTCTCGTGAATTCTAACTTTGATGAGTGCAAGAAATTGATCCATCAAATTCATTCAGTTATTTTTTTTAACAATAGATTCTCATTTGACCAGGGATTTTCGACATAACACGTTATTTGGAGCACGGAAGAACAAATTATTTATTACAAATGTTTGAATCATTTTTCATCTTGAACATAGAATTTTTATTAATTTTTTTCAGATTTTTCGAGATTTTTTAGAAATTTTAATTTCTTCCCCACTTTGAGAAATTAATTTCCTCATAAGACTGCGTTATTTTTCCATTTCTAAATTAATTATTATCTGTAATACTAGACTGTCAATTGTGCACAAACTCAACCAGAATGTTTCCGTGTTTGCCCCATACTCCTGAATGTTCAAGTCTGTCTAATACCAACAACATAATTTTCTACTTGTCTGTTATCACGAGAAGTTGAGAGCATATAATTTATGAATCCATGATGAATCCCAAAAGTTCAAAAATATAGTGGAATTAGTGTGTAGAAATGAAAAGAGTAGATGGACTTGACGTGAAGATTTTTGGAAAAAAAATAATCGACCAACATATCATCACAAAAGAACTGCGATTAATTTTCCAGTAGTCAACAGTAGCCGTCGCATTGATGTTGCGTCTTCCACTATAGCACAATCATAAAATTAGTAAAGTGGTAGTCCATACGCTGAAGCTGATCGAATGAATTTAGGAGTTCATGGGTTTTAATGTGTGAAATTTATGTTTTTTGGATCGCTATGTTTCATTAAACCCTCAAGTATGGGATCAGTTCCACATACATGATTAATAAAAATTAATTATCTCATATTATTGCAGATATCTAATTTCTGAAAAATTTGCCCATGAAATAGATAAAATTATCAACACAATGCGACTTGATTTTTATCTCAAGTTAGTTTTAATCTTTTTCTTCAATACATAAACATTACGGAGCTGAATTCGATGTTGGAGGCACTGAAATATAGACATCCCCTAAGGCCAAACAGGAATTTACATCGAATACACTTCTGAAACATCAAAGTCATAATTGTATAAAAAATTCTCTTGAATAGAGGTTTATCCATTTATCGAAATAATTTTTATTAAATATTCTGAAATTTTTGCCGAACATACTCTATACATTCATTAAATTCAGTAGCGAAGTGGTAAAGCGGTTTAAGTCGACTTATCTCTTAGTTGAGTTTTTGAAGAATATCTCCGAATCTAAAGGAGATGATGGAATATTCGTAATAACCTTTTTTCTAGAGAAAATTGAGTGCTACAAAAAAGGTCTCAATACAAATTTAGCTATGTCCCTTAAGTTCCGAGATATTCACTAAAAACTGGCCAATAGTCAAAATCGACTTAAACCGCTTTTCCACTTCGCTTCTGAATTAGATCGCATCCCCAAACTACGGGAGATAAAAAAAAATTCAAGTCATACATTATTTAGAAATTACTAAGGAATAACTTTTGCCGTCGAACAATTTCAGGTGTCTCAAAATCTAAAGAAGATATGTGGAATAGTCAAAAAACCAAAATTATTCCTCATTAAATTCTGAATAATTTATCATTTGAAAAATTTTGTCTACCGGCCATAGTTTGAGTGCTACGGCGATTCACACAATTAAGATGTTGATAACAAATAGAACGCCGGATTTTTCAAAAAAGCAACCGACAAATTCGGAACTAGTCACGGAAAAAACAAATTCCACACATCAAAACTCGCGGACTCCAAAATTGATACAGGATCGGATTGTTGTTTTACGTCTCGCCACTCCATTACTGAACCCCAAATGAGTAGCACTGTTACTTACGAAAAAAAAAATTAAGAGAAAAAACATGACTAAGGATGAAGGTCATCTTTCACAAAGCGTATTACAGCGTGGGTATTTTGCTCCAAAATTGAAATTCGATTATATTTCGAGTTTTTCTTTGCCAATAGTGAAGTTTTACCACGACTTCAGGGGCATCAGAAACCATTTTATTACAGCAAATCTTAATTTGTTGATAACAATTTTCAATTCATTGATTTTTTAAAATTCACCCAATTTTTATCAGCATGTAAAAATAAAACTTGACTATCAGCTGAAAAAAATACGCGTTCTGTAAAAATTCATGTTAATTTCCAAAATTGTCAATTGTATTATCTCGTAAATGGTTTTTATTATTTATTTAAAGTATTGGAACCCGTTCGTAGATGGTTTTCATAATCCCACTGCAATTCTCTGGATGAATTCAAGATGTAAAAATATCAATCCTGAATTTCTTTCAGAATTTTCCTCATGTTGTGGCACCCTGCCATAATATCCTTGAGTAAAACGCCATTATCAACTGTAAATTGTCTTTTTATTGAATAATAAATGTTGTAAAAAATACAATGCATTGTCCGTAATTACAGCAGCGTTAGCTGCACAGAGAAAAATACTCATGATACACGATGAAAATCAGTCTAATCGGTAAAAATTAAATATCCTTTTGTATAATCTCACATTATCTTGAACCTCAAGGTGATCCCCTAATATTCCGTACGCTATGTACCATATAGTATTAATTTTTAGAGTGACGAGTGCACTCTGTATTTTTTAATGTTTTTTAGTGAAGAAGTTATTAGCCATTCAATTGTAAAAATCAAGTTTTCTGAGAATCTATCCAAAATTCGAAAAAATAGTTGAAATGTCAAATGTTCCTCTTGTCAAATAAACAGGAATGCTCTTATGAATTTTTCCCCTATTCCAATTATTTCCGGAGGTATTGAGCTACGCATTTCAGCGTGAAATTTGACATTGAAATATCTCGTAAAATAATCCGAGTAGGAAAAAAATCCATATATGTAAAAATGTTTAATTTGACAAAAGGAATATTTTTTGTTTCAACTATTTTTTCCTACCTACAATAGTTTTTGAAAAGAATCGGTTTCAATAATCGAATCGTTGATCAACTTTTTTGCGCATTGTTTCTCGGCAAAACGACCTTCAAATTTTGATTCAACTCACCTAAGAACACAAAAAAATACTGAATCGACCCTGAAACAGTTCAAATGAAACATGTCCCTCTTGTCAAACTAAACATGAATGCTCTTATGCATTTTTTCCCTATTCCAATTATATCCGGGGCATCAAAGGTACGAATTTCAGCGGTAAATTCAACACTCGAATATCTCGTAAAATAATCCAAATAGGAAAAAAATCCATATACACAAATATGTTTAGTTTAACAATGAACATTTTTCATCTCTCTATATCATAAAAATCCAAATCGACTTCTGGTGATGAAAATTTGGTACTCGCAATTAACACTCCAAAATTAAGGGTCACAAGGGTCAAGATAAAGTTGACGAGGGTCAAAATAAGGGTCACGAGGGTCAAAATAAGGGTCTCTATATAACTCTCTTTATTATAAAAATCCAAATCGACTTCTGGTGATGAAAATTTGGTACTCGCAATTAACACTCCAAAAGTAAGGGTTACAAGGGTTAAAATAAAATTTACGAGGGTCAAAAGAAGGGTCAAAATAAGGGTCTTTATATAACTCTCTATATTATAAAAATTCGAATCGACTTCTGGTGATGAAAATTCGGTACTCACAATTAACACTCCAAAAGTAAGGATCATAAGGGTCAAAATAACGTTTACGAGGGTCAAAATAAGGGTCTCGAGGGTCAAAATAAGGGTCTCTATATATCTCTCTGTATTATAAAAATTCGAATTGACTTCTGGTGATGAAAATTTAGTACTAGAAATGAAGCCTCCAAAATTAAAGGTCGAAATAAGGGTCAGGAGGTTTAGATTAAGGGTCTCAAGGGTCAAAATACGGACGATGGGGGTCATATGCGGGCCATGTGGTAGTTGGCGAGCGGAGCGAGCAGGGGACGAAGCCCCCTAGTTTCAATTATTTCTTTCTGCCTTGAATAGTTTTTGCGCAAACTCAGTTTCAATAATCGAATCGTTAATAAAATTTTCTTGCATCGTTCGTCGGCAAAACGACCTTTAAATTCGCATTCTACACACCTAAAAACATAAAAATACCAAGCAAACCCGTAACTCTCAAAATGGATACTAAATTGTATCTAGCGCATGGATTACCAGGACTATAAATAGTTGAATGAATATAACGTATGTTCTACGTTCCACATGGTCATACGACATTCGTCAGTTCGATCATGTCGTAATTGCGCTCCTTTTTACAGAGATAGGGATAGAATACGAAGGCATAGTAACCAGTCGTGGTGATGATTATTGCAGCAAGGATCAATCCGATTATTCCCCACGCAGATATCGCACTGCCTTTCCTGACACTCTCCGACGACGATTTCAGGTTTTTCGGGTTCTGGATACCACTGGTTTGGGTGTTGTAACTGGACCTTTGGGAGCGATCTCTGTCGCTTGACACCCTGGAACGAATTCCAGCCTCGGTTGATTGGACAACCACTGGAAGTCATTAATCACGAGTAAGGATTTTTGTCGAAAATTCCAAGCATTTAAAGTAGCTCCACCCTTACGGTAAATTCAAAGATTATTGAAAACTGCAAAAAAAATTGCAGAAAACTCGATTAGATTCGGAATTCTAATTTTTTTCTCAATTTAATTATCGTTTTGGTTTTTCAAATGTTTAAAAATCAGGATTTAACCCAGTGTCTTATGTGAAAATCAATATTTCCATTGTAATCAAAGATTAAAATCTGATTTTTTTTCATTAAATGTGAAAAAATCAAGAATTTTTTCGACACCTCATAACAAATAATCCACCGTTTTGCAAACACGTTTTACTATTTATTTATAAGAGGGAAATGTTTGATAAAAAATAACAATATTTAGCGACATTTAATTTAGATAATACTGACTGGGTATGAATTTTTTCCATGCAATTTAGTTGAAAAATTTAAACACTGAAAATATCCAAAAGTACTGCGTAGCCCGGCCGAAGGGTAGAGCTACTTTAGGTAAATGATTGTATATTAAAAACAACCCCCACCGCTTCACGTTTTTTCACTTCAAAATAGACAATTTTTTTTTTCAATAATAAACCTGATTTCGATGAAATTAATGGCTTGATTACAGGGTTGATAATTTGATCAATCAGATGATTGATTATTTGATCAATTAATTCATTATTTTGCAGGGCCACTGTCCTTTTACTCGTTAAAAATAAAAACAAGTGAGAAATTGCTCTTATATTGCATATAGGTATTGTTTAATAAATTAGCAGAGCTGGGCACTATTTTATGAAAATCAAGTAGAAATCCTATTCCAAATGGTTCATTGGGATGAAAGACTATTTATTTATGTCTTTTTGAAATTGAAATAAAATAGTTATTGGATATTTCGTTTCAACGAAATAGAAAATGAAATAGTATTTACTATTTCAGAAGTGAAAATGGAGTTTACACGTGTTCAAAAATTAATCCCCAAACTCCAGGTTTCTTCTACTCCGAAATAGGCAGTTCGTTTTTTTCAATAATGAATCTCATCTTGATAAAATTAATGACTGGATTACAGGGTTGATGAATTGATTGCCTAATTAATTGATCAAGTAATTAATCAATTCATAACGCATTTATTGAAATGTTTCCACGGGTCCCTTCGATTTAGAATCTAACAGGACTATTTTCTTTTTGCTTATTAAAAAAAACGTTAAATGTTTTTTACTTCAGAAGTGAAAATGAAGTTCGTGCACTTGAATTATATTTCATCATGAATGGATGCAGCACACGTGTATAAAAAGTAACCCCCACCACTCCACGTTTTTAACTCCAAAAAAGGCAATTCCTTCTTGAATAATCATCTCCATTATTAAAGACAATAAATTACTTACACAGGACTCCGAGAATTAGTATTGCGACCCCTTTCATGTCAATCAATTATAACGTATCCTCCTAAATTAGAGTGATTGAAAAATTGAATTTGGAGTGAGTCGGAGCGAGACGCTTCTTTTTATTTTGACAGACCCGCTTGGCATCTGCTTCCCGGGAGTGATGACACTATACCATGTGTGGGTCTTCAGTATAGTTTATTGTTATCTGTGATCCCACGGCTGGGTCGACACGGGTTGAATCAGTTTTGATTGGATTCGTAGGAAGAAATATGTCAAGAGATAGAAATATGCTCTCAGTGTTTGTTTGAGCCGGATTCCGATGACTAGTTTCCCAGATATGTAATTATAATTGATAATCATATTGATTAGCTGAATTGAAAGCGGTGAGTTATAGGGTGATAGTGGCATTCTACTTGTGAATATTTTCAATTTGATTGGGTTTTTATTTTGTAAATTATCTCTAGGAATCCGTGTGGAAAAATATATCTCCGGTGATTTATCTAAATTATATGTAACATATATGGGACATTCCATGTCAACTCAGCCACCCTGGAATTTTTTGGTCCTCAGAATCTTGAATTAGCATGCTCCCAGTCAAGTACTACATGAGTACATACTTTCTCTAAATTTTCGCTCCTTTAACATTAATTGTTTGGCCAGGACAAATAACAAAAGCTCAAATTTTTGAAAAATCATATCTTGCGAACAAATTGGCCGATTTTGATGAATAAAAAAAGATTTTTTTCGTTTTTTCATACACTTTTGGAATAAAAATACGACAGTACCACGAGGAAGAATAATGAGTCATTTTTCAAGTTTTTTGTTATTTAAATCCTTCTGTTATGCAGGGGCCATTCGAAAATCGAATAATTTTTTTTTCTTCGATGAATAATGATATTACTCAACTTTTTCGGGGTATTTCAAAATGGGATAGTCATATGGAGATTTTAGTCATAGATTTTATGTACGCGACGTCAATATGTAATCAAATTGGATGGTATCGTGTCAACACGATTTTCTTTTGATTATTCCCCACAGAAATAGTTGCTCATTAGTTTCATTTCGTAACTCAACAACTATAACGAACGGAAATCAATTATGGGTGAAGTCAAAGTGCGCCCGGCAGTACGAGAAGACTGTGAAGGAATAAGAAGCTTAATCCAGGTATGACTAGAAAGTTTGTCGTCATTAAATCTCCTATTCATTTCCACGTTGCTAATCAACAGTCAAGGACAAGGGATCTTGGGGAAAATCAGTATACAATAATAATTTGATTTCATTTTGAGATTCAATTAGCCAGAGGCTTCAATACTCAGATGCTCAAAATGAATTGCGATTATTTTCGTATCCGATAATAATATTCAGTGGCGAAGCGGTAAAGAGGTTTAATGCTCCATCACTCTCTCAATGAGCATCGCCAGTTTTTATTTTTTTATAGTTTAGCGTGTTTCGCGATGCTTAAGGGGAAAACACTATGAGTTTTAAAAGTCGCGGGCTATTAGAATAAGATTTCTCATACATTGAAAATTCATTTCCAAATTGGCTAATCACCAAAATCTACCAACTCTATTCTATACTCTAAGGCGATAACCGTTTGACCGCTTCGCTTCTGACATGTGCGCTAAGAAAAAAAATCAATAACCGGAGAAATTTGCTCAGATAAAAAAGAAATATGATTCTACGTTCATAGTCTTCTAGTATGAATCTATTGTATCAGAAATCAATGAAAAATATACAAAAATCACGAATTGTCATTATTGACAATGTTATTCTCGCTAGAATGATAGTATAAAGTTGACAAACAAATTTTCAGCAACTCGCAGATTTTGAAGATATGTCGAATGGTCCAAAAATTGGAGCGGACAGTGAGTACATGTACTCCGATTCAGAAAATTGGAAAGAAAATTTAAATTAGTTACACTTGATTCTGAATGATTTTTTCCAATTCTGCTTTAGCATTAGAAAATGACGGGTTTGGTGACCATCCACTTTTCCATTGTCTCGTCGCTGAGAAAAATAGCAAATTAATAGGCTATGCTTTATACTATTTCTCGTATTCAACTTGGGTCGGAAAAGCCATGTACCTGGAGGATTTATATGTGATTCCTGATCTTCGGGCGCAGGGAGTTGGTTCCCTACTCTTCGACGCCGTTGCAAAGGTGAAGACTCATCGTAAATATTCATTGATCCATTCTAATGTTTCATTGATTCATTTTAGCAAGCGGTGCACCAGAATTGTGGTCGATTGGACTTTGCGGTATTAAAATGGAACCCCGCGGTCAATTTCTACAAGCGCAGGGGAGCAATTGACTTGACGGAAACGGAAGAGTGGCATCACTATCGGTTGAGTTCCGAAGCTTTGAGAGAAAGAGTAAAAGAATAAAATACATTTCAAGATAAAAAGTATTTTTCATTTTTCGCAACACAACTCCTTGTTCTTCAGACCTACTATTGAAAAAAAAAAATTTTAATTGAAATTTTTGGAATAGGTTTGTGCACTATAGTTTCACCTAAATCAAAGGGGGTGAACAGAAGAGTAAAATAAATCATAAATGACAGCTTTCAATTTTTTAAAACTTGTTTTCATTTGTTATGAAATTATTTTGCCAGCGAAAATAGTCTAACATACCACAAAAATGGCTAGAGAGGAAAGGAGACCTTCGGAAATAAGGTGGGGAGATTGTGTTTTAGATTCAAATTTTTGGGATGAATCTGACGAGTCAATCTTCGCAATAAAAAAAGTATATGACTTCGAGTTGAATGAAGAGGAGAGAGAAGGAATTTTGTCGGATCGATTGATTGAAAGCCGCTTGAGCCGTCTGGCCAAATGTCCCCATGACGAGAGTTATGCTTTGACAAAATGTAATTTAAGTCACATGGTAAAATTAATCGATCATCAAATCATATTCTGCAAGCCAGAAATCCCGACATAATTTTGCAAAAATTGCAAGCATCTTTAAACAACCGATTTTCCTCTTAATTTTGTCCCACAGAATCTTGTCGATATAGCGGCGTTGCGAAAGTATAAATACCTCCAATACTTGAATCTTTCTTATAACAATTTGGATGACCTATCACTTCTGGGTAAATTTCCCTATCTTGTACACCTGGATGCATCCCACAATAAGCTGACGTCTCTGTCACTGCTCCCATCCCCATTATATTTAACTTACCTGGATCTGTCTTACAACAACATTACGACTATGAGTGACATGTCAGAGTTTTGGAGCATCGTGTACCTAGATCTTTCGCATAATTCTATCGAATTTATTTCAGGACTACAAAATCTCAGGTACGAATTCGACTATTCTCGTTTATACAATAATTTATTCATAATGCGGTGGATGGAGATGATTGTATTTGCGTCAAATAGTCGTTTTTCTGCTGTTTCATTTTGCCCCATTCTCCCCTACATGTCCTTAATTTTCATACATATTCTTCATTCTCAAACATGTTCCCAATTTTATACATGTCCTCTATGTCCGCAGTCACTAATTTATTTCTTGTCACAAAGTTAATACCGTGATTAATTCCCATTTTTCTCATCAGACATTTGAAGCATTTGAATTTATCTCACAATTTAATCGACTGCGTCCGCAACTTGGATAATCTAAACATTGAAAACTTGAACTTGGAGTTCAACCGTATCACGAAATTCCGGTCATCTTCGGGCGAAGGATTGGAGAATCTTCGGAAGCTCAGGGCTCTCCTTCTGAATCACAACAAGATTTCTTCCTTATTTTTCCTCCACAATGCTTTCTACTCCCTCCGAACTCTCGACCTGAGGCACAATAAAATAGCGGATCTGTTGAGCGTATCAAACGCCAGAGCTTTCCTCGACGAAATAGACCTTCGAGGCAACTCCTGCACTACCTGGCCATATTACAGAGAAGTTCTCTTGCATTCAATACCCACTCTCACTTGTATCGATGAGTGTGAAGTCACTATTCCTGAAAAGGTATCCGCACTGGCTAAATTCAGTCCGCCAGTGGATCTCTTATCCTCCAAGGCTCTCAGCAAACTGATCCTGCTGGAGCACTTGATCCCTCCAAGTCTCGATGACAGCGTCATCCCTTACGATCAGCCTGATCCTGCTCTGATAGTCCTGAGTGGACCCTCGGCTGTTAAGAAAATACATCTGGGTCTCCTTATCGCCAAGAGAATGTCGGATAAGGTAAAGTACTGTCGGAGTTACACGACGAGAGAATTTTCAGCTCATCATGACGAGGTCAAGGCTTACAAATTTGTGGAGAGAGAGGATTTCAATGCAATGGCGAGAAATGGAGAGTTTCTGACGGTTGAGGAACTTGTCGGAGATAGTTATGGATTTCGTAAGGGAGAAAATTATTCCAGAAGCCAAGAAATTTATGGAATTTCATTTTTATATGAAACTGCTAGAGAAGTCGTACAAAAAGATGGAATTCTATTGATTTTTTTTTATGATAGTTTCTGCTAGATATTATCTTCTGAAACAAACATAGAAACGTTGCAAAATTTATTGATAGAATCGACGAAAAACTAATCGAAGTTGAATAGAAATTCAATAGAAATTTTTGATGAATTCGCTGGGAAATTTCTCGATTTCTTTTCACTGAGAGAAAAAACTATTGCCGTACTCAAAATCAATATTTCGGCCATTTATCTAGTTCAGAAACGATTGCTCAAGAGAAAATTCAAAAACAAACAAATCCAGACACTTGGAAAATTTTGATGAAAAATTTCTCTCAACACTCTTTTTCTTCCGAATGAAAGCTTTCGAGTCGCTGAAATTTAAGTTTGCAATTTTTAGTGTGAGAGTAACTAAATATGATCGAAAAAGTCCGCACGGACGAAATAATTTAATAGAAAAACTTATCGAATTCGTTAGAAAATTCTATTGGATTTCTATTGAACTGCTCTATTAGTTTTTAGCCGATTCTATTGAAATGTTCAATAGAAAATATTCAGTAGAAAAAGTCGATAGAATTCAATTGTTCTATATAACTTTATTCTATTAAGATATTTTCTATAGAATTTCCTCGACTCAAATTTTCTAAGTTTTTTCGTTTGATTTTCTCGATGAGAAGAAAAGAAAAATAGAATGAAAAAAACTCCAAAATTCGAGTCGAGCAAATTCTATAGAAAATATATGAAAAGAATGAGTTATAGAGAAAAATCGAATTCTGTTGACTTTTTCTATTGAATGTTTTCAGCCCAAAACTGATAGAAAGTTTAATTGAAATTCAATAGAATTTTCAAACGAATTCGGTAGGTTTTTCTATTAAATTTTTTCGTGCGTGCGAATATGCGTTTTTTAGATGGTTTCTGAAAAAATGCAATTGTTTCATAAATATTCATTACCGCAATTCTTGTCATTTCTTATGACTGAAATAATCCACAGATGCTGGAGAAATCGTGGCATTACGAAAAGAAAATAAAATTGGAATAACTCAAATGGATCTTGATGCAACAATCCAACTGAAGCATCGATACCCAAACGTTAAAGTAATTCTAGTGATGACGAAAAACGAGGAAATTCATAGAGAATGGATCAGAGAGAAATTCAAAATATTCACCTGGATCAAAGACAGTGTTGAGAATTTGCTGGCATTAACGATAGGAAGATTGTCACGTGAAAATCACGTGGAATCGGCGGTTAGCAGAGCGAATTTCATATCTCAGCTCATGAGTGAAATTATTCAAGATCTCGATTTGCCAAATTATTGTGATTACGTCAGACCTCAAGGCACCGGGGCTACTGCTATGGATATCATCCTCCAGAGCCGAATGATGCTGCGCGGAGTCACTAAGACTGCTAAAGAAGTTATTGCAGAGAAGCATATTCAGTTTCAAGAGAATCGTGGTGATGGAGGAGTGGAGAATGCTCCCAGCGCTACGTTTTCTGATCTCAAAGTAATTCTTAAATTGCAAGAATGACTATCAACTGATTATTTATATTGATTCTACATTCTACGTTCTTTACATCTCGTTAATTATTGGACTTTATCCTGATGATGAATATTTTTTTAAAATCATTCATCTGCAAAAAAAAACTTGATATTTTCTGCACGAATCCTTTACTCAAAAATTTATGTTGAGAAAATTGCCACAGAAAAAAAATTTCAATAGAACAAGTTGTATGGAAGAATCGAATACTATTGATTTTTTCAATAAAATAGTTTCTACCGAAAATTTCCCATTGCTAAAAATACAGAAAAGAAAAATATTTTTTATTACCTCTCATTCAAATTTAATTGTCTCATACTGTTTGATAAACTTCATCTTCATTGAATTAGTCGAAATATTTCAATCATTCGGTTTTAGTTCACCCTCCCGATACTGAACAGTTGCCAATAAATTTTAGATAATTCTGGACGAACACAAGAATATAATAATCGACGATGAGGAGTCGAAAAGGCAACGGAGAATGAAAAGATTTCTGCATCGTCGCAAAGCGTTCGAAGAAAAAGGAGAAACGCCAATTGACATGATATCTGAATCGAGTGATGAGTCGCACTACCGGTTTTTCGAAAATTTTAAACGAGCTGATGAGCCGAAATATCTAATGAATTACTACGTGGAAGTGGTGATGAGGTCGAGACAAGCGTACATCGATAAGCACTTGGAGAGTCCCGGATTTTATTCGCTCACAGTTAGTTATCCAGCACTCAGACTTGTTCTGCAATGAATCATTTATGATTCATCTGATTTCAGGTGTTTTCCGACGAGTACGACCACGCGCTGAGTGCCCTCATCGAGTTCGTCAATGCACAAATTGACCAGAAATATGAAAAATGTGAAACTCCCGATATTGAGTATCGGAATGAGGTGATTGTTCCGAAGGTTATTGATAGCATCCTCGGTGAACTCAACGCGAATTTTTTTCCGAGAGAGTTTTGATACCAAAAAATTCAACATTTCATTTTCAGGGTCATTACAAATAAATAGATCAGTTGATTTTTAAGAAATTTCACAGTACAAAATTTATTAGTTTGACGCGTATGATTTTACAGGCGTCCTAAAACATTATTTTAATGATGATTTTTATTGAATTCATGGGAACGTTGATTGTTGCTACAGATTATTAATCTTCGGGGCATAAATCTGCGTTTGACGATGTCATTGTATTATCTGAGTTTGACTCTTTCTCAACAGATTTGTGTTCTTTGCTCTTTCTCCTTTTCCCGGACACCTTTTGAGCGTCTCTCTCTTGTTTGATTCTCATTTTTTCTTCTTTCTTCAAGAGTTTCTCGGCTTCAATCGATAGCTTTAGAAGTAACGAAAAATTTGAAGAGTAATCCTTTAACAAGAAATAAATAATCAAGTTTCATTCCTTGTTAAATAGGCAATTATTTCCATAATGAGTGGTGTTGGGAGACAATATTAAAAAACATTATATGTCGGAAATTTATTTCGCTACAAAAAAGGTCTGTAGATATTTTGCTTAAAAATAACTTCGCTTCGAGATAAATGTCTAAATCGCAAAAGAGTATTGATTAATTTTCTTCGTACGAATTGATTTTTCACAGCTCAATAAATATTGAATTTTCGCGACAATAAGTGATTTCAGGGGGAAATGCCAAAAGACATTTTTCAATTGAAATTTATCCATCTACAAAAAAGATCTGCTTGGTGAGGAACTAGATTTAGGGTGGATTGGGAGGTTAGAGGATCGTCGGAGTGAAATAATTGTTGAGAGTCTTGACCTGGTATAAACGTTAATTTATTCTCGGGGTCGAACCACGCTTTGTCAAATTTACAAAACACTTTGTCACTTGTTGATCGTACTGAGTTAATTTGATTGTCTATCGTTTTAGCACTGTTGAGTCACTGGTTGAATGGTCAATAAATAACGTGATTTTCTCTTAGTGAATTTCTATCGCCGAGCTAATAGACGCTAATGTACTGAACGTGTCTAAACTCTACGGAGTTGAATTCGATTCAAAATGTGCTATACGACAGATCGTTTGATACTGATTTGCGTTGATTTACGGTGACTCTACTGGACCTGAGCGTTGACCCGGAAAAGACCGATGATTTTCGCAATTGGCCGAGCTGATCGATCTTGGTCTTGGAGAAGTTGAGTTACGTTTCAAACAAGATCTTTTGACATTTTTTCGAAAAATCACTCGATTCCGAAATAGATGGAAAAACAATGAAAGAAGTTGAGGAGTACGACTTATAATGGTTTATAACGTGGCTGGTTGTCCATCTATAGGATTTAGGTTAAGAAATTCGGACCCGAAGATGGACAGTCAGTTTTTAGGAAAACTTTTTGTCGTTCTACATTCTCATCTGCAGAAAACTCTTTGTTGATGATTATAGTGTACATACCGTGTTTAATTGCATTGACACATTCATTTTTCACCATAACAATACTGTACTCCTCTACCCTAACTATTCACCACGGCACCGGCGTAAACTGGTGTTCCTACAACTACAATTTTATTTGTTTTCCTCATTCAAAATGTCGATTTCATCATCTCATTCAAATTTAATTTCAATCATCTCATTCAAATGTCGATTAATCTAAATAAATGAAGCATTTCGTAACCATAAATTAGTGTTAATATTGAAAATTAAATTGAATAGTACAGTTTTTATTCACATATTTGCGCAATATTCAAGAAAAGATGGAATCGTTCAACTTTTGGTCAGTGTGTATTTATCGGTCAGGTTACCCTAGAATGGTGAGAACTATTTAAAATCTTGATCAGATTTCGCAGGACACTCAGAACCAAATCAGCGAGATGTAAAATAATAACAAAAAAGACAGTTTCTGAGAGTTCGACTCCATTTTCTTCTGATCGTTACGTCGAGTCACAATTAGGGAATGTTGCTGTTCAACATGATTGTCCAATGGTTCTCCCCATCGAAGAATTTGTTACATTAGTCTCATCTGTGGAAAGAGAATAAAGACGTTTAATAAGGGCTAATTTAATGGAGAGATTTCATGGTGCCCAATTTTGAAATTGAGGAGCAAAATAATAGAAAGAGATCTATTAATTTTAATGAGTACGAATTTCATAATAAGAAAGCTACATTTTTTGCGGAACAGTAAAGATAACGAAGGGTTGGGTAAGATTCGTCGAAAAACCACTGGTCGAATGACAATTCGTCGAACAATTGGTCGAAAAGATAAATTCGTCGAAAAACCAATTGGTCGAATGGATCAATTCGTCGAAAAACCGATTGATCGAATGAATCAATTCGTAAAAAAATGGTCCATTTCAATTTCGAATGAAGTGTGGAGTCGGGATGAATTTCAATATGCATTTACAAGAAAAATTATTCGGACAAAAACGGAATCAAACACGTTTCTTTAAAGAAATTTGAAGATATAAACATCTTTTTCTAAAAACAAAAAAAAAACAAATCGAGTTAAATGCAATAGCGTATCACGGATCTATTCGATTCAACCCGAATAACGATAATATACACAAATTCATTGCGATGAATACAAGTGCACAGTAAATGTGGGCGTCCACATGAAAAGAGCCCACTTTGACGGTATTGGAGTTATGTATGTTCCGATAATCTTGATCAGATTTCTCACATTTTGAGCCCAAAATCAACTCGATAGAATGAAAACTGACGTCAGTATAGACGATCAAAAATACAATTTAACATTGGTTTAAATGGGAGATGTGGAGAGAAAAACGTGAATATCTCGACAACTAGATGCGACAAAGTGGGCCCTTTTCACGTGGACGTACAGAAATGATAGAATAAAACCAAAATTCAAAACAGAAACAAATATTAAACACCAGTTTAGGTTTGAAACACACGGCAATGATTTTCGACGAATCGAGAAGTTAGACGGAATGTGTTTTCGACGAATAGAACCATTAGACGAAATGATTTTACACGAATAAAACCATTCGACCAATTGTTGTTCGACAAATTGTCATTCGACCAGTGGTTTTTCGACGAATCGTACCGGTCCCGATAACGAAGATGGTCTTCAGAAAAATTCCACAATACCCCCCTGTAATACCGAGACATTTTTTGAAAAACAGCTTCGAAATTGAGTTGTATTCATCTTATGTCACCAATCCACCACTAAATTTTTCGAGAATTTCGAAACTGATTTATAGTCTTAATACTGACTTGTATTGTATTTTTTCCGAGTTATTTGGTATTGCATCGCCAGGATCGTGAATCTTTTGATGAGCGAATAAATTATATCTCTCTGCGAATCGTTTACCGCAGAGATCACAGCTGAACGGTTTTTCCCCAGTGTGAACCCTCATGTGTCGTTTCAAATGAGATGTGGATAGTAGAGACGCATTGCAGACCTGGAGACAACAACATGAAACATTAAATTCATAATACAATATTTATTGATTAAATGAAACTCAGGATCACCTTTTCTGCATAAATGAATTCAGTAGCAAGTACGTTACTTTTTCGCGCTGATATGTTTTGGCGCATCTAGTATTTTTGGGGGATATGAAAAAATTCTTTAAAAATTAAACCGCACACAGTAATGAAAAAAAAATGAATTCTACGAAATCTGCAAATTTTGAATGGGTCAGCGTGACCAAATTTGTAAATTGAGTGTTCCGTGACTGTGATGAAATTTTTAATCATGTAACTGCTTGTAAATTAATAGTACTCCGTGGCTTGAATTATTGTTCTGTTGCGTGGAATGAATAAGGAAATAGAAAGTATAAATTCGATAGAAAAAAATAATCCAATATTTGTAAATTGATAGTGTTCCGTGACTTATAATATCGTTGTCTGTTGTGTTGGATGTTAAGAAAAAAACGAATTTAATAGAGAAAAAAATGAATGCAATAGTTTGTTTAAACTTTTAACCAATTGCGTCCATGAGAAAGAAGATGAGTGTATAGAAAGTACAGTATATAAATTAATATGGAAAACAGAAAAATCGATCATTTGAAATAATAATAATTCCTTTCAGTAAAATACGAAAATGTTTTTTTTTCGAAAGATATTAAAGTTTTGTTATTGATGACATAAGGTACCAAAAAGTCTTGTTCCATGAAAATTAAACGATTGCGGTACTTCCGGTCAGGAGAAATGAAGCTCAGAGTTGCGCAATTTTGTCAAAATAAAATCGATGAAAAAGTAATAGATTTTTCGATACAAGTCTAATTTTTCTCTAAAATGTTTGCGTATGCAATATTGACTCTGAATTATAACTCGAAACTTTCCCTCACAACTGTATATCGACAAAGTGGCTCCTTTTCATCGGGACGACCACCTTGAATTTAAATCAATAACTTATCATTAAAAAAACTCACATGGCATTGATACGATTTTTTCCCCGTATGCGACAGCACATGCATATTGTACGACGTATGATGAACGAATCTTTTGCCACACAGGTCACACTGATACGGCATTTCTCCAGTGTGCATTGGTAAATGTCTCATAAGAGCGCCCTTCTGGGTAAAGCACTTGTCACAGAAGCTGCATTTAAATGGACTTATGCCATTGTGCATGCCAATGTGGATCTTGAGGGCATGCTTGTGCTTATAAGCCTGTCCACATTTCTCGCACATGTACGGACGGACAGACGAGTGGGATGCAATATGAGTCTTCAGTTCAGCAGATGTTTTGCATCTTTTATCGCAGATGGGACAGGAATGCTTCAGCGGTTCCTCGAGGGTTCTCGAAATTTTTTCCGACTTCCTAGATTCATTATTCTCTAGTATCTCGGGTTGTGGGTGCAACGAGGGCTCGAGTATTTTATTGTCTTTCAGAGATCCTTCATTACTACTTTCAACTTTGGATCCATTTTTTTGCTGACCATTTGGTATCTCAGGTAGATTGAGCTTTAATTGCAAGTCTTTTTGGCTCTCTTCGATTGAACAATTATTTGTACTACTTATTTCAACAGTCTCATGATTTAATAGTTCAAAATTTTGAACTTGAGGTATCTGGTATATACTATGATTATCAATGGCACTAATTCCTCCATTCTCCTGAATTCGAATTTCATGTTTGCTGATATGTCTATTCTCATTTAAAGTGTACGTCTTCAATATCTCATTCTGAATATTTGTAACTGTGCACTGGGCTTGTTCCAGCATTTGAAATAAATTATAACATTGTGAACACAGGTAGGAACTCTGCAGGTCCGTTACTGAGGGACGAATTGTGCCCAACACAAAACTCGCCAATAGCTCACCGCTCCTTGGTAGTGAAGTGTAAAATATATTTATGGAGGATGATATTTCAAGGGGGCTTCTGCATATCAGGCAAATCAACTCCGAGACACCAACTGTGGTCATCTCGGTTTCAACGTGCATTTGCCTTTTCTCATCACAAATTGACTTGTCATTGATTACACATTTCTGTACATTAGATATATTTTTTTCTCAATGAACGCAGGTTTTTCTAGAAATATGTTCATTCGATTTTGACTTCAACTTGTTGGAGTTGATAATATATAGGGAATCTTATATTTACAAGGTCTATGTCTCGTTCTTCAGGCTGGTGGGATGAAGAGTCGAACAACTTCCGCTTCGATGTAAATTATTTAGTGATTGTTGTCAACACAATTTCAAGCAATGCTTGTAACAAAGGTAAACACTCCCCACCTTGTGCACCACTCGGATGTTGGGATACTGGTAAAGCAGGGGATGATATTAGTCGCTGGGTTACTTACCCTAGCTTACGGAGGTTGACACTCTGACCGTGAAATCTTTAGGGTCGCTGCCAGCTTCGGTCAGGGAGGGAAAAATATGGTTGGGAGTAGAGATGCAAAATGATCGTCATTTTGTAGATCGCGTCATATGACCAAAAAATGACGGTCATGTGACGCACAAATTTTCCAACTACAAATGATTGTCACAAATCATTTATAAACAAATTGTTGTCAAACCATCTATATAGTTGCATAATGACGGTCGTAACTAATTTCCAATTTGTGACGGTCATGAATAAAACAAAATAGTTTCATCTGTATGGATGGAAAAAAAACGTGATTTCCATTTCAAAATGCGGATTAGGCCAATAAAAAAGGAATTCAACTGAAAATTGACCGAGAAAAAAATCAAGTTTCATCTATATAGACGAAAAATGACTGTCATTTTTTCTTGACAAGTTGTGAGGGTCACAGAAGGGGGAGGGGGAATTGTGACAGCCGCAATTAGAGATGCTTCGTCATTGACGGTCACATGGCGAAGCATTTATCACGGCTGTCAAAATTTTCCAGCCCCTTCTCTATGACCGTCACAATTTGCCAAAAAAATATGAGTCATTTTTCATCTACGAGAAAACAGAGACGGTCACATAGTGATAATCCCATTACTATTAACAAATTCCGTCGAAAAATACTTTTATTGGGACTTGACAGTCAAATATATCAATAGGCATTACAAAATATCAATGAATGTTTCATCCTCTAAGTGTATCATGAATGAGATCAAGTACTTGATTGTATAACAATTGTGGAGCTTCTGTCGCCCATAAGAAGTCCAAGTGATTAAACATCGTGTAATTAATTCGGACTATACCGATTGCATTTGGTAATTTTTTGTAAAACTCTTCCACATCCTGAAAGAAGGAGAAGATTGTTTCACCATCAATCTGAATACCCATACAATGAGAAAAAAATTCCAATATCTGAAACATATTTACTTGAGACGAGTAATTTTTCGCGTAGAAGAACCGTCAATCTTCAAGTATTTATTGTTTTCATGATTTTTTTTAAACATCTTCTAATGTTTCGATACGTAATATATTCATGACGTAATGCGGAATGATAGTGATAAATGAGAATTTATTCGAGTTCCTGGAAGTGCAAACATTCTGAGATTTAATCCGTTGAAAATAATTTACCTCTCTCCAGTAAATATGATCTACATATTAGTAAATTTTTCTCTTAGTGTATGAATAAACATACTCCAATAAACGTTGTCAGTTTTTACCTGGGCAGCAGCCAGCCAGTCATTGAGACCGTAGAAAAATGCCACAGGAATAGTCATCTTTGACACGTCGTAATCAGGTGGACTGCTTGCATTGTATTTCTCGATATTCTTAGTTGTTCCGTAATCGTATTGTCTGAATCTCCCAGAGGTCACTTCTTGTAGGTAATGAACCACAGTCTTGGTCGATGCACCTGCTGGGTCGTGATTCGTGATAACCGGAAGAAGACTCTGAATGAATTGTTGATCAATTATTATGAAAATTCGTCCAGTGCTTTCTGTATTTTTGTTAATTCCGCTCCTAGCCATTTACTGTCACACGCGAAGAGAAAAGTTGGATAAAAATTATCTAGAGAATGGCGGGAAATTTTACTACAGGGGTTACTCCCTAACATTTTCGCCTCTGGGGCCAGAATTCAAGGAATTAAATGTTCGGGAAGCCCTTACTCTTCCGTTGGAGGCGGAGCTAGGAAAGAGATAAACAGAGAGAAAGAATCTGCCTGTTTCACTCTCACACGTCGAGAGTAGTTTTACTGCGCAATCCCGTCGCGCAGAGGGACACGCAGATTTACCCAAACACATTTACGTTGTCGATGGTGGGGGAAGTCAACTTCTCCGACTGAAATGTGAGGGAACCGAAATATTAGGGAGTAACCACTGCATACGAAAGGTAATCGCGGCGCGAAATGGTAATTCAGTAAAAATACTTTTTACGGACGATTTCTTACGATGCGTTCGGTAAAAAAATAGTTGATGCCAATAAATAGAGCTTATTAAAGTCTATATCTATCAAAAACATTCATGAAATTCGATTGATCCCGTATAAGAAAAAAAGACCACATGCATACATTCATACAGTCACCATCTCAGAATCGCATTTTTAAACCATATTTAGTTACCGTAGCACAACAAATTGGAAACTGATATTTGAGTGATTACAAAGCTTCTATCGATGCAAAAATTATTGTTCTCTTTTCTGGCCCCGATGTGAACGATGTAAGGATGGACTAAAGTGGAATATTGCCATACCGCGTTTGTTAACAAAATAATTCTCCGTAATAATAGTCACTTCCGAGTCAGTTTTTCCGAGTCAACGGAGAAAAATTCAATAATGCACTGACACCCGACTCATATTATATTAATCAATTGAACTAACCAAATTAAATTGTGCCGCATCAAATCCGCTTATTGCAAACATCACATTTTCGCATACTTTTTCCTCTTTTGTAGTCAGAGCACACCCATATTTCCCTATGAGCTTGGTAATCCAGTCTCGAGGAAGAAATTTGTTGAGACTGAAGAACTTTTCGATGAGCTTTGAACAGAAAAATGTTAAACCTTCAATACTATCCCGACAATATCAAGTGAAATAACAATTAAAGCAGCTCTACCCTTGCGGCTCGAGTCATTGAGTGTTTTTACAAAAAAGAAATTCTGAAAATTATGGTTTTTATCTCTAAATTATTGAGATGAGTTACAGATCATGAATATAAGAATTATCTCATTTTTGATTTTTCATCGAGTTTTCGACCAATTCTTTGGAATTTTTTTACAATCTTTTCATTGAAAAATAACCTCCTAAGGGTGGAGCTACTTCAACCCGTAAGTGGTCGCAGCTCTTCACTGAACGTAGTTGGTCGCATGTAAGGGAATCCCCGCCCCGTATATTTTACGAGTGTAAGACCAAAAAAAGTTGGAAAAAATAATTTATTCCTTGTTTATGGGTAATTTTGAACCTTCAATGAACAGGAAATGGAGCTATTGAAGAAAAGTAATCGTCAGGCAGATCAAAAACTCATTATCATTAGGTGCAAAATTTCGAATTTTTGAGGTTAAACGCGGGGATTTTCAGGGAGTCGAGTTTTCAAAAGATTTTAATAATTCATTGGTGTACGTCTGAACCAAAAAGAAATTGTCGGTGTGTTCAATATGTTTTTGAAAGTAAAAATACAAATTTCCATGAATTTTTCACGAGGTTTTTGTGTCAAAAGAAAAAAACGAAAAACAGCGGGGATTCCCTCATTGTGAAACCACTTGAGAGGCTGTGTAGCTTGGACGGCAGTTACCATCAGAGTCGAAAATTGCAATTCAGTTTTTTATCGGGTGAAATAATTATTTTGAAACATCCAAATTCAGACATCTCGAATAACATCATTATGAAGCGTGTAAGAATTAGATTTTTCAAAAATCATCGGTTCACTCTAGAAAAAAATTTGATTGAAATTTTCTACTCGGATGGTAACTGCCAAGTTACATCACGCACGAAAAAATTTAATGCAAAAACCTAGCGAATTCGCTAGACAATTCTATTGGATTTCTATTGAACTTTCTATTAGTTTTTGGCCGATTCTATTGACATGTTCAATAGAAATCAATTTTTCTATACAACTTATTTTTTGGTTTTTTTGATTGATTTTCGTGATGAAAAAAAAAGAAAAATAGAATGATAAAAATAGAAAGTATCAGCCGAGGAATTTCTATCGAAAATATTTCAATAGAATAAGTTGTATAGAGGGATGGCCATCAATCATAGAATTCATCAATATTAAGAGAATATGAGCCTTACATTGGTTAAGGTTCTCATATAATATCAAAATCGAAAAACAATAAAATAATTGATAATTTAAATTTCCGATTGATGTTGAATTAAATAATTGATAATATAGGATTGTCAATTGTCCACTGAGCATATAATAATAAATTTCATAGAGGATTTTCGATTAAACAAATAATCGTCAATCTTGATAACTTATTGATTGATAAAATAATTCGGAATTTGAATATTTAATTGATGATTTATTTAAAAATTAAAAATTGCACAATAATATTAAACTGACTAATTGAAAATTTAACGCTAATCCTAATTAATGATTATGGCTATCTCTGGTTGTATAGAAAAATCGAATTCTATAGACTTTTTCTGTGGAATATTTTCTATTGAACATTTAAGTAGAATCCGCCAAAAACTAATAGAAAGTTCAATGAAAATCCAATAGAATTGTGTACTGAATTCGCAAAGTTTTTCTATTCAATATTTTCGTGCGTGATAGCCCCTTAAGGGTCAAATCGATTGAATACTGACTTCTACTTCACGTGCGTAAGGCGCAAAAATACGAATGGGGCTCTTCATATGAGTCATGTGAGCCACGGGTGCGAAGCTAATGATCAATCGAATTTTTTTATGCATGTCGGGGCGTTCTGCTGCCATAACGAAACTGCCAGTTGTTCCCATCGAGTGGCCAATATATATCACTTGCTCATCTTTGTAGCTGGTGACGTAATTTATCATAGCTGGTAAATCATGGATTCCCATTTCGTGCCAAGAATAGTCCCAATATTCCGAACCACTCGTGGATAATCGCACGTGCCCGGGAGAGTATGTGTTACCTCTGTAATTTCCGAGCCACACATCGTATCCGAGATCCGCTAGTAAATATGCTGCAATAGGACATGATAGTTTTCTGCAAAACTTGACACATTTGTTTGGTTGCAGGGAAGCCTGACGGAAATATTGCGATTAATTCCAGAAGTCGAGGGGTAATTCTGCGGATTATTTTTCGGGACGGGATTATGGCCATGCGGAGCGCAATATATTTGAAAACACAACTGAATAGAGAGGATCTATCACAATGTTTAATTGATTCGAAATAAATGAAAAGCTGCTATGCAATTGTCAGATGAAATTTCGAAAAGCTAGTGTGTAATTTCCAAAAAATTTAATAACGAATGAGCATCTTGGCCTCCAATACTGCGTTGTGATTGGCTGAAATCTAGGCCCGGAAAATAATCTGTGAAATATTTCTGGACCTTCCAATAGACAAACAATAGAATTTTCTACACTGAATCATTTATTCCAAATGAGATTCGTTAACTATTAACGAATGGTAGAGTTGAATATGACTAAATGAATATTTGTTAATACCGAGTCAAACAAGGCTCCTCAAATGTGGATTTGTTAACTATTAACGAATGGTAGAGTTGAATATGACTAAATGAATATTTGTTAATACCGAGTCAAACAAGGCTCCTCAAATGTGGATTTGTGAACTATTAACGAATGAACAGTTTTGAGACCGAATAGACCCTCGTTTCCGAAACCCATTCGTTAACAATAACTAATCCTTTCTATCAGTGTAGTAGTGAATGCGCTAGCTTCTACGAAATTTGTCCGTACGTGGGGTAGTTATTATTCGTACTGAAATGAGACAAAGGAATAATAGAGTATTTACGCAGAGCTTGGCCTCTTCCAGAAATCACCCAATCGGCAGAACTGCTCATGAGCCCATGCTGCAGGAATATGGGGTATCCTGTTTTATTCGGAATTCTGTGGATAGTTAGAAGATATCCGTCCTCTGTTTCAACCGTATGCGCCTCCGCAGGATATCCTGCTCGTCGAATCATTTCCGGCTGAAACAATGGACGTTTCTACATCGAATCAAATTTCAAATCGAATCCTTTCATTTTCAATAACACTAGATCTGTGCGCGCGCCTTCGCGCCCGCTTATCTTTTTGTTGTGAAGAAACTTCATATACTCATAGATGTTTTATAAATATTGATAACGACTTAAAGAGAATTAAGAGAATGAAGAGAATGAAGAGTGAAGCATCAATGAATAATTTTTAATCTTCGATTTATTCTTTTTTTTTTTACTTTTTAAAATAATCTGATTAGAATCTGTAATTGTTGAAAAATCAGGGGAGGGTTATGAATTGATTTCCTAAAAAACTGAAAAAATTTCTTGAATTCTTCGGAAAATTTAACAGTTTTCCAGATAACCGTAGATCACAGATTTTTCTCGAATTATTTGGGAAACCGAAGAATTTTCGTGAATTTTGTAGAATTTAGAATTTATGTATAAAAATCTGAGAAGCAAGAATTGATCATTTTGGCGTGTCATGAAATGTCATAATTCTCTTTTTCAACTGACCATGAAATTCCATTTTTTCTAATAATGCACTATTGCCTAATAATAAGAGCCGAAGGGGGTAAAATGGACACTTGAGAATTTTTTCCAATGTTAAAGTCTCACTGAGTTATTGATGAAATGAAATCATTGTTTTCCTTGAAGAGTACGCTCCTTTCTCTTTATAATGAGCCCAATCCGAGTTCGATTCATCAATTTATTCCTTAGTTCCATCAATCTATTCCTAGTTCTCTATTTCAGTCGCCGGTATTCTATCACGAATCAATTTAATAGAGGTTAATAATCCAATCGCATGTATTTTAACCCGTTTTAAGCCCAAGAAAAAATTAACTCACCGTTGATAATTCCATATCTGGATTATACGATCCATTAGAATACTCCAATTTGTCATTTTTATCGAGTTTTATATTGTATTCTTTACGATAGTAGATTGATGTTTTGATGAATTCTGTTGCCGTAACATTTACGATTAAAATAAGAACAAAGATCGAAACCCTGCAGGCAACGCGTGCAAGACAAGTTGAATGAGAAAGCATTATTCAGCAGTCAATGAAATCACAATAAACGTAATATGTCCGATAATTATTGTACACATTGATAACACACAATCACGTGTAAAGAGAGCGTACAGCTGATCGCTACTAGCGCATGCCACCGGCGCAGTGGAACTGCCGGGAATGCCTGTTTGCCTATTCGCATGTGACCATCGCACTTCATTCGTCGACCCTTTGCCTCGGGTCGAAGTCGAACGAGTCATGCCTGTGTACCCTGGTTACTATTCTGATATGATGAGACAACCTTGAGAATTGCATATTCAATTTCATACATTCTGTTTCGGGTATCACGAAACCGTAAACATCTCGGAATGAGAAAGATCGTGGATGGGTCGAAAATTTATCAAAGTTTTGTCAAACGCTAAATTCCGATTGGAATTGGGAATCGCCATGCATATTATCATTTTTAATTGCCAATGTAATGAATACATTTCACTGATGAGAGGAAAATAACCAATCTCGTTTGGGCCAACAAAATTGGTAGTTGAAAATTTCCGAGAAAAAAGTTGCTTGATTCGCATTTGAAACTCTCAATCATGGGTAATGGCTCTGCTTTCGACAATAACAAAATATTTGGCTTAAGGTTGTTGTGTAACTTTTTTTTCCACATTTTTCTTCAATTTTTATCGTAGATAACTCTAAGAATTAGCTGTAAAATAAGCCCATTATAATTGCAATTGACCATCTCAAACTTGAGATACTTTTTTTTCAATTTTTATCGTAGATAACTCTAAGAATTAGCTGTAAAATAAGCCCATTATAATTGCAATTGACCATCTCAAACTTGAGATACTTTTTTTTCAATTTTTATCGTAGATAACTCTAAGAATTAGCTGTAAAATAAGCCCATTATAATTGCAATTGACCATCTCAAACTTGAGATACTTTTTTTTCAATTTTTATCGTAGATAACTCTAAGAATTAGCTGTAAAATAAGCCCATTATAATTGCAATTGACCATCTCAAACTTGAGATACTTTTTTTTCAATTTTTATCGTAGATAACTCTAAGAATTAGCTGTAAAATAAGCCCATTATAATTGCAATTGACCATCTCAAACTTGAGATACTTTTTTTTCAATTTTTATCGTAGATAACTCTAAGAATTAGCTGTAAAATAAGCCCATTATAATTGCAATTGACCATCTCAAACTTGAGATACTTTTTTTTCAATTTTTATCGTAGATAACTCTAAGAATTAGCTGTAAAATAAGCCCATTATAATTGCAATTGACCATCTCAAACTTGAGATACTTTTTTTTCAATTTTACACGTTGGTAAATGCAGTTTCACCGTTTTCAATTTTAAAAAAACAACTCGACATTTTTCATTGAAAGAAAACAGTGTAGAAATAGTGTCAATCAATCTACTGAAAAAAAATGAAATCGATTGACCATTTCATTCTTGAGAAATCATCATAGAAAGTTATTTTTTTTCTCAGTGGGCGGGACAAGTTAGTTCAGTACGCGAGACGTGGCAACATACTCAATAAAACCAACCACGAATTCTGTCAGGTTATGAGTCACACGAACAGAAAGACACACTGCGCGTGGTAAAGTAAAATCCCAATTCAGTAATAGAGGGAAATCATAGGAGTAAGAATTGAATTCATTCATCTCAACAAAATTATTTTTATCTGATTAGTTTTTGAACCTAATGGTGTCGTCCATTATTTTTCATCAAGGATAACACTTTCGTCATTCAAAGAAATCGAATCGCAGAGGTTTTAGGGAACCAGCAGTTGAGCGCGTTAAACCGGATTCGTGAGGAATTATATGTAATGATCAATTGGCTTTTCCAGATATGGCAACGTCAGGATATGGAGCAGAGCTGTCTCCAGGCATGTCTGGCGGGTCGGAAGATGTCGATTTCATCAATAGGCTAGATAATGTTTGTCTGATGACAATCTTTTTGTACCTTCCTCCTGGAGACAAACTCACTGCTGAAAAAGGTAAAGCACGAGTGGATTCGGAATCATAAAATGTGGATAATCTTTCATTTTTCATTTCTTTTTCTATCTACAAATTTTGCGTCGCACTGTTTTGAGACGTGGAAAACTTCCAAGATTCAATAAGACTCAATTCTCTTCGTTCATATTTATCATCCTGATCTTACAGAATTCTGAAAATTTTTCAAGTCCCATTCCGTTTAGGAATTATTTCTAAACGCACATTGTGTACAAATGGTCTCCCAATACTCGTAAATTTGCTGAAAATTTTGCCACCATTTTACCACTTCTTTTACAGACCTAGATCTTTTGTTCGATGTTTTGCATAAGAACACGTGTCAATTTGTTTTACAATTTTCTCTTTCTCATGACGCATCAAAACAATCCGAAACTTTTACAGAATTTTTTCTACATGCAGAAAAACCTAAACATAAATTACGTTCTGCTAAGCGTAATTTACGGTTTGCTAAAAGTTATTTATTCTTAACAGCAATATGATGTGCGGTTTTTTTTCTGTTATGAAAATCTGAATTTAGGCTTCAAAAAGGTGGATTTTACGGACAAAATAAAAACGTAAATTACGCGCAAACAAAGCTTCATTTACGCTTCACGAAGAGTATTTCACGCTGAACAAATCGTATATTACGATTTGGATATAAACGTCGTTTACGATTTACTTATGCGTTATTTACGAAAAAAATCGTATTTTACGCTTGATGTAATTTTTTTTATCACTGTCCGTAAAACGTCGTTTTACAAACATTTTGTGTCCGCAACCCTCATATTCGTCAGAAAGGTTCTTTTCGGCCTTGTCACAAACATAGCTATTTCTTTAAGCATGCGTTATTGAAATAAAAAATGCAATTATTGATTTTTTTTTAATCTCGAAAATCTACATTTCACGAGACTGTGGAGGGGAGACGCATGTGTGCGCAGGCTTGAAATTTTTACCCAACAAGGGGAGAAGGTTGCAGAATCTATTCTAGCCACCCTCGTCCCTTTGCTTGCATGCGTTTTCTAAATAAAAAATGAAATTGTTAAAAAATCTGACCCTTGCTCCAAGTGAAAATTTTTTGTTTCGACATTTCTGGCGCCTACAAGGGTTTCATTGACATTAGCGGGGTCAATAAATGCAGAATCAACCTTCACTTGGCTAAAAAATTCGATTTTGGCGCAAGTCGACTTTCCTCCTGGAAAAACGGAAAATCTTTGAAAATCCTTTGAAAATCTGAAGAAAAAAACCTTTTTCAGTTTTCACTTTTTCCGCATACTTTTGAGAGTTCTGAATATTCCGTCGCTTAAATAGTTGGAATCAACGTTCAGCCGGCTAAAAAATTCGATTGTGGCGAAAGTCGACTTTCCCCTTGGAAAAACGGAAAATCTGACCCTTTGAAAATCTGAAAAAAAAAACTTTTTCAGTTTACACTTTTTCCACATACTTTTGAGAGTTCTGAATAGCCCTTCGCTTAAATCATTGGAATCAACGTTCACCCGGCTGAAAAATTCGATTTAGGCGAAAATCGACTTTCACCCTGACCCTTGACCCACGTGAAAATGAAAATTTTTTTTTCTTTTTTTCTGTTACCTCCGAGGGTTTCATTGACATCAGGGGGTCAATAAATACAGAATCAACGTTTACGATTTTTCATTTAAACACCGCCGCAAATGGAGACATGAGGGTGGCTAAAAATATTCTGCAACTCTCTCTCCTTGTTGGTAACAAATTTCAACCCTCCGCATACATGCCCCCCCCCTCCACCCCCTCGTGAAATCCCGTGTTCTCAGTAGTATAGAGAACTTCTCAGGGCCGAAAAGAACTGAGTATTCGAAAGGTCTCCGGAAAACTGCGTCGCAGAACTGATTACGACTTACCAGGTCAATGTAGGTCTAGAGAGATCTTGAAAGACCTGTGTACGTCCAACCAGAACCAAATCCTCGACTAGGGCAGATTAAGGGTCACGAGAGTTAGATTAATGGCCACAAGGGTCATATGGGTCACATTAACGGTCGCGAGGGGAATAATGAGGATAACACGGGTCCAATTAAGGGTCACAACGGTCAGAATAAGGATGATGGGGGTCATATGTGGGGTTATATGAGGGGGTGCGCAGCGCGTAACCCCCTAGTTACGGATAAGTAAACGTAAAATGCGGAAAAAATCGTAATTTACGAATACGAAACCGTAAATTACGTTTATGTAACCGTAATGTACGCTGATTTGGGCGTCATTCACGAATACGAAGTCGTAAATTACATTTATGTCATCGTAATTCACGGCAATATTGACCATAATTCACGCTTCAACTTCGAGTGTGAAATACGCTTCAAAAAGCGTAACAGACGACTTCTCAAACGTAATTTACGTTCAGGTCTTTCCTATGTGTAGTATCAAATCTACCCAATTCATATTTCCGACGCAATAGAAAAACAGCCTTAATTCACAGTTTGCAAACGTTGGAGAGCAGTATCCAAGCTTGCATGGAGCAACGTGACACATCTCGATCTCACCAAATTCACCGCAGGTCCAACTGATTTCGACAAATTACCAGATATCTACAAAAATATTCAAAGCGTCGCGAGAACTCTGAAGAGATGTGGACGTTACCTGTGCAGATTGAAACTTGGCAGTCCTTGTCACTACACAATGATTCCATTTGTTGCTAGACATTGCGAGAATTTAATCAGGCTAGAAATCTCTCTTTGCCAGAACGGAAATCACATTTCCAATGTTCAAAAAATTACAAGTTTAGAATACTTCTGTCTGGAGCAAATGATGAATGATTCTGGTTCAGATGTTCTTGGCGTCTTACCTTGTGAAAATTTACGTGAACTTTATCTACATGCGAGTGAGTTCGGATATGAATTCGAGAGTACGCAACGTCCAAAGCTGCCTTACGGTTATGATCATGTGAGTATAAATTATTCTACCTCAGCTATAGCTTGCCCACCACTTATCATTTGAATTTTCTGCTCCAGTATCTTCGAGATTTGATGAATTTATCAGTCATGTCCCTACACTATTTTGATGTGAGAGGCCCTATGGAAGACATCATAAATCAAAACTCTAAACTCACATCCCTCACCCTCAAAGACTGTGTTCTCACAAATTTGAACTTCTCTGGTCTCGCAAATTTGGAATATCTAGATCTTGAAAGTGCCATCAATGTCGACGACAATTTACTAGATCTGTTGGCAAAAAATTGCAAGAAGCTGAAGTATTTAAATCTTGATTGTTGCGACCACATCAGCGATGAAGGACTCACGTATCTGTGGCAATTGCCTCAACTGGAGGATCTTAGTGTGAATCACATATACGGTATAACAGATTTTACTTTTAGTGGATTACACAATCTGAGAAAGCTAAGTTGTGAGGATTGTGAGTGTGTACAGAGTAATGAACTCATCACTTTCTTGAGGATTGTTCCTAACTTGGAGTATTTGAACTTGAAATGGACCAGAATTACTCACCAGGTACTCATCGAAGCGAATGCAGTTACGAAGCGAAGAGCCAATGGTATTCCACTTCGGTTGTTGGTCGGCTCTTCCGTAACCGCTGATTGGGGTGAGAGTCCCGACTCCCCTTTGCTGATAGTCGAAAGTACAGATGATACAGTCTATTATCCGTATAGTCGTCGGAGTCCACGATTTTGTAATGAACACGATAACTTCGATCCTGATTATCAGTTTGAGTATGAGCATGGGTCGGATTCCGAGTCCGACGATCGGTTGGATCGTGATGCGCCAGATACGTCTAATTCAGACGACTGATTGAAGCTTGCATCCAGTCCACTACGACGAGATACACGGAGAGAAATTTTCACTAAAAATTACGGAACAATTCACGTAATGCGCAAAATAGGTAAAAATTAGTTTAGGTAAAAATTACGTGACCGTTCTCTACAATTTCCTACAACCACATTGCGCTCCGGAATTACGGAAAGGATACGTAATTTTTATTGAATATTTCTCTCCGTGCAAAAAACAAAATCTTTTTTTATTGGATTTTTTCTATTGAACATGTCAATAGAATCAGCCAAAAACTAATAGAAAGTTTAATAGAAATTCAATAGAATTCGCTAACGAATTCGATAGGTTTTTCTATTAAATTTTTCGTGCGTGGAGATATGGATGTGTTAGGTAAAGTGGGGGTAGCTACAAAGAGAACGGACAAATAAGTTTGTATACGTACAGGTACGTTTTCGTTCACTCAATTCAGTCTTGCGGTAAAATTCAGGAAATATTTCGGCAAGCCCGCTAATCTCTTTCTTACGTCATTGCGTTCGCGGCATTCTCCAACATATAACCTCGAGCCCATATATCCAATATCCCGCGATAATTCTCCAATTGCACAAAGAAAATCAATTGCATTCGTTCAATAAATACATGTTGTTATTCCATCATTAAGAGGTTGATCTTTATTCACACAAGGATTATATAGCTATTTTAATAGAAGGCAAAAATTGTGGGCGAGAACTGAGAACTGGTGAAGACATTCGACCAGCATCTCTTTACAGGAATCCAGGTAAGTAATAATTTCGTATTTCTAGTTTTTCCGTGTCCAATGATGTTATTGGAACATTCAACCAGAAAGGGGTATTCGGTTTTTCGCAGCTATGGCATCGTCAGTGCATGGAGTGGAGCAGTCTTCAGGAGTTTCTGGCGGATCGACACCTATTGATCTCATCAACATGCTAGATAATGATTGTCTGAAGATAATATTCTTGAATCTTCCTCCTGGAGACAAACTCAATGTTGAAAAGGGTAAAGACGAGTAGATTGTGAATCATTAAATCTGTATATTCTTTCGTATTTATTCCGTATTTACTCCTTTCAATTTGTTGGACATGATAATAGCACATTAAGATATCACATCATAAAAATACTCTAACGAATGTGACTTTAGATTATAATCACATGAGTCAGATGATACGTCTATCGCCGTATGACATAAAATATTATAGATCACTCGGCCATAAACTTCGTTTTCGACGAATGTGAAGTTCACTCACAAATTTGTGCTCTTGTACTTTAGTGTACTATCATGCGATATTTCCCATATCTGATATTCACCGGATACTCATTCTTATCGGTTCTTCATGCACAGTCTGCAAGCGTTGGAGAGCTGTATCCAAGATTTCATGGAGCAACGTGCAGCGCCTGAATCTCACCAAATCTACGATAGGCGAAACTGATTACGACCAATTGCCAGATATCCACAAGAATATTCAAAGCATGATGAAAATTCTAAGGAGGTGTGGACGTTACCTACGAGTTTTGAAACTTGGCAGACCTTGTCACTATACAGTGATTCCATTCGCTCTTGAACACTGCGAGAATTTAGTCACACTAAACATCTCTCTTTACCCTGCCGAGTGTGATATGTCCAGTATTTCAGAAATTACAAGTCTAAAAAGCTTCAGTTTGGAACAAATGACGAACAGATCTGATTCAGCCATTTTTAGGGTCTTGCCTCGTGAAACATTACGTGGATTTCACCTACGGGCAAGTGAATACGCATACGATATTGATACTGGTGAACGCCTAAACCTGCCTAACAATTATGAAAACGTGAGTATAAAATTGCTCTACCCCACCTCATTAATCACTTATTATGCGAATTTTCTGCTTCAGTACCTTCGAAATGTGAACAACTTGGTATCCATAAAACTACACCATTTTCATCTGGATCATGCCATGGAAGAAATCATAAGTCGAAATATTAACCTCGACTTCCTTTCCCTCTCCAATTGTATGATTAACGGACCATTTTTTCTAACTGCTCTCCGAAATTTGAAGATCCTAGACCTTGAGAATGTCTCCAGTATCCACAACATTTTCCTAGACCAGTTATCAAGAACTTGCTATAGGTTGACAAATCTGAATCTCAAATACTGCCATCGGGTCGACGATTATGGGGTCATGTATTTGTGGCAATTACCTGAACTCGAGATCCTTAATCTGGATCACATGGGCCGTATCACAGACGTTTCTCTTATCGGATTCTACAATCTAAGACTATTGAGTTGTCGGAATTGTAGAGGCATAAAGGATGCTGAAGTCATTACGCTCATCAGAATTGCTCATAATTTGAAGACTTTCGACTTGAGAGGGACCAGCATTACTCACAAGGTGCTCATCGAAGCGAATGAAATCACCAAGCGCAGAGTCGACGATGTGCCACTTCGGATCTATGTTGACACTTCTGTGATCGCTAATTGGGTCGTGAATAAGGACTCCCCTTTGCTGATAGTCCAAAGTACAGATGATGTCGCCAATCCACGTGGGTCTCGGGGAGAACGAGTTTGTGGTGAAGACGATGTTCAGTATGAAGCTGATTATCAGTTCCAGTACGAGTATGGGTCGGATTCCGAGCCCGACGATTGCGGGGATGATGGCTCCGGACATGCTACCACAACTGAGACTGGTACGTCTGATTCAGATCAGTGATTCAAAACTGAATCAATAGAATAGATAATGCAATGAGATGACAGATAGAGCGGATGAGGAACAAGAAAGTTTGCCCTACAGCATCATAAAGTTCTTTCTTTAATATTTCATTGAGGGAATTGTTCAAAGAAAAAATTTTCAGTAGTAATACCCCAAGAGCTTCAAAATTATCGGGTATTTCCCGATAGCTTCTTTGTAAACAACTGAGAGTGTCAAGTTTCGCAGGTTAAAAAATCCCGAGCGCTTGCGCAAGGGACTTTTCTAAAAAACTTGGCACGATGATTTGTTTGCAGGGGAGCTTGAGGGAAATACCCGATTAATTTTGAATCTCGAGGGGTATTTGGCGGATTATTATTCCCAATCGGATTTTGGCTAATCAGAGTGCACTGGACAACATCAGGAGGTGAATTGGGGAGGATTTGAACAAATTATGTTAATAGAATAATCCGATTTCCATAGACTGTCAAATATAAGATTCTATCTGAAATGAGCCGGAAAAATGGAGAGCTACTGCGAAATATTCAGGTAAAAAAAAGAAGAACTACGGCGAAATATTCAAAAGCTAGGAGGAAATATCCGAAATAAAACTATCGGGTAGCCTCAAATACTGCGCTCTGATTGGTCGAAATCCGATTGGGAAAAATAATCCTTACAATTCTGTGGCGAAGTGGTAAACTAGGATAAGTACAAAAATGAAACTTTTTCAGGAGAATTCAAAAATTTGACCACGTTTGGCAGAACTTTCGAATCAAGCAATAGAAAATTGAAAAAAAAAGCACTCATCCTAGTTCACCACTTCACCATAGAAATGTCGATTCTGACTTTTAAAAATGTACTTTTGAGGCTTTCGAGGATTTTGAAGAGGCCAGATGAACATGAGTTCTACCAATATCGGTCAGTCCTTGAACAATATTTTAAACTCCTTAAGATTGTAATGCCCTAGTTCGATAATTCTGTAATTTGTATTCTTGAACCTGATGATATTACGGATTGTGTTAGTACTGGTATAGTAAGAGTAAAAGTGCTCTGATTGAAGAAAGTTTTGATATGCAATGAACCGAATTGAATGAAAAAAAATTGAAAAATCCTTAGTAGGAATTGTGAATCGCAGTTTTTTACTAGTTGATACATTTATGCCCTTCTTACTCATTCTATCCGTAGACTGAAATCTAAAGTTGAGATTCCTACAGTTACACGGAGTAAACGCATCCCATATACTCTCCAATGTTCAAGAATTCTCTATTTACAATATTATAACATTCAACTAAATATCTCTGTAAATACCAGGCTGAAGGCCTTCGGGTGATGGCCAGTCGCAAACTCCTTGCGACAAATCACGTTAAAAATAAAAAATAAATGAATGTAACAAGTAGAATCCACAAATAGAGAATAAATAAAGACATGAATAGATAAATAATTCAGTAGTGAAGTAGTAAAACGGTTCAAGTCGACTAATCTCCCAGTTCAGTTTTTGAGGAATATTTCGGACTTTGAAGGAGGTAGCGAAATTTGTGTAATTACATTTATTGTAGCTCTAAATCGGCTCTGCAAAAACGGTTGTAACAAAAATTTTGCTAACTTCCTCAGATTCCGAGAGATTCATTGAAAACTGGTCAATAGTCAAAATTGACTTGTACCGTTTTACCACTTCGTTACTGAATTGAATGCGAGGTGGGAGATATGGATGTGCGTGGGAGTGGCTACAGAGGGAACGGATTAATCAGTTTGTATACGTACAGGTACGTTTTCGTTCACTCAATTCAGTCCTGTGGTCAAATTCAGAAAATATTTCGGCAAGCCCCGCTAATCTCTTTCTTACGTCACTGCCATCGCGACGCTCTCTAACATATAACCTCGAGCCCAAATCCAATATCCAACAATGGCCCCCAATTACAGAAAGAAAATCAAATGAATTTGTTCAATAGATACATGTTTTCATCCCAATATTAAGAAATAGATTTTTATTCACGCAAGGCTTACATAGCTATTTTAATTGAAAGGAGACATTTTGAGGGAGAACTGAGACACCGGTGACGACAGTCGACTGGGGTCTGTTTACAAAAACCCAGGTAAGTAACAACTTCGCACTTCTAGTTTTTCCATGTCCACTGATGCTATTTTTCCGTGATTCGGCGCGGCAACGTAACGATATGCATTGAAAAAATCGGGGATTTTTTGAGACATCTACACGCTTTTATGACTGAACCAAAAAATATAGGGGAGGTCGGGGTCAAATGAACACTTTTGACTTTTTTTAAAATGTCAATGACAGCTTGAAATGTTAATGAAATTCAATAATTTTTCTCTCAATGCAAAGAACATTTCTTTTCCTTTGTAATGAGCCTAAACTGAGCTCAATTGATTAATTTGTTTCTGATTAATTTAGCTAGTAATGCACCTCACATTATTCGGCTATGGCTAAATTGGATCTTAGGATTGTCCTCAGTTGGAAAATGGGGTAAATCATAATGCGGACCTGTCAGTTGGTTTGACAGCCGAACTGCTATCAACTTGTCTCCCAATGGCGAGGGTTAGCTGTCGAACCAATTCGCATATTTGCATTATAATTCGCATCATTTTTCAACTGAGTAACGATCCCTTATCCGTTTCAGCCGTAGCCAGATCGGGTAAGGTACATTTCTAACTAATGATCATATTCTTTGGTTCACTCATAAAAGTGTGGGGATGGCTCGGACAATCCACACTTCTTTCGAGTCAAGTCAATTTTGACTATTGACCCGTTTTCAATGAATATCTGGGGGACAGCAAAATTTTTGTTATAACATTTTTTGTAGAGCCGATTGAGAGCTACAACAAATGTTATTACGAAAATTTCGCTATCTCCCCTAAATTCCGAAATATTCCTCAAAAACTCAACTGCGAGATGAGTCGACTGAAACCATTTTACCAATTCGCTACTGAATTGTTACGGTTGAATCAAGTTTATGAGAGAACCATCAAGGGGCATTTGGTTTTTTGCAGCGATGGCATCGCCAATGCACGATGTGGAGCAGCCTTCAGAAGTTTCTGGCGGATCGAGACCTGTTGATCACATCAACAAGCTAGATAATGTTTTACTGCTAAAAATATTCTTCCATCTTAGTCCTGGAGACAAACTCAATGCAGAAAAGGGTAAAAGACGAGCGGATTGTGAATCATTAAATCTGAATATTCTTTCATTTTTTATTCCGTTTCATTCAATAAATTTCACGTCTCAATTGCAAAAGAAAGCTCTAATTATCATTTAGTTGTATATGGATAAATGCCGTAGTACGTGGTGGCAACAAATCATTCAAATCAGATCATGTTAAATGCAGTCCTATAGGATAGCGTATAGAAGATTGAGATAAATTCCACAAGATGTGTCTATAAAAATGATTCCTCAAAGAATTATTATTTGAAATATTTTCAGAATTCCATGGGACTCAATTTTTTTTTCTTATTACAATTATTCTCATCGTAAAGAAATTTTGAAAATTTTTCAAGTTCCAATTCGTCTAGGAATCGTTTCTGTTAGCGCTGCGCACGGTTTCGTCTCGTCTCGCCTCGAGAAACCGAGAGGAGTCTCGACGAATGTCTCGATGGCGGTTTCAATGGAACACTTTCTGCGATTCATGAAACCATCATTGACAAGCAAAACCATCATGGGGGTCCAAGCGAATTGCCAGACGATATCAATTATTTCTGTTTATTTCGAGATTTGAAAATCTCGTCTCATTTGGCCTCGTGCGCAACTCTAGTTTCTGTGAGCAGCAATTATCCCAGTACTCTATAGGATAAACTCATTGGATTCCTTATAGAATTTCTCTTTAATAAGCTCCTGCAAAACATATTTATACGATATTTACCGGACAACTAATTCTCATCGGTTCTTTATGTACAGTTTGCAAGCGCTGGAGAGTTGTATCCAAGGTTACATGGAAAAACATGAAGCGCCTCAGATTGATCAAAACTACTTCAGGTAGATCTGATTACGACAAACTGCCAGATGTCTACAAAAATATTCAAAGCATGGCGAAAATTTTGAAGAGATGTGGACGTTATCTGCAAGTTTTGGAACTTGGCAGTCCGTGTCACTACACAATGATTCCATTCGCTCTTGAACACTGCCGGAATTTAGTCACACTAAACATCTCTCTTTACCCTGTCGCGTGTGATATGTCCAGTATTTCAGAAATTACAAGTCTAAAGAGCTTTAGTTTGGAACGAATGACGAACAGATCTGATTCAGCCATTTTTAGGGTCTTGCCCCGTAGAACATTACGTGGAATTCACCTAAGGGCAAGTGAATACGGATACGATATCAATGGTGACCAACGCCTACACCTCCCTGACAATTATAATAACGTGAGTATAAAATTCTCCTATGCCACCTCATTAATCACTTATTACGCGACTTTTCTGCTTCAGTATCTTCGAGATTTGAACAACTTGGTATCCATACAACTACATTATTTTCATGTGGATCATGCCATGGAAGAAATCATAAATCAAAATGTTAAACTCGACTTCCTCTCACTCTCCAATTCTATGATTAACGGGCCATTTTTCCTAACTGCTCTCAGAAATTTGAAGATTCTAGACCTTGAGAATGTCACCAGTGTCACCAACACGTTCCTACAGCAGTTATCAATAACTTGTCCTAAATTGACAATTCTAAATCTTGGTAACTGCAATGAGATCGACGATGGTGGGATCGTGTATTTGTGGGACTTACTTGAACTCAAGCTTCTTAATCTGGATGACTTGGGCTTTATCACAGATGCTGCTCTCGGCGAATTCCACACTCTGAGACTATTGAGTCTGCGGAATTGTAGAGCAGTAAAGGACACTGAACTCATCACTTTGATGATATTTGCTATTAACTTGAGGAGTTTGAACGTGAAAGGGACCAAGGTTACTCACGAGTTGCTCGTCGCAGCGAATCGACTTAGCAAGCGCAGACTCGACGGTGTGCCACTTCGAATCTATGTCGATACTTCTGTAATCGCTAATTGGGTAGATAATAATGACTCACCTTTGCTGATAGTCGAAAGTACAGATAATGTCAGAAATCAACAGCGGTCTCAGAGACAACAAGTTTGTGATGAAGATGATGATCCGTACGACTCTGATTATGAGTTCCAGTACGAGGCTGGATCGGATTCCGAGGCCGATGATTGCGGGGATAATGTCTCCGGAGAAGGTCCCACAACTGAGCTCGCTACATCTGATTCAGATGATTGATTGGAAACTGAATCCAATACTATTACCGTGAGGTGGTAGATCAGGGGTATGAGGAATAAGAAAATTGGCCCTGAAACATTGTAAAAGTTTTTTTGCAATATTTCATTAAGGGAATTGTTCAAAGGGAGTTTTTCATTACAATTGTCAATTCTAATTTTTTAAAATGTACCTTTGAAGCTGTTGAGGGTTTTGAAGGGGCCAGATGAACATTTTTTCTACGAATATTGGTTAGTCCTTGAAAAATATTTTGTACTCGTTAAGATTGTAATGCCCTAGTTCGATAATTCTGTAATTTGTATTCTTGAACCTGATGATGTTGTAGATTGTGTTGGTACTGGTATAGTAAGAGTAAAAGGGCTCTGATTGAAAAAAGTTTTGATATCGAATGAACCAAATTCAAAAATAAATTTCTAAAATCCGTCGTAAGAATTGTGAATCTCAGGTTTATACTAGTTGATACATTCATGCCCTTCTTACTCAATCTATCTATAGACTGAAAACTAAAAGTGAAATTCTCACAGTTACACAAATGCAAATTCATATTAGTCTGGTATATTCGCCAGAAAAGTTTTTTCCCGCCTAATGACGAAATATACTATTCTAGCTCATATGATTGCAACCCTCGCTTTCGGCTCGGGCTGCAAATTCATGTTCGCCAGACAAGTTTTTTTCGGCCTAATGACAAAACACTATTTCATCACACTGTCCGCGAAACGTCGTTCCGTAATTTTTATCTGAATCTCTTGTGAAAAATTACGATACCGTCACTTAAATTTTCTGAGTCGATTCCGTAATCGGTGAATGAAGTGAGAGCTCCGTAATTTTTACTGAACATTTCTCTCCGTGTATCGAACGATATTTTTCATCACAATGTATTGAAAAAAAACGTTTTAGGCACGCGAAGCGCGCTTAAAAAGTTACTTTTTCGCACAGCGTGATGAAAAAGTGTTTTGCGGCCTTGTGACAAAATAGTATATTTCGTAACGAGTGCAAAAAAGTGTTTTTTGGCGAGTGGAAGGTTTATAACACGAGCCGAAGGCGAGGGATATAATCCCACGAGCTAAAAAACATTTTTTCACGAGTTACGAACAATATTTTTCATCACAATGTGGCGGAAATTGGACTTTTCGTCACAGCGTGATGAAAATGGATAAATAATCGAATGCGAGGTGGGAGATATGGATGTGCGTGGGCATTACGTAAAGTGGGGGTAGCTACAAAGGCAACGGGCTAGATAGTTTGCCTGTACGTTTTCGTTCACTTAGGTAGTTCAGTATCGCGGCAAAACTCAGAAAACATTTTGGCAAGCCCCACCAATCTCTTACAACGCTGCCTGCGCGGCGCTCTCCTGTATATAACGTCAAGCCCAGGTCCAATATTCAGCGATGGCTCCCCAATTACAGAAAGACAATCAGTTGAATATTTTCAATAAATACAGGATTTTATTCCAACATTAAGAAATCGATTTTTATTCACACAAGGCTTATATAGCTATTTTAATTGAAAGGAAAAATTTTGGGCGAGAACTGAGAACTGGTGAAGACAGTCGATCAGCTTCTGTTTACAAAAACCCAGGTAAGTAATAATTTCGCATTTCTAGTTTTTCCATGTTCAATGACGTTATTTTTCCATCATTCGTCGCATTATCTTCTCCATCTTATGTCAGGAATTTTCTACAAGTCTATGATTTATGAGCAATGATCGTGACGCATTGATAAATATTTTCTGATCAAAATTTTCCATGTACGTCTTCAAAATTGTTGTTATCTCAATTGCAATCTTTATCATAGGGTCCACAAAATATATTCTGACGAATGCGGCTTTATAGTTCGAGCCGAAGCGAAGACGATAATCACATTCGTCAGAAAATACCTTGGGGACCGTGTGATTAATGTCATTTTTTGTCATTGGGCCCGAAAACCGCGATCGAACCGACCGAAGCGAGGTTAGGGTCGTATTTTATGGGACCTTGGGACAAACAAATCTTCTGCATTCTTGAAATTCTCTTGCTTTCCCGAAAATTACTGGCAAACTGTTCATGAAATTTTTTCCTAAAACTTCCAGTATTGACTAATAATATATTGCAGAACCGATGTAGACATCTTGCATCATTATCAATGCCAATTTTTGGGAATCAGTGCCCAGATAGCCAGACTTATTGTCAACCTTGGGGAGGTTGAAGGAACCGCGGGAAACAATTGACCGGGTCTAAATAGCCCTGTGACTGAATTGTTGAATGATTTTCACAATGTACATGATTTTTTTATGATTAAACCTTACGTGGTCGCAGAATGAGGGAATCTCCGCCATTTTTCAATTTTTCATTTATACATTGAAGCTTCATGAATGAAAAATAAATAGAAATTTCTGTTCCCAGGCGGTCAAAACGGACCGCAGGGCAAAACGGACCCCTGACCGAAAATTGATAATTTTTGTGTTTGCTTCCGAATGGAGCAAATTCGCAGTCATTTGTGGTTTGAGGTGATTAGCAAATCTGATCAAATTGCGGTTCAACGACACTTGTTGTCTATAAAACCCCTGTGACGGTTACACGGAGAGAAATATTCAATAAAAATTACCAGAAAAAAGACGTAAAAATTACGTTTCGAAATGTAATCTTGGAGCGAAGTAAAATTCAATAAAAAGTGTCAATTGTCACGTAAATTCTACGATCTGTTCCGTAAAAATTACTCATCCGTCCGACGTCTCACGGCTAGCCATGAGTCACCGTGAGGGGGAGATTTTAACAACACGTTCTGTAATTTTTCCGGAACTTTTCGTAAAAATTCTTAAACATCCAAGAATTTTCATGTTCTGAGGCATAATAAGTCTTGAAGTTTTTGTTAGATTTTACAACTTCCAGAAAAATTACGTGACTTTTTCGTATTTTTTCAGTGACAGACCCGAAAATTTACTGAACGTTTCAGATTTATTCTCTTATATTCCTATAGAAATTCACTGAAAACGATTCTCGCTTGCGGATTACGTGAAATATTCCGTCATTTTTCTTGAATAATTCTCTCTGTGTACGATCCAAGAAATTCATTTTTAATTTAACCCATTCAGTGTTTCTGGTTGAAGGAAAGAACAAAATAACAAAAATTACCAATTTTCTGTCAGGGGTCCGTTTTGCCCCACCCTCCCCTATATAGTGAATTTTGCCCGGTGGCTTGGCGCAGTGGGTAAGTTCGTTGCCTCACGTGCGAAAGGTTCCGAGTTCGAATCCCGGCCGGGTAGAATAAATGGTTCACTTGAATGGCGAAAGTCAAGTCAAACAAGGCTCCTCAACTGTACATTCGTTAACTATTAACGAATGAACATTTGGTGGGGCCGAATAGATCCTAATCTGCAAACAAAATCCATTCGTTAACAATAACTAATCCGTTCTATCAGTTTACGGCTCATATTTTTTGATCCACTCATAAAAGCGTGGGGATATCTCAAACAGCCCACACTTTTCTGAATATATATAACTACGCTCGAGCCGCGTTAATTCTTATGGCTGCACAAGTTCATGAACCATTAAGGGGTATTCGGTTTTTTGCAGCTATGGCATCGTCAGTGGATGAAATGGAGCAGGCTTTAGGAGTTCCTGACGAATCGAGCTTTCTTGATTTCATCAATATGCTGGATAATGTTTGCCTGAAGAAAATATTCTTGTATCTTTCTCCTGGAGACAGACTCAATGCAGAAAAGGGTAAAAACGAGTGCATTGTGAATCATAAGATGTGAATATTCTTTCATTTTTTATTCCGTTTTCATTCAATAAGTTTAAAGTCTCAGTTGCAAAAGAAAGCTACAATAGTTATTCAGATAACTATGAGCTTTTGATTCACATACCAAATAATTTCACAGTACATGGTGATGCCAAATTAATCATATCGGATTATTTGGCATATAGTCCTATAGGATCGAAGTATATAAGATTGAGATAATTTCTACAGTGTGTGTTTATGATAATGATTCCTCTAAGAAATGACGTTTGGAATATTTTCAAAATTCCATGGGACTTAATTTTTTTTCTTTTATTAGAATCATTCTTATTCTCAAGAAATTTAAAAAAAATTTCAAGTTCTCATTCTGCTCGAAATCGTTTCTGTTAGGGCTTAGCACGGTCTCGTCGCTTCATAACTTTACCCTTACGTGACCTTTTCATGTTAAGGATGTCCGATTTACCCCAGCATCAATTCCATAGCAACATTCACGCCTCGATATTAATCGGATTAACACCGCGATGAGACCAGACCGATACCGAGACGAAGCCAATTATTACCGTTTATTCCGAGATTTGAAAATCTCATCTCGTCTCCTCTCGTGCGAAGCTCTAGTTTCTGCAGGTGCACTGCGTGCAGAAATTATCTTAATACACGGAGAGAAATGTTCAGTAAAAATTACGGAGCTCACAATTCACTCACCGGTTACGAAATCGACTCAGAAAATTTAAGTGACGGTATCGTAATTTTTCACAGGAGATTCAGATAAAAATTACGGAACGCTCCGGAATAATTTTGTGACAGTTCCGTAAAATTTCCTACAACCACATTTCGCTCCGGAATTACGGAAAAGATACGTAATTTTTATTGAATAATTCTCTCCGTGTACTGCATACGACAAACCTAGCAGATTCCCTGTAGAATTGTTCTTTAATAAGCTCCTACTAAACATCTTGATGGGAGGATAGGGCAAAATAGACATCCTAAAAAAATTGAGTGCTTTTATTCCATAATCATTTTATAAACTATGTTTCATTTATTGTGGAAATTATCATGATAAATACTGTGGAAATCAATGAGAATCAACAGGAATGTGATTCCCATTTCAGAAATTGAGAAATGCATATTTACGACCTTCCAAACTCACAGCAAGATTTTTTTCATCTAAAAAGTACGTGAAAATAGGATAATCAAATTAACAAATCAATAATTGGTCGCATTTTCAAATAACAATGATAATTCTTTTATGTGAAGTACTATGCATAATCGTCACACGAATTTTTAATCATCTGGATTAATCCACATACATAATGAGTCCATCTTAGGCACATCGGATGCTGGGCTGTGTGAACTTGGAGTCGAAGTTTGATAAATCGATTTTTTTTCTTATAGTATCGATTGTACTCAGTGAGTACCCGAACGTACCACATTCATTTTCGTTTGTACCGCGCATCCCGAGACGTAAGGGGTGCGGAAAAAATCATGCAGCGTCGGAAATGAAGGTACGGAAAAAATTTTCATGAGGAAGGATTCAGCATGGATAGTACTTGTATGTACTATACTTTTCCATTTCATTTATCAACCCCTTCAATACTTTACCCGCTTCTAAAATCTTAAATATATGGAGGACGTCAGGAAAACATACAGATAGCTTCTAAATCGTTAGTACTCGTTTGTACCAACGAAAATTATTCATTATTATTNTTTGATGTGGGTACAAACGTCTCATCTTCCGTACTTCCACTCCCATCGCAGTACAAACGGAACAATTTACTGTACATGATAATGAGACCAAGTACAAGCCATTGAGAGCTTCAAAAACAGTCGTAGATTATTCAGAAAAATGATACAAACGTTTTTCTGAATTTTTCCGAGATAATCGCGAAAAACGAAATAGCCAAAGAAAATTAATTGAATTTATCTGGTATAGGGTGTAGGAAGTGGAAAAACGCAATTCTGAGCCGTCCATCTGCCTATAGGGAACCCAAATTTCCTCAGGAATCGAATGGAATAGGTTTTAAGGCTCTATCTCTCATAGTTTCCGAGATAATCGCGAAAAACGAAAGTGCCAAAAAAAATTAATTTAATTCATCTTGTATAGGGTGTAGGAAGTGGAAAAACGCAATTCTGAGCCGTCCATCTGCCTATACGGAACCCAAATTTCCTCAGGAATCGAATGGAATAGGTTTTAAGGCTCTATCTCTCATAGTTTCCGAGATAATCGCGAAAAACGAAAGTGCCAAAAAAAATTAATTTAATTCATCTTGTATAGGGTGTAGGAAGTGGAAAAACGCAATTCTGAGCCGTCCATCTGCCTATACGGAACCCAAATTTCCTCAGGAATCGAATGGAATAGGTTTTAAGGCTCTATCTCTCATAGTTTCCGAGATAATCGCGAAAAACGAAAGTGCCAAAAAAAATTAATTTAATTCATCTTGTATAGGGTGTAGGAAGTGGAAAAACGCAATTCTGAGCCGTCCATCTGCCTATACGGAACCCAAATTTCCTCAGGAATCGAATGGAATAGGTTTTAAGGCTCTATCTCTCATAGTTTCCGAGATAATCGCGAAAAACGAAAGTGCCAAAAAAAATTAATTTAATTCATCTTGTATAGGGTGTAGGAAGTGGAAAAACGCAATTCTGAGCCGTCCATCTGCCTATACGGAACCCAAATTTCCTCAGGAATCGAATGGAATAGGTTTTAAGGCTCTATCTCTCATAGTTTCCGAGATAATCGCGAAAAACGAAAGTGCCAAAAAAAATTAATTTAATTCATCTTGTATAGGGTGTAGGAAGTGGAAAAACGCAATTCTGAGCCGTCCATCTGCCTATACGGAACCCAAATTTCCTCAGGAATCGAATGGAATAGGTTTTAAGGCTCTATCTCTCATAGTTTCCGAGATAATCGCGAAAAACGAAAGTGCCAAAAAAAATTAATTTAATTCATCTTGTATAGGGTGTAGGAAGTGGAAAAACGCAATTCTGAGCCGTCCATCTGCCTATACGGAACCCAAATTTCCTCAGGAATCGAATGGAATAGGTTTTAAGGCTCTATCTCTCATAGTTTCCGAGATAATCGCGAAAAACGAAAGTGCCAAAAAAAATTAATTTAATTCATCTTGTATAGGGTGTAGGAAGTGGAAAAACGCAATTCTGAGCCGTCCATCTGCCTATACGGAACCCAAATTTCCTCAGGAATCGAATGGAATAGGTTTTAAGGCTCTATCTCTCATAGTTTCCGAGATAATCGCGAAAAACGAAAGTGCCAAAAAAAATTAATTTAATTCATCTTGTATAGGGTGTAGGAAGTGGAAAAACGCAATTCTGAGCCGTCCATCTGCCTATACGGAACCCAAATTTCCTCAGGAATCGAATGGAATAGGTTTTAAGGCTCTATCTCTCATAGTTTCCGAGATAATCGCGAAAAACGAAAGTGCCAAAAAAAATTAATTTAATTCATCTTGTATAGGGTGTAGGAAGTGGAAAAACGCAATTCTGAGCCGTCCATCTGCCTATACGGAACCCAAATTTCCTCAGGAATCGAATGGAATAGGTTTTAAGGCTCTATCTCTCATAGTTTCCGAGATAATCGCGAAAAACGAAAGTGCCAAAAAAAATTAATTTAATTCATCTTGTATAGGGTGTAGGAAGTGGAAAAACGCAATTCTGAGCCGTCCATCTGCCTATACGGAACCCAAATTTCCTCAGGAATCGAATGGAATAGGTTTTAAGGCTCTATCTCTCATAGTTTCCGAGATAATCGCGAAAAACGAAAGTGCCAAAAAAAATTAATTTAATTCATCTTGTATAGGGTGTAGGAAGTGGAAAAACGCAATTCTGAGCCGTCCATCTGCCTATACGGAACCCAAATTTCCTCAGGAATCGAATGGAATAGGTTTTAAGGCTCTATCTCTCATAGTTTCCGAGATAATCGCGAAAAACGAAAGTGCCAAAAAAAATTAATTTAATTCATCTTGTATAGGGTGTAGGAAGTGGAAAAACGCAATTCTGAGCCGTCCATCTGCCTATACGGAACCCAAATTTCCTCAGGAATCGAATGGAATAGGTTTTAAGGCTCTATCTCTCATAGTTTCCGAGATAATCGCGAAAAACGAAAGTGCCAAAAAAAATTAATTTAATTCATCTTGTATAGGGTGTAGGAAGTGGAAAAACGCAATTCTGAGCCGTCCATCTGCCTATACGGAACCCAAATTTCCTCAGGAATCGAATGGAATAGGTTTTAAGGCTCTATCTCTCATAGTTTCCGAGATAATCGCGAAAAACGAAAGTGCCAAAAAAAATTAATTTAATTCATCTTGTATAGGGTGTAGGAAGTGGAAAAACGCAATTCTGAGCCGTCCATCTGCCTATACGGAACCCAAATTTCCTCAGGAATCGAATGGAATAGGTTTTAAGGCTCTATCTCTCATAGTTTCCGAGATAATCGCGAAAAACGAAAGTGCCAAAAAAAATTAATTTAATTCATCTTGTATAGGGTGTAGGAAGTGGAAAAACGCAATTCTGAGCCGTCCATCTGCCTATACGGAACCCAAATTTCCTCAGGAATCGAATGGAATAGGTTTTAAGGCTCTATCTCTCATAGTTTCCGAGATAATCGCGAAAAACGAAAGTGCCAAAAAAAATTAATTTAATTCATCTTGTATAGGGTGTAGGAAGTGGAAAAACGCAATTCTGAGCCGTCCATCTGCCTATACGGAACCCAAATTTCCTCAGGAATCGAATGGAATAGGTTTTAAGGCTCTATCTCTCATAGTTTCCGAGATAATCGCGAAAAACGAAAGTGCCAAAAAAAATTAATTTAATTCATCTTGTATAGGGTGTAGGAAGTGGAAAAACGCAATTCTGAGCCGTCCATCTGCCTATACGGAACCCAAATTTCCTCAGGAATCGAATGGAATAGGTTTTAAGGCTCTATCTCTCATAGTTTCCGAGATAATCGCGAAAAACGAAAGTGCCAAAAAAAATTAATTTAATTCATCTTGTATAGGGTGTAGGAAGTGGAAAAACGCAATTCTGAGCCGTCCATCTGCCTATACGGAACCCAAATTTCCTCAGGAATCGAATGGAATAGGTTTTAAGGCTCTATCTCTCATAGTTTCCGAGATAATCGCGAAAAACGAAAGTGCCAAAAAAAATTAATTTAATTCATCTTGTATAGGGTGTAGGAAGTGGAAAAACGCAATTCTGAGCCGTCCATCTGCCTATACGGAACCCAAATTTCCTCAGGAATCGAATGGAATAGGTTTTAAGGCTCTATCTCTCATAGTTTCCGAGATAATCGCGAAAAACGAAAGTGCCAAAAAAAATTAATTTAATTCATCTTGTATAGGGTGTAGGAAGTGGAAAAACGCAATTCTGAGCCGTCCATCTGCCTATACGGAACCCAAATTTCCTCAGGAATCGAATGGAATAGGTTTTAAGGCTCTATCTCTCATAGTTTCCGAGATAATCGCGAAAAACGAAAGTGCCAAAAAAAATTAATTTAATTCATCTTGTATAGGGTGTAGGAAGTGGAAAAACGCAATTCTGAGCCGTCCATCTGCCTATACGGAACCCAAATTTCCTCAGGAATCGAATGGAATAGGTTTTAAGGCTCTATCTCTCATAGTTTCCGAGATAATCGCGAAAAACGAAATCGCCAAAAAAAATTAATTTAATTTATCTGGTATACGGTGTAGGAAGTGGAAAAACGCAATTCTGAGCCGTCCATCTGCATATGGGGAACCCAAATTTCCTCAGGAATCGAATGGAATAGGTTTTAAGGCTCTATCTCTCATAGTTTCCGAGATAATTGCGATAACGAAATCGCCAAAAAATCTTGCCGTACTTTTGGACATTTGTACCAACACCTACTCGTCACTAAACGCCAATAAAATTCAGGAAAACGTTTGTACCATTTTTCTGAATTTTCTACCACTGTTTTTGAAGCTCCGAATGGTTTGTAGTTGGTCTCATTATCATGTACAGTAAATTGTTCCGTTTGTACTGCGATGGGAGTGGAAGTACGCAAGTTGAGACGATTGTACCCACATCAAAACTTGACGAACTACATATGGAATCCATTACGATGATTTTACGGTTGATAAAAATGGAATCAGGTGATTTGATGACAATAATAATAATAATAATAATAATGAATAATTTTCGTTGGTACAAACGAGTACTAACGATTTAGGAATTATCTGTATGTTTTCCTGACGTCCTTCATACATTTAAGATTTTAGAAGCGGGTAAAGTATTGAAGGGGTTGATAAATGAAATGGAAAAATATAGTACATACAAGTACTATCCATGCTGAATCCTTGCTCATGAAAATTTTTTCCGTACCTTCATTTCCGACGCTGCATGATTTTTCTCGCACCTCTTACGTCTAGGGGTGCGGGGTACAAATAAAAATGAATGTAGTACATTCAGGTACTCACTGAGTACAATCGATACTATAAGAAAGCAATCGATTTATCAAACTTCGACTCCAAGTTCACACAGCTCTGATGCTGGATCCACTCTCCGGTACTATCGCGACAGATTCACCAAAATTTTGGAGAATTTCATTCATGAAAAAATAAAGGAGTCCATTTTGCTCTAGAGGTCCATTTTGCCCTAATCTCCCCTATGTGATATTTTCCATACCCGATGTTCACCGGATAATTCATTCTTACCGGTTTTCCTGCACAGTTTGCAAGCGTTGGAGAGCTGTATCCAAAGTTTCATGGAACAACCTGAAGCGCCTGAATTTCACAAAATCCGATACATATTCAACTGATTTCGACAAATTACCAGATATCTACAAGAATATTCAGAGCATCGCTAAAATTCTGAGGAGATGTGGACGTTATCTACGAGTTTTGAAACTTGGCAAGCCTTGTCACTATACAATGCTTCCATTCGTTACTAAATACTGCGAGAATTTAGGCAGATTAAACGTCTGTCTGTCCCCTGCCGGGAACAACATTTCCAGTATTTCACAAATTAAAAGTCTAACACACTTTTGCTTGGAACGAATGTCGAACAATTCTGATTCAGCCGTTTTTAGGATATTGCCTTGCGAAACATTACGTGGACTGCACCTAATTACAGGCGAATGTAGATATGATTACAATATCGATGGTGAACGCTCACACCTGCCTGACAATTATGAATACGTGAGTATAAAATTGTTTTACACCCTCTCATTAAGGTATTTATGAGGGGCGGGCTTGAGGGTGGTGCGACGGAGGGGAAGCTGTCGCTTTCTCGCAGAAAACCAATCGCTGAACAGAAAAAAACGATATTTCAGTTACAAATTTCCAATCTATTTCGACCATTTTTGTGTTCGAAATATTTTTTTAATAACTTTTCTATTTTTTCCCACATATTTCAAGCCTTCTGTTATTTTTCTAGCTTGTCTTTCGGATAATTGGAAAATAATTAATATGGAGAGAAAAAGTGATAACGTCGTGCCGTTCGAGGTACAAGTTGGCAGCACTGATTCACTCAGCTGTTATGTTCTTTCTCATAGTGAAATTTATCGTCATAACTCCATTCGTATTTGTCGCGCTTAGCTCTCTGCGATTTCTAATCTCGATGTTGTCGCTATTCCAAGTTGCGCACGCTGAATTCCTATTTTTGAGATCCGATCAATTAGCCCCTCATGTATAGATATTCCAAATTTTTATTTTTTTCCTCATTGAAGTAGTTTTGAAGAAAATTGCGAGCTAATAAAAAACATTTGCTAGTTAGTACTTTTTTTAAAATAAATTTTTGAAAAATCACCCCTGAAAAAAACGACGTTATCCCCCCTATTTCATTATTTCCAAAAAATTTTATCACCAATCGGTAG